ATAGTAGAGTGGGTGCCGGTGGTGCAGGGGGGGATGGTGAGGAATTCGTCGAAGGTGAGGACGCGGGGTTTGCAGCATTTCCAGCCTGGGAGGGGGGTTAGCTTGGGCGTTCGGGATAGGGGAATAGGGATGATGGGGGGTGGAGGGGGTGGCTGGCTAATGGCTTACCTTTCTGCCCTTCATGGAACTCTGGTGGTCCCGGGTGATAGACGCATGGCTCGTCTGGATCCGTGAACGGCTTGCCGCAGCCTTTGTGCACACACTTTTGCGCCATGACAGCTGCGGTGGCTTCCCCGTCGCCTCGCTTCCGTTGTTTGCTTGGTTTTTGAGCCTCGATTGGTTTGGGTGGATTTGAGGCCGGTTCTATGTATGTGAACCAGGTGGGATTATTTCTATTGAAGTTGTCCAATTGAATAAACCGAAGACGGGGGAACTGGCATTAGATGGTCGAGCAATGACCACGGAAGCTTCTCGCAAGACGTAATAGCTGTGGGAGCATCAAACTGCAGAGATGGCATGAGTGGTTCGCCGTGCAGCATCTGGTGCAACTCAACCCCCAAACGTCCTGAATCCACTGCTCTTCGTGATTCCCTTCATCATGAGAATCGCCCTTTGGGTTCCATTTGAATTTCAGCGAACGAGACAATACTCTAACTCTCGCTGTGATGAATGACCACGGGAATGCCTAGTTCCAGCGGGGCTGCGCATCCTGGTCTACGTGCCTCGCCCGCTCTTCCAAAGGTTGGAGTGCTCGATTCACCGCGTGATGCAGTACCGCCTGTAGTGGGCTGAATTCGGAGCTCATGCCGATTTTCGGTGCTTCTGTCTCCTTCTCTCGGATGGATTATTATTAAAATGGCATTGGGGCACATGGAATGCCCTGCCCTCGAAATCGAAATCGAAATCGACAAAACCTCCGGGTCTCACGATCAACGACTACTTCCTCCGTGATGGAAGAACGTTGGACGGGCCTAGAGTCTGCTCTCTAAGGACACTGAATCTCTTGCCGATTATCGATCAGATGTTAGGGCTGCCGGTTCTAGGAATCAGAAGTGGCAATCTCGATTAATAAGTATTCTCTCATAATATGGAGGTAGATATTGCTTCTATTGCTGGGCACTTTCACGTGCGGATATCCGTCGTCCTGAGATGGGCCGTCACAATATCTTCTCCCACCATCGACTATCTTGGTCAATATCATTAAAGGCATTATGCATTCATTTATCCGAAATTTATAGAGACACGACAAGAATCACTTGCCATCAAGACCTCGCCAGCAGCACTGGGCGGAAAACAAGAGTGGCCAAGAGCATGACCAAGATTGCATCTCCGCCCTCCGGATGTTTGCTCATAGTTATAGCCTATAGGAGATGCTACAAAGGTGACAAAGTGTTGTAAGGTCGATCTCCTACTCCTAGGTGAGAAGTTCTGGCTTTGGTGTGACTAAGATTTTAATGTGATAGTCCTTATTCTGAACCAGTTCTTCGAAACCTCGTTGAGCTACATCCTCCAGTTTGATGCGGGAAGTCACCATATCTTCGACGGCCGGAAACCTGCCTGCAATTTACATTAGCTTTGCACTACGGTTGCCGGCTCTCGGAGCTTACCTGTTGTGAAGTCTTTGACTACCTCTACGAAATCCTCCTCATCGTAAGACATGGACGCTCGAAACACAATTTCTTTCAATTGGAAGAATTCCATTGGTACGGTGAGCTGGCAGTCGTTAGCAGGCTTTCATCACCCTCGTATTACACATACCGGTGATCCCCAACCAGCAACATTGACATAAGTGCCCTGATTCCTAAGGGCATCAAATCCAGTCCTTAATGCTGGCATCACGCCGGCACAGTCGAAAACGACATCAACACCAGTTCCTCCGGTCAGTTTTCGGCATTCGTCCGCGATGAGAGCTTCCATAGGATCCAAGGCCGCATCGCAGTACTTTGCGACCTGGTTTCGCCGATTTAGTGAGGGCTCAGAGACGATTATTTGGTGTGTTCCATGAACCTTGAGGTCCATCGCCACTGCCACGCCTACAGGCCCGCCTCCAAGAACAAGCACGCTCAGCGACTCGAACTTAAGCCCCGATGATTTCAGTGCATGTCTTGCCACCGTCAAAGGTTCAATTAACGCCGCAAACCGTAAATCTACCCCTTCAGGTAGCACATGGCATGCGTTTGCATCGACGGCAACAGTCTCCGACAAACCTCCTCCCGTGCCACTCAATCCTAAGAAACCCCACTGCTGACACATGTTGGTCCTGGTATTCTCGCACTGCAAGCAACTGGTGCAGTACAACCGTGGATCTACCATCACGGGCTGGCCAACTTTCAGTTCCGAACCATCGGGGGCCCAGCTAATCCGGCCACAGAACTCGTGGCCCAGGGTCACGGGCAGAGCTTCTCCGGTAATCTTGTGCGGGTTTTCTTCGGTTGGGATAACGAGTGGTCCCTTGAGATATTCGTGCAGATCGGAGCCGCAGATTCCGCACCATTCGATGTCCACAAGCACTTGGTTGGACTTGGGGGTGGGCACGGGAACTGACGAGATGCGAATGTCTCGCGCGCCATGAAATTGGGCTGCTTTCATATCGAAGATGATTATGTTCAGGTGGAGGCTGCGCTGGGTTGTTCCTCTACGCTTTCAGGCTGAGATAATCGAGGTGCGGTGTTGAGATCTGTTGTTTTCATCCAGCCTCATGTTTCCTAAACGTGATAGAAGATTCAAAGGCACGCCTCAGTTATAGTTCGAAACTTCCACGTCTCTACTGCACGAAACAATTGCCGCGGTTGACTTCTCGTTATAATGTGTACAGTCAGTAAAAGATGACATGCCCCAAAGCGGAGAACGAACTCATGCCAAGACGAATCGGTATCAAGCACCACCAATGCACCCTCGGTAGCGCCATGCGCCCGTACCATCCACCCCTGACGAGGTTACGATTAGCGCGGTATATGCCTAACTGTAATCTTCAGGGCAGGCTAAACATGTGTGATACCACTGATGCGACTGATGTGACTGATTTGACTGATTTGCGGCTAGGACTGGTAGTACATGTGGATTATAGGGGCAGAAGATCCATATGTGTCAGTGGCGCCAGTGCTAGAACTTAGAAGCAGGGTGCCCGGGAACAGCGGCGCTTAGTCCAATGAGGGGTTTGCCCAGGCGTGAATAACAAACATGAAGAGTACCGATTGTTCATGATTGACTCTTCTACGCGACATATACAAGATATCACTAGCTAATACTAGATGTAAGATGACTACGCCTGAAGCCAGACCAGTCTAGTTAGATACCTGTGCCAGGCCAATTTTGACTATGGGCCAATATCATCAGCCTTACGATATAGACATTTCGATATGCTGCGTCTGCTGCTTCTCGTCCTTGACGTGCATACCAGCCTCCTCAAGAGTTTCGGCAACCTGTGGATGAGACACTATTAGCATGTGGCTCTTGGGATGAAAACCCCGTGGAATCTTGACTTACCTCGTCGCCGAACAGCGCACTCATCTCCTCCAGTGTCTTTCCCTTCGTTTCGGGGTAGAAAAGGTACAGGATGACCACAAATATGGCGTTCGCAATCAGGAAGATCAGGAAGAAGCGCCATGAGATTACCTCTAGCGCGAGTGGTGTAATCTGCACTATAACGATCATGATACAGTGCATCACCACGTAGGCGGTGGCGACGCCGGCGCTGCGGATACAGGTCGGCATGATCTCCGCTGGATACTATCAGCCAGGTTAGAGTCATCTTCGTGGAAAGATTGACGGAAAGTGTAGCATACCGTGGCAATAAAGGCATTCATAGGCCCTGAGTAGCCGAGACACACGAGATACATAACTCCAATTACACCCTTCCCCATCGCTGCATTGCTCGAGTGACCGGCTTCGTAACGTGCCCACAGAGTAACGACTAGCAAACAACCTGTGATTTGGAGTCCGTACGAAATGTACTACGCAGTTGTCAGTGCCAGTCAAGGCAATGGAATCCATTATGCTCACGATTACTGGCTTACGTCCCAGCTTGTCGAAGAAAAATGTTGTCATGACAGCAGAGAATGTACCAACAGTGCCCCAGACCGCGGTCAAGGTTAGAGCCATGGTATTGGTCATGCCTAAGTTGTTGTACATGATCACCTGGTAGTTCTGAATGGCGATGATGCCACTCATCCTAGACGAGAATGTGTCAGTATGGCATATTCGAAGTATATCAGCGCACCAGGAGCTCACATCATGAAGAAACCCAAGGCTACCACCAAATAAATGCGCTTGCGGTATGAGGGGCGGCGGATAATTGTCCTGAGTCCCAGCTTTTCTTCTTTCTCAAACTCAATCTGTGCCCTGACCTGATGGTACTCCTGAAGGTAGAAGTCGTCGTCATGTCCCGAGCCATGCATTTTTTTCAGGACGTCGCAGCATTCCTCGTAGCGGCCTTTGAGGGCAAGCCAACGGGGCGAGAAAGGCATCCAGAATGAGCCGACCAGCATGCCCACGCTAGGCACGAGTTGTAGGCCTAGAAGCAGGCGCCATGCCGAATCTCCATGGACGAAAGAGAGGCCAAGACCGCTGTATTGGTGTCAGAACATGATTCATTCAAGGGAAGCACTACTACTTACATCCACTCAGTGACCATATACGAAGCATTGACCATGATTCTAAAAAGCTGTTAGACCGAAGCTAATTCGGTAGAGGGACATACTCACGAAAATATTCCTCCTACACGCCCTCGCCACTCTGGTGGGGAAATCTCACTGGCATAGGTAGGGCACAGAGAGAATATTACACCACTAGCATAACCTCCAATGATTCGGCCGGTACAGAATACGGCAAAGCTGGACGCACCAGTTTGCATGGATATACCGATTATACCAAGGACACACGCTATCTGGATTGATCGGAGTCGTCCTATTCTGTCAGGAAGAAACCAATTTGAAGCCATGCCGAGTACAGCACCGCCATAATAGGCAGAACCAAAAGCCCCGATCAAGATTGAGTCGAGTTTGTAGTATTCAATGAAGGCTGGGTAGCCTAGGATAGAGGTTGTGCAACCTGAATGAAAGGTCAGTCTCTGGGATGTAAAATTCAAGGTGATAAAACTTTACCTGAATCATAGCCATAGAAGATAGACCCACAGGTCACGTACAAAAGGCAGAGAAAATTATACCTATTCATGGTGTTGAGGACTCAGGTGGTGATGAATCCAGGCAAACAGTTGGTGACCTAACGTACTTTATCCCCATTCTCCTGGCATGTTGATCGAAACGAATTGAGTGGCCAAGAGAGCATGGTAGGCCAGATGCTTGAGTACAGCTTGAGAGTTAGTGGTGTGTCACCCAAAGATGATTCACAGAGCCTCCCTCCCCATGGGGTGAGACTGGGGTTCTGGTCTCCTCGACTAGCCACTCGTGTCGCCATCCCTGAACTCTTGACACTATTTCTACTTACTCGTACTTTTGCAGAATGCAGCTGGGAGATCCATTGCCAAGTATCGGCGAATCCTATCCTACAGTCTGCAGATTATCACCCCTGGGAGTTAACACCGGATGATGGATGTACTTCTCTTGGTAATGACCTAACTAAATGAAGGCTAGCTGCCGTTTCCCCCCTTACCCAAGCTAGCATTTGACCCGCCCAGGTGGGCCGTAGCGTACCCCGCATACCCCGCAAATTCCGTCCCCTCGGGGCGGCTCGGCCTGGGGAATGGAGAGTAGACAAGCTGGAATTGCTTGGCAGGAGAATCGATCCCTCCTCATTTCTACAATCTGCGCGACAGATTGTGTGAGCCGAAGAACTGTAAGTCGTAAGACAATGCCCCCAAAGAACCGTGCAAAGAAGGACCATGGAGAAAAGGCGCGAAGATCAGAGGTATGCGCCTTGTACAAGCGCCTTGGGGTGCATGCTGACCATAGGCAAGGCGACTAAGAAATAGACTGTCGCAGAAGGCTGTTCGTGAGCGAAAAGCTGCGCGTATACACCAGCTAGAGCAGGAACTCGCTACTGTCACGAAAGGAAATGACAGCGCCAGGGTTACTGAACTTCTGAACACAAACTCTAGGCTGCGGCATGCGCTCCTCGACACGCGCAAGAAGCTTGCAAGCCTCTCTGCGACTGCAACACAGTTGGGGGAACAAATCAAGGTAGTGTTGGATGATCGTGGTAGGTTAATCTCAACATCTAACCTTGAGCCTCGCTGACGGTGGTAGATGAGGTGGAGCAGGATTGTGAAGACGTTGCCAACCAGATGGACTCCTGCGTGTTTGATGACCAAGCTTATCACCTCTGGAGGAATAGCCCACAGACATGCACTCAATCTCCACAGACTAGTTCCACCGAATCAATATCCATGAACCAGGAGCGAGAACATTTCAATGGTACCGAGTTGAAGTTGATCAATCCAAGCACCAACGTTGGAGCTGAGGCAACTGATAGAAATCCTATTCCTGGCCAGTCTGACAAAATGCTGGTCTCTATGGATACAATGTTCAATGGCAGCAAACATACTGAGGCAATGCCCGACCTCTTTCTGGGGCCTCATCTCGGACCCAAGCTCCACGTTTACTCTGGCTCGACTTTGTCTCAACATCTTGGTCATATACATGGACTTCTCCGACTGGGAGGGGCACTCGAAGGCGTTTCAAGGTCAGCGATCTAGCGCTTCATTTCCTCACCATTTGATGATCTAGAGCCGTTAATGCCTTGTAGTATGCCGCAAGTTGTAGACAGCATGTGGTCCGCGTTTCTCGAGCACGGTTGGCCATCGTTAAAATATTGGTTCGATGTAACCCAGTCAACACCACTCGCAACCCGTGTTCTCTGGTGGCAGACCAGCAACAGTCATGAAGCCGCAACTCAAATACCACCTGGTAATACGCCTACTCTGGTCCAGCTTTCCCGGCCGAAATACCCCTGTATCCTCGACTGGGTGCCACATCCAGGCTTACGTGACCTGCTGATTCTCAATTACGAATTTTACGATGTTGACCAAGTCATATGCGACATGACGAATGCATTTGTTGTCGAGATCGAAGACCACCGAACCATCTTTGACGAGTCTCATCCGGGGCTTTCTCTGCCCATAGGCAAAGGCTATGGCTACAACCTGATGGAGCTTGTGGAGCGAACGTTGGTTTTTGGACCCATGGATAGCCAGAGCCAGCAAGAGCTTACGGTAATGAGACTGCTGCAGAGCATGGCATCCTCGAAGAATGCTTCGATTGAACACCCAATCCACCGCTTCAAGCTGGATCCCAGGTTCTTTGATCAATATCCCGCTCTCTATGACGCCAATGCTGAGAGCAAGTACCGGCCGAAGAACCTACCATTTGTACAGAAGTCGCAGCTGCCGCTACCTTTCACGACGGAGACTGTTAAGGAGTATATGAATGTGGCATTACACGCGAAGAGTACGCTGGTTGCGGCCCGATAATGGACATCATGATCCAATGTATTGCTCATTGTCGTCATCTCTCAACCGCTTTACAAGGTCTTAATAGACTACCTAATCGGTTCAATCCACACGAATAGTTATGATTAAACGTAGCTCGCTCCGAGGCATATCAGCTCATTGGAACCCTTCGTTAATCGTAAATCCCCCATCCGCCATCAAGTTCACGCCATTTATCAAGCTCATTCTTGGTGTACTTAGCATCACCACGGCATCACCAATCTCTACAAAATCCGCCCGCCGCCCTTGCCGCGCTTCAAGCCTTTCCCACAATCTATCGTCACTCTTTTCATCCAGTCCGGCGCTCGGATCGGCCATACGGGCTGTAATCATAGGGGTAAGTAGGAAGCCAGGCGATACTGCGTTCACACGGATGGAGTGGGCGCGAGCTTCAAGTGCTGCCTGTTTGGCAAAGTCAGCCGGAAAGAGGTCGAAACGAGAAAATAAATACGGACAGTCTTCGTAATCCCGTTCACGGCGTGCTTGCTGGCAGTATACGCAGCCACACCTTGCATACTCATTAGAGAGTTGACGCTCGCACAGTTTACTATCGATCCTCGCTGCTGCATTCTTCCGGATTCTCTAGATGTGTGATCGATGGTTAGTACAGGGTGTCGCGGCGCAGGAACGACCAACGAATGCTATCACCTACGTGTCTGGACTCGGATTCTGACCCTTCATCACCCGCAGCTCATGCTTTGTGCACAAGAAGACCCCCGTTGAATTCACTGACATGCACTGAGCGAACTTCTCGAGGGGTGTCTCCGTGATATCTGTGGCTGGTCCGATCACACCTGCAAAATTGCTGTGCATATTCACCATATCAGGCCAATTCTCTGAACGTTCAATGAAGTAATGTGGCAACGAAATTCCAGAACATTCGTAGGGAAAGGCAGGACACACATACGCAGCATAATCCAGTCGTCCGAACTCTTTAACGACTTGGTCAACTGCACGCTCTACATCGGCCTCTTTCGTAACATCTGCACGGATGGCGATACACTTTTATCATCAACAGGTCCCAAGGTTAGCCAATACGAAATTCCTGAATGTACTTTGGAAAAGAGTACACAGGAAGATAGCCTCATAAATATGCTCACCTTCGTTCCGAACGCCTCAACCGCTGCTTTTCCTATCGCGAATGTCGCTTCGTCTTGAATATCAACAAGTGCAACACCGCGTGCGCCCTCTTTCGCAAACGAAACGGCTATGGCATTGCCGAGGCCACGGGCTCCGCCGGTAACTAAAGCAACCCCAGGAGCAAGCCTACTAGAGCGGACAGTAGCAATCGTATGAGCTGGAGGGAGAGGTTCTGTAATCGTGGCCATGATGTTTGATCAATTCAGTGAATTCAGTAAAGGAAGAATCAGATAGACCGGGGTAAGAAGCTGTCTAAGTCAAGACAATTATAAAGATGATTTACGGCGGATTGATAGGCGACATGCCGAGTCAGTAGAGCAGAAGTATCAACTATAGAGATAAATGCTAGGCAAAATATTCAATGACCGAGGCTATGGAGCTAACTAGAACTTATTTCTACTTTCCAGGGCGAGTATGTGAGGGGAGAGATCATCAATTCTCCAACTTCCGTGTGTCACCATTTAGTGATTCACGATGAGTTACGGAGTAGGTTATCCGGAGGTAGAACCAGACCCCGCGGGATAGTGGGTCTACTAACCCGTGTGACGGGAATGGGGGGCCAAATCCTGGGGAAGATGGCAGGACCTGGACCCCTGCAGTAGGTAGCTTCACATCCACCCTTCACTCTTCAAAGATGTGTATTGACCAATTGGAAGTCTATTGGGTCTCAAGCTAGCGAGAAGAATGTGGGAAGGTAGAGAAATGCGGTACGCTAGACTGCTCTCTATAACTTTATTTCCGTCAAAACTAGTCCTATCTCTACCGAAGCGACTGAACAGCCCAGAATCTCCGCTGCGGGCAGGAGTCACCATTTTCTGATTATCAAACCCACTTAGATTAGCTGCGATCTATGCAAGATGGCGAATGGCCTAGAAGCACTGTTACGGACGACTACGCGGCTGCTGTGGATCGTATTATGCCCGAGGTGTTGTTTCGTTATAAAGCCGAGTAGCTTAGGAAAAGATCTTCCGTTTGTATAGATCAATCGCGTCCCATTCATTTCAAAAACGAAGCCGACGGCATTCGCAGTTCAAACGACTCCTCTGCCGAGCGAAGAAATCGTTGTACCAGAGCTTAAGGTACCCAGTCTCGTCCATCATGTGTTCCGTTGCATAAAAATAAGACATCCGTCATTCAAAAATGGGTTCCTCAGCCCCTATTGACGACCAGCCATACAGCGTGCCAGAGCAATGGCACTCTCAACCTGGATACCTTCGCGTCATCTGCGCTGGAGCGGGAGCCGCTGGCTTGTGCGTTGCTTATAAGATGAAGCACATGAAGTTCATCAACTACGACCTTGTTTGCTACGAGAAGTGATTGATCTCCCAAAACCGTCGGAAAAGTTAGAGTTTGCTGATTTTCCTATTTTCTACTAGGAACCCGGAAGTTGGTGGCACTTGGTATGCAAACCTCACGAAACTCCGGAGCTATTCCTCACAGACTAACAGATCATGATTCAGGTACGAGAATCGCTACCCTGGTTGTGCATGCGATGTGTAAGGATAGACGCCTTCGTGGTTCTAGAATAAAACAGTCCCTAATGAGTTCGCCAGACCTGCGCATGCCTACACGTACAGCTTCGAGCCAAACCCCAATTGGTCCAGCTTCTATGCATATGCCCCGGAGATTCGACAGTATTTCGAGGACTTTGCCCAGAAACACGGACTGATGCCAAATGTCCAGCTCAATTCGCGAATTCTGAGTGCTAGGTGGAGGGAAGAGAAAGGAATCTGTAAGCTCTTTTCCTAACATACATGCAGAATACTCCTGAGTTTCTAACCATATATTTCTGAAGACAACGTTGAAGTCGAATCAAATGGAAAGATCACCCAGGACTGGTGTCATGTCTTTATCAATGGAACTGGGTTCTTGAACCACTGGAAATGTGTGTGTTCTCAAGATCATACCAAGTTGAAGATGCGATAGCTGACGAATTCTCTAGGGCCTGACATTGAAGGTCTTCACAGTTTTAAGGGAACTCTGATGCACAGCGCCAATTGGGATCCAGGTTGGTTGCCCTTGTCTCTGCCCCTTTACCTCACCCCGGACTAATGAATTGCCGTTTAGAGGTTGATTGGACCGGCAAAAGAGTAGCTGTGGTTGGAACTGGATCGTCAGCTATTCAAATGGTGCCACAGATTCAGAGGAGTAAGTTGTCGATGATCCATAATTGCCTTCTGCCCAGTACTGACTAGTATTCGCAGCTGCTTCACATTTGACATGTTTTATGCGCTCAGTAACATGGTAAGCGGCCTTTTTAAACCTGTGGTTACGCATCGTTCTAAGAAACGTAGGATATCTCCCCCAGTAGCCGGCAGCATCCTCGACGAAGATCGCAAGAAGACCGACGATGGACACTCCTCCAACGTCCCCCACGGCCAGCATTTCTATTCCGAAGAAGAAAAAGAGAGCTTCCGAACCGACCCTGACTACCATCTCGAGTACCGCCGCAATCTCGAAGGTACAGTCAACAAGCTCTTCGACATCTTCATCGACGGCTCTCCAGAATCGCAAGCCGCCCAAAAGACCATGAAAGCGGAAATGCTCAAACGTATCGGCCCCGGCCACGAAGATCTGAAGAAGCGTCTCGTCCCGAGCTGGCCACCGGGGTGTCGCCGCATCACCCCCGGCGACGGCTACCTGGAAGCCCTCGTCAAACCCAACGTGACTACCGTGCACAAAGAGATCGCGCAAGTGGTACCCAACGGTATCATCGACTCCAGCGGTCAGCTGCACGAAGTCGATATCCTCGCCTGCGCGACGGGTTTTAATCTTGCCTTCATCCCGCGCTTCGAGGTACGCGGCGTTAACGGCATAAAAATGTCGGATGCGTTCACCCCCGAGCCACGAGTGTACCTATCCGTTACCGTCCCTAAATTCCCGAATTACTTTATTGTCAATGGCGTGCGCGGACAGTGGGCGTCTGGCACCGCATTACCGGCACATGAGATCTCCATCGAGTATATCCTCAAGTGTGCTAAGAAGATCCAGGGAGATGGCATACGTGCGCTGGAGGTGAAGGACGAGGCGGTAACTCAGTTGTACGAGCACATCGATGCCTGGCATCAGGGTTCAGTATGGAACGCGCACTGTAAGTCGTGGTACAAGAACAATATCAGCGGAGGAAAGCTGTGGATCTGGGCCGGGTCGGCGCTGCATTATGTGAAAACGATGATGGAGCCACGGTACGAGCATTATAACATGCGGTATTGGAACTCGAATATGTTCGCGTTTTTGGGAAACGGGAGGGTCGAGGCGGAGTATCTGGCACAGATTGGAGCCTTGACAGGGAGCGACATGAACGCGAGACTAGCGCCATATTTAAGGAATGAGGATGTGCCATTTGAGATTTGAGAATTCTGATTTGGGCAGATATTCAAGCGTATAGCAAATTGTACAGCGCAGAGGGAGGATACTCTTGATTGCCTTTCCAGCTTTCCTCCTTCACATGTCAGCGTCCACTTCGGGTCCACCCCTATTTTAATATTTTATTTTACAGGGGCTCTTGATTATATAGTACCACGTGACCAAGTAACGGAACCTTCGGTTGAGTAATAATCAAGATAAGCCCTGAATTTTGCCTCGAGTTACTCCTAAAGTCCTAATGATCCCTCCGACGCTGTGCCCGAGTAAGAGCAGTGTCACTCTAGAACAGAAGCTAGAGGAACAGAGACGTCCAGCAAACTGACCATCTTATCCCCATACCACAGTTATAATAATTTCCTATGTTAGAAGCAGATATAATTAGAGGTTAGTGTTATGGTCCCAGGCCTGCGGCCTGTTCCCTTGGTTGTGGCTGAAGACGTGGCTGGTGGATTATATCAGAGAAGCAAACAAACATGGTAACACAGCAGTAGGGCATTGGAGAGGAGAGTCGCTATCTCGCGCACAAAGGTGCCGGGAGATTTCTTCTCTCTCTCTCTCTCTTCAGTTTAGATTAATGGAACTTGGTAATCGCAGACCTTGCGCATCCAGACCGTGTCAGTTAGAAGAAGGAAGATAGAAAAATGGTGCACAAGGCCACAAGGCACCAACGCATGTAATTAGTCAGCCTAGGTAGTTCCCCACATGAGCCTCGCAGAGAGACCTGACGGCTGACGGGAGTATGAATCTCTCTCTCCCCCCTAATGATCCCATTAGCCTCACATGTTTAACCGAACTTATTAGAATTACATAGTAAGGTAATTAAATAATTAAGAACCCCCAATAGAACGCTAACTTAAACGGGGTTTCTTCAGGACGCGCAGCACAGGCTGACACCAAGCTTATGAAGGAGAAGAGGCAATCGGGACTTAGAGAGCACCTAGCTTGCCCATGTCGTGTCGGTATCACGTTCCGTTTAATATATTGCCGCGTTGAACAACACGTATAGATTGACAGTTTGTCGCTTCTCTTCCATACCAAGTACCTATTCCGTACATTGCGCAGCACAGTGTCATTACAGTCATTCCGTCTTCCCCTTCTTCCTTTTCTCAAAGAAAGTCAAAAGTTCAAACTTGACTGTTTCGGAGACTTGAACCAGCGGACAATTCGAGCCGCGTGCCCTAATATACTCTCGGTTGCCGGCGTCGGACGTCGCCACGTACCGGTCGCACAAGACTCGTATACTAATTTCCAAGGCTTGGGTCAATTACCGCATACAACAACACATGTCCACCGTGTCAGCCAGGGCACAGAGAATATATGTAAAACTGCCCGATTCGGGGGAGCTGCAAAATTAAGCCCTGCCAAGACCTGGTGTCATTCGTCCGGCACGATCGAACCGTGGCCAAGCGCTGCGGATGATGATCCGAAGCCGTCGTTGGGTGAGGTCTTTCTCGGTGTCTGCATAGGGTTCGTCGTATATCGGCGTTCAATCCATATACGAAGTTGACTTCGCCGGAGACGAAGCTTTTCTGACCCTCGGGGCAAACTACTCATTCTACCCTGTATACCGAGCAGGATTCTGGACAGGAGGTACGTGACGCGAGTTCCATCCAATGAAGTGCATCATTTCCTGGAATCGTTTCAATATCAGTCTGGGTAATATGTTTTCGGCATGCCTTTTAAATCTTCTCATTCGATGTTCACCAGTTAAGACTCATCAAGCAACGGTGACTGGGCGATGTTCCCCATCCACGACGCTTGTTGTTCTTGGCCCAGGCACTCTGGTACTATGGCCTCCCTCGTCGCTTTATACTTGCACATGAAGTAGATTGAAGACGAACTCCACACTCCGCATTCGTGGAGGATTATATCTCCGCAAATTACGTGAGGAGAGAGAACCTGGGGGAGGCGTCCGTCATTCCGATCACGCAACTCCGGTCGACATGCAGATATAAAGGGGACTGCAGCACCACCGGACTAAAGTGTTAGTACCGCCTGAACGATACCTTCCATTCCATTCATTTCTAAGCCCGGTGCATCGCTAGAGTCATTCCTTTGATAACCAAGTCTTATTGCAATAATTTCTATCCAACATGAAGGTTGCTTCCATTCTCACCCTGCTTGCGGGCATCGCCACCGCAGCCCCGGTGGCAGAGCCGGTCGAGGCCCGTCAGTTGTTCGGTGGTGTCGGCATGACTGCTACCGAGTTCACCGATGGTGGCTGCAAACCGATCATTTTCATCTTCGCTCGTGGTTCGACCGAGCCGGGTAACTTCGGATTTATCGCCGGGCCTAACACGGCCGACACCCTCAAAGAAATCTTCGGCGCGGGGAACGTCGCCGTGGAGGGCGTCGACTACCCAGCGTTGTTGACCACCAACTTCCTCCCGTCGGGCGGTGACCCCACTGGTGTCAGTGACATGAAGGCGAAGCTCCAGAAGGCTGCCAACTGCGAGGGTTCCATCATCGTTGCCGGTGGCTACAGGTTCGCCCCACCCTAGCTCTTCCAACCTCGCCCCATGCTAACCGTCATCTAGCCAAGGTGCCGCCATCACCCACGAGGCCATCGAAGGCTCCCCCGCACAAGTCGTTGAACGCATCGCCGGCGTCGTCACCTTCGGCGACACCCAGAAGCTGCAATCCGGCGGCAAGATCAAGGGAATCCCACCGCAGAACTTCAAGATCATCTGCGCCACCGGCGACCTCGTCTGCTCCGGCACCTTGATCATCACCGTGGCCCATCTGACCTACAGTGTGGACGGGGAGGACGCGGGAAACTTCCTGGCGGACCGCATTCGCGCGGCGCAGAGCAGCGGCGGCTCATCCGGCGGGTCGACCGGCGGGTCGACCGGTGGCTCGACTGGTGGCTTCGACGGCAGCAGCAGCGAGGGCCTTGGCGCCAGCGGCGGTGGGATTTTAGGAGGCTTCAGCCTCTTCGGCGAGAAGTAAATATTTCGGGTGTCTCGTTACCGGCCACACATCGGCTGCCTCAGGGATGGAAGCCGGTTTGGCCATGTGCTGTGAGCATGGAGCATTAATTGTAGAGCGTGGAGCGTGGATAATGATACGCCTGGGCGGCGACGCGACCCTTGGATACCCATTATTCTAACCGTTCTTGTAAATAGCATCTCCTCATCTAGGTATTGGAGCGACCGGCAATTTTACATCACCTTCGGCCATCGTGCAACCATCGTAGTACCGGCCCCATACGCTGTTTCCTTCCAGTCCTATTATGATTTCTCCCTAAGATATCGGGCATTTCTGTATTGTAGCCAGACCAAACCGTGCACCCGTCGCAACGAGCGTGGATTCACTTGACTTGGTGCCGATTGTCCACCTCCCGCACCAGCTTCCCGATCATGAATCCAAACGAAAGCGCAGCATCGCCTTTCCACGAAATGTGCCCATGCCGATCATACACCACGCTACCAACACACTCACTTGCCTGATCAGTGATCACTGAAGTTCGACGGCGGGATCCGTTCGATTACCTTATTTATCTAATTAGCTTAACCCTTTTTTTCCAGAGGCCAGAAGTGAGGAGGCAAAAGGTCATCCAAACTTTCAGGATTTCACATGTGCAAATGAGATGTGGTGGAGCGGCAGTGGAGCTGCAATCTCGTGAGCTGCTTGACATCAAACCAATCAAATCAATTGATGAGCTTACCGTATGGTACCGTGATGCCCTGATGCCTTTGCTCGGTCGCATCCACCTACATATCAACATCTACGGAATACGGAAGAGGGTATGTCGGTATGCACGTACGGATTACCGTGTCCCTCAACTTATCGACGGCGAATTGGCGATGCCCCGATGGGGTTCCACTGCAACATCAGAGCTACCATCGATGTCAGGATTGCCTTCAGGTTTGGATTTTTCTCGTACCCGAGTCATGTTTCAGTTTGCTGTAATGTCCAAAAGTTCAACCGCACTAACGAGATTAACGCCAGTCCGCTAAATCCTACCCATACCCCAGGGGATTCCTAGCAACGGACAATCTAACTGTATCTGATCACTTGTTGATTGCTTGTCTGCTGTGCTGCGCATGCACTAAGGTATGTAAGCGGATGGTGAGTAATACCAATGCCTTGATTGGTCCGCTTGACAATCGAACATCGCGATGCTCCAATCAGATAGGCATTCTAATACCCGCAGGAACTCCTCCTACTGTAGGAATTATGGTTATTATAAGGTTATCGCGGCACTAGTCAACAAGTGGCGTGTGGAAGAGTGGAGTTTCCTGGGCGTGCATGTTAGCCGTCAGGATCATGATATTAGTTATGACCTTCCAGGCTGGTTCAACATCCCTGATATCGCGACGGACGCTATTTGTGCAGACAAACGTCCGTGATCCCCTCTGGAAATCTCAACAGGGTCAGCGACTCAGCGTGGAGTTGAGTTAAGGCGAATCCGATATATCCTCCGAGCCTTGATGGCACCGTTACACCTTGGCAGCCGGCGAATGATTGTCTAGATGCTGCACGTCGAAGTAGTTTCCTGCCTATTCGGAGTTAGCCTCCAAGCCACAGTGACAGCGGGTTGGCTAAATCCTGGCTTGCCCCGCGGGAGAAGCTTTTCGTTCGACTTAGTCTATTCTAGCCAGGTCTCACCACATCGAATTCCAACCACCCAACTAACTATCCAAAAGCCCAAGACCTTTACCGTTCGAGTTCATCCGCGGCGCCACTAATATCGAGGTCGCTAGCTTAGGCTCTCTCATCGAATGCGACTGGGCAGCTACTGACAAACCTTGGAAAACACTAGGCCACCATTTTTAACCCGGATAAAGGAGCTTCTCAGCAATTAAGCTCCTTGGTAGTGCAGATATTTGATGTCTTAGACACGCCACTCCCGCGCCACCTCCATCAGCCTCCATCAGCAATAAAATGGCAAGAAAACACAACCTCAAGAATCAAGATCCTTGCCGTTCAATATCTCTCGCAGCATCGCCCTCAAATAATGGAGCGGCAATTGCTCAGGATCTTTGCGTGCTTGGTGGGGTGAGTGTCGATCACTCTATGCTAGGGGCTGGGAATCCTTCCACTCCTCGGGACCTGGCAGGGGAAACCGACCTAGAATCCTAGATGGGCCAATATCGCTATCGAGGAATGTACCCAACCCATGCGCGCCAAGACCGGGAAATGTAACATCGCGACGATATCACAAGCTCCAAACGGGTAAATGACCAGGACTATCTTCAACTCCCTAGCAAACGACGGCCCGCTACCATGAGCGCCTATTGCGGTTGGCTATGGTTGGTCCCGTTCATATGGGAATTGGGAAGGTGCTACAGTGCTACCTGACTTCTAGATCAGGATCGAGATAACGGCTATCATGGTCCAGCTAGGAACCACCACGCGACACCAGCGCCGTCCATGTCGTGCCGTCTAATCTCCATGTCGTGCCCACTCTCGAGACTCCCGACTGATTGCGTGCGGGGTCCCAACCATGGTAGACTGATGAGCATGGAAAAATCACTGAAATAGTGCTATATCCCCCCGGGGTTGCTACTCCATCCCCTCCCATCGACCGGGCTTCTGGAAATCATATCTCGTTCGGGTTTCACAGAGTCATAGAGAAGAGCCTTTCGTGCTTGGATCAGGATCACTACCCGTGTCTCATACTGATACATACTCATCGCCACTTGGTGGTTGACTGATATCGCAATCAACGGCTATCACAATGGCTTTCGACGCAACCGCCGAAGCTCCTGACATAGCCAAGGCACAGGTTAAAGGCCTCGGGGATCCGACTCCGCCATTGGAGAAGAAACAAGACGAGGTCGCATTTCCCGAGCCCCTTTCGGACGACGACTCGGGATATGTACTCCCCACGGAAGAAGAGATCGAGACGTTGAGGCGCGTTCCTGGACGTATCCCGTGGATCGCCTTCACCGTCACCTTCGTGGAACTTTGTATGCATTCCGAATCGGTCCAATTGGGCATATTGATGGCTAACTGCGAGATGTCCAGGCGAACGATTTGCGTACTACGGAACGACTGCAGTGTGTAAGTATCTTTGTAGAGCACATCTGATGCACAATGACTGATTGTGATTCAGTGGTCAACTTCGTTCAGCGACCACTACCCGAAGGATCTACTACTGGAAACGACCCCCGCGATGATGGACGACCTGGTGCGCTTAACTATGGCCAGCGTGCTTCCACTGGTCTCGTGTTGTGTAAGGATTCCAGGCCCCTCCAAAGCAGGTCAGGTTACTAATAATCCTAGTCAATCGATTCTGGTCCTACTTTACGCCGCTCTTTGGAGGATATATTGCCGACTCTAAATGGGGAAAGATCAAGACCATCCAGATGTCAATTGCGTGTGCTATGTTCGGACATGTCATTATCATTATCTCCGCTATTCCTCAAGTGATCAAGAACCCCACAGGTGCCATGGGCTGCCTGGCTGTGGGTCTCGTCTTCTTCGGTACTGGTGTGGGAGGATTCAAGTAAGCAGGGCTCTGACTTACTCCATTATTGAACTGTAGCTGACTCCAACAAGACCCAATGTCTCTCCCCTCATGGTTGACCAGCTGAAATCCAAGCCGATGCACATCAAAACCTTGGCAACCGGCGAGCGAGTCATTGTCGATCCCGCTGTCACCACCCAGCGAATCTTCATGTACTTCTATATGTTCATCAATGTCGGCTCCATCACCGGGCAGGTTAGTATGGTCTACGCGGAACGTTATGTCGGTTTCTGGCTGTCGTACTTGCTGCCCACCATCATGTTCGCACTCTGCCCCATCGTTCTGGCCGTCTTCAACAACCGCTATGTCAACAAGCCGCCGACTGGTTCTGTGTTGGGCAAGTCGGCCCGGCTGATGAAGTACGCAATGAGGGGCAAGGTGTCGCCTAACCCAGTCACGACGTAAGTTTCCCCAGTGCGATCTCTACGCCGGGATCCAAGCTGACCACCTACCTCCAGCGCAAGGAACTTCAATTCGGGCACCTTCTGGGAAGATGTGAAGCCTTCCCGTGTCGTGAACAAGCCGAAGTGGATGACCTTTGACGACGCCTGGGTCGATGAAGTAGCTCGTGGAGTCAAGGCCTGCGGTGTCTTCATCTTCTACCCCCTCTTCTGGCTCGCGTACAACCAAATCGACGGCAACTTGGTATCGCAGGCGGCAACCATGTCTCTGCACGGTGCCCCGAACGACTTGATCAACAACATGAACCCGCTTGGAATCATCATCATGATCCCGATCCTCGATCAGCTCATATATCCGGCCCTTCGGAAAATGAAGATTCGGTTCACCCCGCTGCGCCGCATGTGCGCAGGCTTCTTTGTTGCATGCTCCGCTATGATCTGGGCCGCGGTCGTGCAACATTACATCTATAAGACCGGAGCGTGCGGGAAATATATGAACACGTGCGATGAACCGGCCGCGCCAATCAACGTGTGGTCCCAAACCGGAGCGGTATGTCTCCTCTTCCCATCCTCGAAACCCTAGAGAGAAGCATCTCCCGACTAACACACTGTAGTACGTCCTGGTCGGTCTCGCCGAAATCTTTGCCTCCATCACCGGTCTCGAATACGCTTACACCAAAGCCCCCGCCAACATGAAAGGCATGGTCTTCGGCTTCTACCACTTCAGCCAGGCCGTCTCCTCCGCCATCGGCCAGGCCTTCACCGCGCTGTCCGAGGACCCGCTGCTGGAGTGGAACTATGGCTCCGTGGCAATCATCGCGTTCTGCGGTGGTGTTGCCTTTTGGTGGTTCTTCCACAAGCTCGACGCCGAGGAGGAGGCCCTCAACCTGCTGCCCGAGTCGACCTACCAGGGCAAAAACCTGGGCGCCAAGGATAAGTTGGGGGACGAGGAGGCACGTGACCAGGAGAATTTCGAGCAGGCGCGTAACCAGGGAGATTTCGAGAAGGCGGAGCTGGGGGGTGGTGAGGTGAGGGAGCTGGGGGGTGGTGAGGTGAGGGAGCTGGCGGGTGGTGAGGTGACGGAGATTAACGAGCTGCCGGCGAAGCGGGCTGCGTGAGAAGTGTTGCAGCACTAAGGGAAGGGAATCGTATTGGAGGTTCCGGTGATACTGTTGCAATGGCTGCCATATATCAATATAGATCGTAAACGTTCGATATTGGAAATTGGAAGCTCCGTCGCTCTTCAAACCGTTGCGACTGAAAAGCTTTCAGTTGAGAAATGCACTAATAGTATCTCGTGAAAGGTAAAATACATCATTATTATATGCCATGATCTGGCATCAGTGATGGCAGATTTACTGGCCGGCTACAGCACCATCCGCAGTAGCTAAACATTCCTTCACGCCTCCTCAATCCCTATTGCGCTTCCCAAACTTCCTCACCCACCGCCCATCCCTCGGATCCAACTCTACCGCCCTCCTCGCCCCACCTCCACTCAAATGCGCCGGCGTCAACTCCCCACACTCCGGCCTCGTCAGCCCCTCCGCAAACGTATCCGCGACCCAGATCAACACACCATTCGTCCACCCGAACCCCTCCACCACCTCATATTCCCCCCCGCTTCCCGCCACGTTCGTCGCGTTGTCTGCATACTTCTCGAACATGATGCCCTCCGCCTCCGCCGCCAGCCCGTCTAGCTTCGGCGTCTCGCTCGTCGAACCTCCTGTCGCGCGCCACGTGCAGAACGTCGAGTCGAGGTACCGCTGCGCGAGGCGACCAGCGAGCGCGCGGACCGACTGGTAGGCATCATCGGCGGCACCGAACGATGCGGGGGTGTTGAGGAGGCCCTTGAGGAGGATGTAGATCAGCGGCGGCCAGACGTTCGGCTGGTCCCATTGCTGGCCCGTCTGCAAGTTCGTGGCAGGGATGGCGCCGGCTTTGTCGTCGAGGTACTGGGCGACGCGGGTGTAGGCGAGGGAGACGGCGAGGGGGTTGTTTTTGAGGTGCGGGGGCGCGGCACCGGTCCAGAAGGGATAGAATTGGCCGGCGTGGAAGAAAAGTTGGGAGCCTGGGGGGGCACCGGCGGTTTCGGCGGCTGTGGCGTCGTCGTCCGCGGCGGGGATCCACATGTAGGGGGAGGAGGAGGTGAGGTTGTAGTCGAAGAAGCTGTTGTATGTGGAGTTCCACATGAGGGCGTAAATGGCGTCGCTACGCTGTTGGGCGAGGTTGGCGTAATGCGTCGCGCCAGTCTCGTTGCCGACAGCGGAGAGGTACTTGCTGATGACCAGTTCGTTGCCGTAGAGGATGGAGTTGAGATCGACGGGGACAATCTCGTAGTTGTTGAGGCTGCGGAGAGGGAAATACATGTCCCTCAGTGCATCGGAGGGAGTGGCGAGCCATCGTGTGGTGTAATCCCAGCCGGACTCTGCTCCGCTGGCGAGGTTGGCATAGAGTGCAACTTTTTCAGTCTCGTCCAATGGGGTTGTAGGATAGATGATGCCGGATTCAGCGTAGTAGGACTGATTATTGGCGGTGACGTAGTCTTCACGGTATGATTCTGGTCGAGGCTGCGTGTTCGTCACCGCATATCTGGTACCGAGATCAGTCAGATTTAGGACCATGGATATGAGCACTGATACTCACCTGTTTAGAGTGTACGTCTCCCCTTCTGCGCTGACCTGGATCGTTCGATTCGTCATCCACCAGTCATGCTCCTTAATCAACAGCGGCAATGCCCGCTCCACGATGCTTGTATCCTTCGTATACTGCACGTAGGCATCCACCATAAACGACAGAAGTGGCGGCTGCGAGCGATTCAAGTAATAGATCCTTGCTCCATTGGGCACGAATCCCACTGTATCGACCAGATCGAGGAAATTCTCAATGATATTCTTCGCAATCTCCGTGAAGTTGCCCTGCGTGCGGAGCAGCCCCTCGATCACCCAGAACGAGTCCCAGTAATACGGCTCACGGAACCGGCCGCCCGCGACCACGAAGCTGCGGTTGACGGGGATGAAGCTGTCGACGCAGCCAGTGCAATTGTCCCGGCCAACATACTGCCTCGTGAGGTCCGGCCAGATGTCGATGACCTTCTCGACGAACTCGGAAATCACGGTGTCGTTGACCCGGTCCAGGAATACTGGGTGGGTGGATAGGGACTCCCGCGGCACTTCTTCCAGCTCGGTGCCCTCTTCGCCAAAGTAGGTGGTTAGGAAGTCGTTGAGATCCGAGTTGTTGGTGATCGGCCGCGACAGGTTACCGAAGGCGGCGATGACCTCATCCAATGGACGAATTGTTGGCCTGCAGCATTAGTTAGCGCCACTCCGCAGACGGTCTTGTATGCACTTCACACAATACGAGTTGAACCGGGATGTCTTGCGGATTCCGGATTTCTTGGAGAAATCGATCATTGGAAGAGCTTGCAACTTGGAACAATGCGGAGTCCAACTTACAGGTCTACGAATGTTTTCGAGTCGGTGAACGGCTGTGCCAACTCAATTTCGTGAAGGATGTCTCCATGACAGTAGACAGGAGAATCGCATGGTGCGATGACGGTGCCGTTCTCGTACAACGCAAAAACGAATGGAATCGAAACAAGCAGCGTGATCGATATCCTCTTGAAGGTCACCATGATCGTGGAAGAAGTCACGACGACGGCATGCAATTCAGTTGTCTCGGGCTCACCAAACGCAGCGAAGGATCATAAACCATTCTTCAGCAGCCGATGAGGGCAATGAGTGGATTATATTCCTTACGGCAGAACTGGCCCCGTCTCTCACGATCTCCGCACCTTCTCCATGCACCGTCAACCGCCGCTCCTGTTCATGTTTTCCATGGAATTGTCATCAAGCTTGGCTGACGTCGGAGAGCCTTCAAGTGACGATGCAAAAAGCGCCGGGAGTCGTTCGCTCTTCGCCCTCCGTAGCCGCATAGAGCCAACGACTCCATTTTCCCCAGACAAAATCATCCCCGTTATCCCTAGGCTCGGTGGTGGGCACAGGATGCGAAGAAAGCATGACGATCACGATGCAACCGTGGGGATCCGTCTTGACAACTTCCCAACTGGGAAGCTCGCGGGTCTAGTCTCCGCATGCCATCCAGACAACCTAGTTCCCCGCATTGAGAGTTTGGTTCTGGGTGCCAATGGAAATAGACCATGGGCCTAGTGGAAAAGCGAGATGGTGAGCGATGAACTGATCTTGCCGCTGGAACGGTCCGAGTCCCAATGGTGGATGCGCGCCATCTGCGTCAATGTCGGGGATGCCTCTGGGAGAGAACAGGGAATGAACAATGACGACGCGGCCGAGATATGCGAATTGGGCAGGGCATCCAATTGACGCGGAATTTTCCGACTACGGTTGTCGTCTGAACTTCCTATTGAGGTTCATTCAGTGTAAAAAGCGTGTCCCTGTCAATTGATATTGTAATCATTAATGTTGTAATCATTTGAACTGTGTAGACTGCAGAGAGCTGCGGATATTCGCGGTTGATAATGATTAGAAAGTATTTCTGCCTTGATGTCTCGTATTGCTTGATAGATGCCTTATCGTGATCTTATCATCAAAGTCTAAAACAAACCATCTAGATTCAACCCTCGAGCCAGCACATCGTCAGCTCATCACACCAGACATCGGAAGAACTTTCCCTCTCACAGTCGCTCTACTACCAAACATGATCCTCCAAACTAACCAAATGAAGTCATCAATGACCATTACATTGAATACACCTGTCTACAGCCCAACCTCATTTCCGATACAAGTATTTTGATTCTTGCCAATGGAGAAAGCCTTTGCCCAGACGTGAACGCATTCCCATCCGTAGTTCGACCCTCCCTATCAACCCCTACTCTTCATCGTCCCCCTCCAGCAATTTCGCATAGTCATCCGCCGACGCGAACATCGGCAACTGCTTCAACTTCCGCTTCCGCGCCCTGCCCGCCTTTTTCGGATCCTCCTCCTTCTCGGCCGGCGCAGTGGTCGGCGCGCGCTCCTTTGCTAATGCCTCCTCGAGCACCGACATCATGTGGTCGGGGAGCTCGCCGTCCTCATCGCTGCTGCCGAACATGTCGTCGTCGCTCTCGAGGTTGAGCTCGACTTCGGACAGTTCGGCATCTTCGCCCTCGTCTTGGTCGTCGCCGAATTCGACCTCTGCATCTTCGTCTTCGTCTTCGTCCTCCTCGTCCTCCATGAACCCGCTGCCCAGATCTTCGTTGTCATCCTCAAACTCATCCGCATCCTCCTCATCTTCCTCTAACTCCGGCTGCGAATCCACCAACGCCTTCCACACCTCCGTATCGCCCATCTCGCTATCCGCATCGCTCCCCTCCTCAGCATCGCCATCCTTCCTCTTCTTGTTCGCCATCTTCTTCTTGTTCGCCGGCTGGTTGAAGTACTTATGGAAGAACACCTCATCCACCGGTACCTCCTCCACCTTCTTCTGCCAGAAACTCTGCTCATTCAACGGCGCCTCCGCCATCCCGCCCGCCTTGCTCTTGATCAGCACGTCCTCCGCCCCCGTGCCCGCGAGCGGTTGCATGATCGAGACGCCGCGCGTCGATGTCGCCTTGGAGGCGCGCGCGCCACGGTAGACGAAGCGGTCCAGGAAGTGGATCAGCGTGTGGTGTGTGGCATCGGGCTTGGGGGGCATTTCCTCCGAGTAGAGGAAGCGGGAGCCGAAGAGCTGCGCGGACGGGTGGTAGTGGATTTGGTAGGGTACGAGCTCCCAGAGGCAGGTGTGCTCGGCGCCGCTGTGTTCGGGGTCGCGCTTGCGAGGATCGTAGCGGGGGCGCGGGGCAGTATCGGTGGTTTGGGGAGGGGCATCGGTAGGGGATTCGGGGACGTCGACGAAGTGCTCGCGTTCATCGTCGGCGCCTTCTTCGGGCTGGCTGAGCATAGAATGAAGGTTGGGGATGGTCTTGTTGAGCTCATGGACAAGGTATAGTACGCCTGAGACGAACGAAGGCTCATGTAATGTCGTGACCTGCAGTAGTCGCTTGACGAAAGCCTTGACTCGTTTGATGCTAACATCCGATTTGAGCGACTTGTACAGCAGATTCAGATACATGATCTGTTTCGAGGACGTCAGAAGTCGAGGGTCGAGAAGCGACTCGTAGAGCACCCGGTAATATCGGTCGACCGCCAGATGTTTTCTGCTGGTGAACTGCTGCAGTAGCATCAAAGCCTGAATGCCGGTATTGAAATTGGACGAATGAGTGACCCGGAAGATAGTGTCAATGTGTGCTTCGAAGGTCGCATCGCTGGTATCCGCGAATGGGAACGCTCGGTTGACGCCAGCAAGAATTTGGGACACCAGCTTCTCGTTGAGCTCTTCCGCCGGCTTGTCAGATGGGAGCGGTTTTCCTTTCTTCTTGTTGAATTTGCGCCGTTGCTCCGGCTCGGGTGCCTTGACCACCGGGGTGTTCTCGTTTTTCTCTGATATCTTTAGTAATACTAGGAACAGGCCGAAGTAGATGTCCAACAGCTTATTCGCCAGCGTCTGCTCCTTCATGCTGAGCACCGTCTGGTTCAATGTGATGACCGCGTAGTACTTGGCATGATCGTTTTGACCCGGACGGAAAATCAGGTCAGCCTCCATGGCGTTGATGACCGTCTCCTTCATGGCCGGATGCTTGGTCTGCAGCTGCAGCAGCAGAAACGACGCTTTCGACGCGACCTTGCGGTTCGTATCTCCAACCTTGTTCACCAACAGTCGAAGGAGATTCTCCTCTTGCTCCGGCTTGGCGTTCAGGAGATCGGCAATGTACGTCAGCGCTCGGCTGCGCGAGTATTCGACTTCGTCGTTGCACCAGGTCTCTAGCGCTGTCAGGATCTTGAAGAACGTATGCTTCAGCCAGTCCTCGAACGCCCACACGATCAGGTGCGCGGGCCGGATGGGTTCCGGAAGCTCGTCGCCCGCCTTCCAATTCTTCATATCTTGTCCCTCAAGCGCGCTCAGCAGCGCGGGATTCTTCGCAAAGTATCGAAGTTTGCGGTCAGATGGGAGCACCGACCCTTGAGCGAGCAAATCGTTGATCGCTCCCAGCGCCATCAGGGACTGGCCACGGTTGCGCTTGTCCGCCAGGCTGACGAGGCTCTCGAAGGCCTTTTTGTTGTGCAGCGGGGACTCCTGGACGCCCAAGGTCAGGGCGGAGATCTTATCCTCCAGGGTTCCGGACGTCATGATGGTCGACATGAACCGCTGCGTGGAGTTCGACCGGGACGAGGTCTCCTGCTCGTATTTGGCGACCTCGGCGTCGAGGAGCTGGTTGGCATGGTTGTGCAATTCATCTAGTACACGCTTGGGTGGCTGAACAACGGAGTCGGAGATCGGGATGGAGGGTAGTTGGACAGCATGCCAGTCTGATCCAATTTCTATGTCCTGAGCAATTCGTCAGCAATCTTGTAAGATCGTCAGATCAACTGTGCCATACCAGATTCCTCTTCTTCGATTTCGGTGCAAATGTTGGCTCGGATTTGGGGCGCTTCGACTCCGAATTACGCTCAAATCGTTCCAAGGGCTTCCTTTTCTTCCCCATTTTGCCGAAATTAAGCAATGTATCTTGATATTAGGTATCTGGTGCTTGGGATGAATCAATCGAGCTTTTCGATTCCATGAAGATGATGAAATTCTCGAAATTTTGGGGTGGGGCCGTTGCAGGGAGATCTGCCACCGAAAGGGTCTGTTGCCTGAGGCAATAAGGCAAAACAAGCGACGCGTGACTGGACGCCTGCGACGCGTCAATGGAACTGTGGAAGTGAAGTCAATCTGATCAGCAGTTATTATTGACTGCTTCTCCATAATCGGCAAATCACATCAAATTCTTAATTTACCCTTCACTAGCCCGTGTGGCATGCTACATCGTCTCTCTCGATCCATCGTGTTCAATACACTCGTTCCACCCCGCTCAATCCATGTGAGCCATCCGTCTCCCTTCATTCGGTCCTTCTCGAACCTACTCTTCCCCCACCCAGCAACCATGTCTAAACAATCAACACTTGGGTATGTTAAATCGAGGCAGCAGACCCTCGGGTATGTGGCTGTCGCGTCCGCCTGTTTGGATAATGGCGACTTACGTTACACAGGAAATTCTTCGGCAAGCCGAATGGAACCGCTTCTAAAGCTGCCCCACGGCAATCGACGCTGGTGATGAAGAATGCACCAGAGGAGAAAGCAAACACAGCAGTTGCTGACAAAGATGAGGCTGAGGTGAACGATGAGGCCGATGTCAAAATGGAAGAGTCGACCGCCGAAACACCGGCGAAGAGTCCGGATGACTCTGGCGAGATCGGGGCGAGGAGGAGTTCGTTGAATGGGAAGAGGACTATTGCCGAAGAGGAGGACTCAAAATCAGAGGATGATAGCGACGAACCCCCAACCAAGCGGCAGCGCAAGCAGGCACCAAAGCCAGTCGAAAGCAAGAAGCCACAGCCGAAGAAGGACTCGATCTCACCCTCTCCATCGAAAGGCTCCGAAGGAGGCAGGGCGGCAGCACAGGGGGCACCAAAGAGCCCAGTCAAGCTCGCCGCGGCCAAGGTTCCCCAAAAGGCGAAGGACGAGGATGAAGCGGAGTCAACAAAGAGCGACTCAGCTGCAGAAAGCGAGGCAGACAGTGAAGGAGAGGAGAAGCCGGAGGTCGTTGCAAAAGCCCGCGAAAAGATCCAGACTGTTGTTAAGGGGGGTGGAAAGGATCCATATCCGGATTGGAAAGCGGGTGACCCGGTGCCGTATGCTGCGCTCTGCGCCACATTCTCGAAGGTTGAGATGACGACCAAACGGCTAGAGATCATGGCGCACTGCTCTCTGTTTCTACAACAGGTCCTGCGGTTGACTCCCGGTGACCTTCTCCCTACGATCTTACTCATGGTAAACAAACTGGCTGCCGATTACTCCGGGATTGAGCTGGGTATTGGCGAATCCCTGATCATGAAAGCGGTTGGAGAGAGCACTGGTCGGAGTCTTCAAGTTATCAAGGCCGATCAAAACGAGATTGGAGATCTCGGTCTGGTCGCCGCGAAGAGTCGTCTCAACCAGCCTACAATGTTCAAACCGAAGCCGTTAACGGTCCGTGGCGTTCATGCAGGGCTTATGAGTATCGCTACCGTCGAAGGTCAGGGATCTCAGGGACGAAAGATTGCCGGCATAAAGAAACTCCTCTCGGCCGCCGATGCGGAAAGCGTAGGGAAGGGCGCAAAGGGGGTTGACATCACCGAAAACAAGGGTGGCGCAAGTGAAGCAAAGTTCATTGTGAGAACGCTAGAGGGAAAACTCAGGCTTGGTCTCGCAGAAAAAACCGCGCTGGTTGCTCTAGCTCAGGCCGTGGTGTTCCATGAGATCACAACGGCGAACGATGGCAAGAAGGTCCCTAGCACGGAGCAGCTCGCCCAGGGTGAAAGGACCCTAAAAACGGTTTACAGGTAATCACTCCATAGCGCTATACTTGTGATCACGATGGACTGACAGCCAAACGCAGCGAGCTTCCAAGCTACGAAGTCATCATACCGATGATTCTCCAACACGGACTGGGTAATCTTCAAGACAATTGCAGACTCCAACCTGGAGTACCGCTCAAACCCATGTTGGCTCGTCCAACCAAATCTATCACCGAAGTTCTTGATCGCTTCGAAGGCAAGGACTTCACCTGTGAATACAAATACGATGGAGAGCGTGCACAGATCCACTACGTCGCGCATGACGCTCCGCAAAGCTTCGCCACGGACATCCCTTCGGCCGGCAAATCCGTGAAAGGCGTGGCGAACATCTTCTCGAGAAACTCGGAGGACCTCAGCAAGAAATATCCCGACATCCTCGCGAAGCTTCCGACGTGGGTGAAGGATACTACGAAGAGCTTCGTGCTGGATTGCGAAACGGTCGCGTGGGATGTGGTGGAGAAGAAGCTGCTTCCGTTTCAGCAATTGATGACGCGGAAACGGAAGGATGTCAAGGTTGAGGATGTCAAGGTCAAGGTCTGCGTGTTTGCGTTCGATCTTCTCTTCCTGAACGGAGAGGTACGTGCAATGAGTCCCGTATATCAACCCAGCTAACCCCTTCAGGCGCTGGTCAAGAAGACATTCCGTGAGCGTAGAGAAATGTTGAACGAGGCCTTCACGCCGGTTGAAGGGGAGTTTTCTTTCGCGACCTACAAGGACACGAACGAACTCGAAGAGATCCAAGCCATTCTTGAAGAGAGCATGAAAGCCGCCTGTGAAGGATTGATGGTGAAGATGCTGGACGGGCCCGAGAGCAGCTACGAACCCAGCAAACGAAGCCAGAACTGGCTGAAAGTGAAGAAAGACTACCTTGCCGGCGTGGGGGACTCCCTCGATCTTGTCGTGCTCGGGGCCTACTTCGGCAAAGGCAAGCGGACATCCGTATACGGTGCGTTCCTCCTGGCCTGCTGGAACCCCAGCACCGAGAAATACGAGACCGTCTGCAACATCGGCACTGGGTTCTCCGAAGCCATCCTCGAAGAGTTCCATACCAAACTGTCCGAGATGGTCATTGAGAAAGCGAAGCCATTCTACTCGCACAGCGCTGGCAACAAGGATCAGCCCGACGTGTGGTTCGAGCCACAGATGGTCTGGGAGGTCAAGACGGCGGACTTGACGCTCAGCCCGCGGTACAAAGCCGCTGCGGAGGAGATGGCAGGAGGGAAAGGGGTTAGTTTGAGGTTCCCACGGTTCATCAGGGTGCGAGACGATAAGAAGCCCGACCAGGCGACTTCGAGCAGGATGGTGGCGGAGATGTACAGGAAGCAAGATGCGTCCTCGAAGCCCAAGGGACCGTCGGTTGATGACGACTTTGAGTATTAGAGTGGCATCACGGGCGCCGCTTCGGCCCTCATATATAGTGAACCCAACATGGCAGCCAAGAGGAATGGCGGATGAGATGAATTTACGGCATATACTATTCTACCTACTTCAATGATGGAGAAGGATAAACCAATGATTACACGTGGTAATTAAGAGGCGCACCTGAACGTAATCATGTCCCAAGCCTTAAACCAGTGCCTACAATATTGCATATATTCATGGACAGCACTCATATTTCACCGACACCATATCGGAGTCTGGACAAGTTGACGGAGTCGGCCCGTTCATTAATCTTTGCACTTTGGTTCACCCTCGCCTCTTGAACCATCCATCCTCACCCGCCATCCACCCACCCAGTCACGGACCGGCACCTTGCCGAGGCAAAAGTTTCTTCGAGACGCGTCCAAAGGCGCCGACATTTGCCCTCCCCCTACATGCAACAATCGACGATTTGCTCGCGGCCCAGACGGCCCAATTAAGGCGCGCCTAGTGAAATGGCCGAATTTTCCACTCCTCTTCTTCGGAGGCTGATGTCGGTCCGACGGAGCGGCGCCGCCCCGGTTCTGGCGGCTGCGTCGTGTCGTCGATCGTCGCCTACGAGGAGTCTGGTACGCCATTTGCATCTGGGACGGCAAGAAAGTTTACGGAAGGGTGAGTATAAGGCGTGGTTTCCCTGATTATTATATTTCAGTTCTGTTTCGCCTTTATTCCTCTTCTACGTTGTGCCGTGCCTAACGTCCAATTCACCTAGCCATCCCGCATTCGCTACATACATCACGGGCTTCATCAACGCAGTCCCATCCGTCCACCTCCGCTCCCACATATTTCCCCCCTCCACCGGACTCCCCCCCGGAACGCAAATCCCTCCTCTCCCGCATCCTCCGCTTCTCCCTCATCTCCTCCGTCTTCTTTGTCACCGGCTTCATCATGGCCGCCTCCCCCGCCGCCGAGAACCTCAAAGCATTCCGCGACCCCCCCACCGACGAAGAGACCCTCACCCTCTTCCACCCGGCCCCCGACACCCAGGCCGCCGAGGTCGAAGCCTACATCCAGCGCCACCCGTTCGTGGAGCACCTACGACAAAACGCCACCCTCCGCGAGTCGCGCCCCCATCTGAAGATCCCCGAGGCGGTGCGCTCGAACACGCTGACGGCGGGCACGCTGCTCGGCGAAGACCGGATTGCGGTCCCCCCGATCCAGTTCGCGGATGGCGAGGGGACAGAGATGATCGCGCTGTACTACCTGGGCAAGTCGCTGTGCGGGCACCCGGGGATCGTGCACGGAGGCTTGCTGGCGACGTTGATGGATGAGGGGTTGGCGCGGTGCTGCTTTGAAAGCTTGCCGAATAAGGTGGGGATGACGGCGAGTTTGAAGATCGATTATCGGCTGCCGTGCAAGGCGGAGCAGTGGGTGGTGTTGAGGGCAAGGACGACGAAGACGGAGGGGCGGAAGGCGTGGGTGGTGGGGAAGTTGATGGCGTTGGAGAGTCCGGAGGAGTGGATGGAGGGGGAGAAGGCGAAGATTACGAATGGGGTGAATGGGGAGAGTAATGGGGAGAAAAACGGCGAGACGGATGCGTATGATTGGGGACGGGGTGGGGTAGTGGTTGAATCGGAAGGGTTGTTCGTCGAGCCGAAGCAGGCAGCGGTAAGTTGGAGATGAATTCCTCCACATGAATTTGACTGACGAGGACAGACCATGAAGAGGTTGATGGGGAACAAGCGTACGTAAAAGGTCATACTAGACTTATGTTACGTGTTTCTGTGCTTTTCACGAGGCGCACTGGGACTTTGGATAGACAGTCAGGCTGGCTGACTTGACGTCTATATATTTCATACAAATTAGACCAGCTGGATACCTAGAATCCAAACAGCGCTAGCTATGCGTCTATTTCGGACCGCTGAACATCAGGTCCTCTCAATGCACTGTAAATAAAGAGTGGAGTGTGCATCTTCCGTCTATCCTTCTATCCCGAGATGTGCAATCATTATCCAAGATGTATACCGTTTTACTACCGTTCCTGCCACCGGTCCTTCGCAAACATCCCCCGAGTCCCCTTCTATCTCCCCCGCCTCCATTCATTATACGCCTCCTTCCACCCCTCTTCCACTCCCCCACATCTTGACCTTACCACATCCCAGCTCCTCTCCCTAATAATCTCCTCCACCATCCCCTCATTCCTCACCCACCTCCCCAGCCGCTCCGCCCGTGCCTCCTTCGGGAACCACCGCCCACTATACGGATCCAACCGCTCATCCACCGTCTGCCTCTCGCGCGTATGTTCCTCGATCCGCCGCTCGACCGCCCCGGGATCGTCCGGGTCCGGCGACGACGCCACCGCGCTGCAATATGTCAGCACGGCGTCCCGCGCGTTCCAGGCGGGGAAGAGCGTCTGCGCGGTGAAGGTGGTGCAGGTGGAGGGAGGGAGTTGGCGGGTGGTGGGGATGCTGGGGCGGGTAGAGACGGTGGAGGGGGTGAAGGGGGAGCGGGAGGGTTCGGAGAGGGCGTTGAGAGATTGGGAGATGGTGTCGTCGAGGGCGGAGCGGGAGACGCGGAAGAAGTCTAGGAGGGGTTAGGTTGGGTTATTGGGGGGATGCGGAAGGACGGACCTCGAAGGGCGGATTGGTTGAAGCAGAACTTCGGGGTTAGCTCTGGCGTCTCGGGGTGATGGGAGTTAGACGCCATGGTGGTGGATTGCGGTGTGGATGTTTCTTGGGGTGTTGAAGATGGAGCCGCCGGAGGCGGAGTCCGCCAGAATAACCAAGCCGTTTTGAAGGTGATGGAAGAAAGTATGTCAGGATTTCAATATCGTGTTCTCCGACTCTAAGATTAATCGATGTTGGTGTGGCTTTCCCAACGACGATAATCTCAATATCAGTTGGAAATCGAAGCTCCATAATGAGAGCATCGACTGACGTCGAGAGGAAGCGGCATGATACAGGGGTCCATCTCTACCAATATCGTCAGTGTAGATCTTCGATGCTTCAATTGTTGACTTTTATATAATTATTCCCATCTACTATGGCTCTTCAATTACCTGTTTCTATACATGTACCCTGATGATTTGCTGTGGCTCCTTCGCCGTCCTTTATAGGGGCTCATGGCGTCACTCATTTAAACTTCTGTCTTTTCAAGTCCCGAACCACAGTCATGTAGCGTTCTCAACATGTAGCGCCTTGGTAGGAATGGCTCTACTTATTCAATTAAAAGAGGAGCTAACCGGAGAACTAGCGACGCCATGAGATGCAGCGTATAGAATGGGCCCCGGTACGGTACCTGAAAGACGAGAAAGCAGGTGTGTGAACCCATGGAGTTGAGTCAATGTGGTATTCGATCTAACGATGAATAGGAGACAAAGAGGACACTTTCTCCTTACTAGAGAGGGCTGGATATATCCGCCAGGTGAGGATCTTAACGTGATGGGTCATCCTCATTGATACTAAGTTTTCTCTCGAGTCTCATTCGGGGGTTTTTCATATGCTACCCCTTGGGTTGCGAGTCCTTGACAAACTCGAGGGGCTTATTGATCACCACATGCGTTCGCTGGGTATGATCAAAGGGTTTTCCAAACAATGTTCAATACTCATACCCCGTAGATGCGAGTAAAGTTTCCTTATCGTCCTTGACCTCCGAGTCATTGTGGAAGAAAACCGGACGGTATGAGAAAGTGCAGTCAGAGGTATGTGTTCGCATCTGCCGGTTCCAAGTGGATGTTAAGTCAATCTCCAGCTTTTCGGAGTCACCGACCGTAGAGAATCGGGATTCGTGCTCGCCCCGACTCATGAGGAGGAGATCACGAGTATTGTCGGAGATTCTATACGAAGCTCCTCCGACCTGCCCCTACGGCTCTACCAGATCAGTATGTCCACTGTTACGGCAACGACTAACCGGTGGTATCTGGCTTATATCTGACTATCTCCAGCTCGAAAATACCGCGATGAACTAAGACCTCGACAAGGTCTTCTACGGGCCAAAGAGTTCATCATGAAGGATCTGTATACATTCGATGCGGATCATGACAGCGCCCTCCAAGCGTATGACGCCGTAAAAGAGGCATATAACGCTCTCTTCACCAACCTAGGCCTGCCATTCGTGGTTGCACAGGCAGACTCCGGAGTCATGGGCGGCAGCCTCAGCCACGAATACCACTACCTATCACCAGATGGCGAAGACACGGTGCACATCTGCGGGACATGCGGGTACGCCGTGAACGACGAAGCAGTCGACGCCACCGCACAGCAAACCGCCGCAACCAACGCAACCGACGGCCCCGCCACCGGCATCATCTGTCCGAAATGCCCTGACGACACGAACTCCACCCTGGCGCCGCAACGCGCCGTCGAAGTCGGCCACACCTTCCACCTCGGCACGCGCTACACGGCGCCGCTGCACGCGACCGTCTCCATCGCCGGAAAAGACACGCCAATGCACATGGGGTGCCACGGGATCGGCGTATCGCGCCTGATGGCCGCGGTGGCGTCACAGCTGTCGGATGCCACGGGGCTGGTGTGGCCGCGCGCGATCGCACCGTTCGACGTGGCAGTGATCCCGAAATCTCTCCCGGGGTCGCCGTCTTGGCTGCTGGTGGAGCGGGTGTATGAGAGGCTCCGGTCGGTACGTGTGCCGAACAGGAGTGGAGGGGGTGCGCGGCTGGACGTGGCGGTGGACGATCGCAGCGGGAAGAAGACGAGGTCGTTGGTCTGGAAGCTCAACGAGGCGGATGTGGTGGGATATCCGATTGTCTTGGTGGTGCCGGGGAGGAACGGGGATGGGTCGGTTGAGGTGCAGTGTCGACGGCTGGGCGTCAAGGAATCGGTGAAGGTAGAAGACCTGGTGCACAAGGTGCAGGAATTGTCGACAAAGCTCTAAGCGCTTAGATCCCTGCGATGGCATTCTACTGTTAAGGCCTTTCTCTCAATTGTAAAAGAGTACTCGGCATGGGGGGAAAGGACAATGTATCATAGATAGGAGGTTGAATAAATAGAACTTTAACGCAATCAGAAGCCGGTATTCTTTTGGCCCGGGGACGATATTCTCCTGAGATCCAAATCATCCGTTTTAACTTTTAACACACTTCCCATCTCACCGAAAGCATAGCGATCCAGACTTCCACATCGTATCCTGCAATACCGAGTTCTTATCATTGAAACATAATCTGCGATAGGCCGCAAGTATCGCGATTCTCTACCCGAGTCTAAATCGTATAATAGTCTATTGTTCACATCAACCGAGCGATCGACTCCTCAACGCATCCCGAACACCACGCAAAACTTAAACTCCCCCAACCTCATCCCCCATCACCCACTCTACCGATCCCCCCTCCTCCTCGTCTTCTTCTGATTCGTCACCTCCTCATCTTCCTCCTCCTTCCCCTTCACCAAATCCTCCTCTAACCCCCACTCCTCCCGATCATACCAATCCTCCCCGTCCGACATCTCCCCCACATGCCCCTCCGTCCGACACCACTTCCACACCGTCTTCCGCATCCGCAGCGCCTTCAATAACCCATGATAGAGCTTCGACGTCCCCCGCACCACCTCCTCCTGCTTCGACACGTAGGAGACCAGGAACGCACGCACGTCGTGCGCTTCGTTGGTGGGGAGCCCCGCGTCGAAGCCTGGGATTGCGGTGGCGTTGAATTCGAAGAAGGGGTGCACGAAGGGGGGAAGGGAGGGGTTGCTGGAGGGGGAGCGGGAGGTGCGGTGCGCGCGTGCGCGGGTGGTCATGCGGTGGGGGGGTTGCGAGGGTTCGCCGTCCGCGTCGGCTTCGTCGGCAGCGTTGTCGTCCTGTTCGGCATCGGGTGCTGGGGCGTCTCCTTCTGCGATGGCGGTTTGGGGAGCGTGGTCGACGGCGCCGTTGGTCGTCGCGCCCGTCGCCGCCGCTTCTAGCTCTTCGATGATCAAGTTTTGGGAGGGTGGCGCGGCGGCAACTCCGTTTGGAGCACGTGGTTCCGGCGGTGAGCCATTAGTAGTTTGCATCGGCTCGTCCGCGGCGCCGGCGACCGTCTCCTGCGGTAGGTCCACGTCCATCCGTTCCTCGTCTCCCGTCGGTTCCGGGAGTGCCTTGAGCGGGCTCCCAGCACCCCCATTTGCAATAGGTCCCCATATGAGCGCCATGACATCCGGCTGTTCATCTTCGGCCCCATTTGTGATGGTATTGAGTAGCCACTCGTCGTAGTCGCTCTGCACGGCACCGACTGGGACCCAACCGCTGTCACCGCGGAGGTTGGTGAGTAGGTTTTTCATCCGCCATAATGTCTCCTGTTCTTTATGTAGCGATTCTTCCGCTGCGGTTACCATTTCGGGGAGAGCAGCGGACTTGTAGGGTATTGAGAGACCGGGATGTGTGGGAAGGTCGGACGCGGCTGTGAGTGGTCCCAATATGACTAGAAAAGAAATCAGCGCTGCTCGATCGGACCGTAGGTTCGTAGTTTACCTTCAATTCTAGTGTCCTTGTAGGTATTGTCTTCGTTGTCTCGAGCATCGTAATCCTCATCGTCGTCGGTCTCAATGATGTCGCCGTATTCGTCAAAGCGCGGTGGGTTGCGAGAAATAATGCTGCGGTCATACCCAGCGTATCGGATGCGCTATTTCGAAATCTTTAGCATGCTCTCGGGAGGTTGATGAAAGCCGACATACCTTTTTTTGTGTTGCCGGGCCATTTGGATTGTCAAGTTTCCCCTCCTGCACGTACTTCGCTTTGCGCTTAAGCTTGTTGCCGCGATTCGTCGCTAGCACGATAGAGTCGTCGGATTCGGAGTCTGTGGATACAGTGAGTATTATGATCGATATCTGACCGTTATAACCCTCGGAGAGCTCAGTGGACATGACGCGCTCGTCTTTTAGTCAAGCAGTTCGATCCGCTCTCGCCTGACGCCAGAAACACTCGCTTGAAGCTCGCAGGGTGGCCTTTATGTCCTTTCGACTAGGCTGCATTGTGAATGGTGACGTACCATATTCATGACGCTTCGAGGCTCTCCGAAAGCCCAAGAGGACCTCGTTCATTATGGACTGCTGCGAAGCCATCGTTGCGTGTAGGATCGACGTCCCAACCGGGCGAGTTTGGGGTAAGGCGAGAACGCAGGATGGCTCGAGGTGGGGAAGGAGGTTATGAGAGTTCCAGCAAGTCGATAGCTAAGGAGCGCATCCGGAAACTAACGGTTGAATGAATCGATATAGTAGAGGTTGAGAAGGAGAAAGGAAAATGGAGGGCAGCGTCACGGCGTGGGATTGTCCAGATGAAGCTGCGGAGTGACGGTTCGGGAATGCAGGGGTCCCCTGTCACTAGCACCGAGCCGCGAATATCCTCAGGGTTGTTCTTGATTCTTCACGTTGGATTCGGGTTTCGACCGAGGGTTGATATGGACATCTCGATTCCTCCATTGGCAACTTCTGCAGAATCTGTGGCCTTTCAGGTATTCATCTCTCCAGCTAAAGTGGAGTTGATGTCAAATGGAATCTAACTTGCAGCAGGTCGCCGTCCTCCATCAGACACTGCCCTTCAATGCGGTTCATGTACAAGCCATTCAGCTCTGTTTAACATCCGAGAGACCGAGATCTAGTATCTAGATTCTTAGTAGACCGTTGGCGAGGTCATTTGTGATCGCCTCCGAATCTCCAATGGCACTCAATGCCCCCATCGATCCCTCGACGATCTGCAGAAGATGCCTAACGCGCCTTGCACGACCCCGGCTCACCGGAGACAGACTCTGGACGAGAAGAAGTAAAACAGGCATCACAGGGACCTCTTCACTACGCCAGACATTTGTGAGCCTGCCTCGCAAGCAATCTGATCATGACCAAAGCGGTATAATTGGAGGAGAGTCCCGTCGTGCGAACCGGGATTTCTTCCTGGCAAATTCGGCGTTTAAGGAGCTTCTGAGCGGACAAATGAAGAGCAGGGAGTCCAGTGATTCCGGTAATGGAAAGAATTTCTTTACCGGGAAGGTGGTGGGCAGTGGGGAGATAACACGATCGCATGGCAGTATAGGTGTGGGAGACACTCCGACACACGTATCAACTCCACAATCCCAGGATTTACCACACCGAAGAAGGCAGCGACAAAAAGCACTAGCCGCGCAGCAAGACGCCGAGCAAACAGCCGAACAGGACCTCCCTGCCGATGCCCCTTCAAAGCTCACTACCCTCTCCGCTTCCCTTCCGGAGCACTCCTTCAAACGTTCGATGTCGACGTACCTCGCGCTCGCCAAACCGCGCCTATCCTTCCTCATCGTCCTCACCACGACGACCGCCTACTCTTTATACCCTACCCCCGACTTCCTTGCCGCCGCATCGGGTTCGCCCTCCCTGAACGCCCTGACCCTCCTCCACCTCACTACCGGAACAGCCCTCTGCTCTGCTTCCGCGAACGCCCTAAATATGCTATACGAGCCCCTCTCCGACGCCAAAATGTCACGCACGCGAAATCGGCCGCTCGTCCGCAACCTGATCACCCCGTCTCGCGCGCTCCTGTTCGCCGGCGCGTCTGCCCTCACCGGAGCCACCCTTCTAGCCCTCGGCACCAACCCCGTCGTAACCGGTCTCGGCATCCTCAACATCGTCGTCTACGCCGGCATCTACACCCCCCTCAAACCCCTCTCTGCAATCAACACTTGGGCCGGCGCCATCGTCGGCGCCATCCCTCCTCTAATGGGCTGGGCCGCCGCTGCCGGCGAGTGCGCCACCACGCCGCTCAGCACCATCACCGCGGCGTCGTCCACGCTCTCCGATCGCCTCCTGGACGGCTTCGGCTTCATCTCGGGGTTCCAGACTCTGTTGACGGGGGCCGATAGCGCGGGAGGGTGGTGTCTCGCCGCGCTGCTGTTCGCATGGCAGTTTCCGCATTTTAACGCGCTGGCGCACCCAATTCGGAATGAGTATCGGCGGGCGGGGTTGCGGATGCTGGCGTGGAGTAATCCGGCGCGGAATGCGCGGGTGTCGTTGCGGTATTCGATGGTGCTGCCCGTTACTTGTATCGGGTTGACAGCGGCCGGGGTGGTGTCGTGGCCGTTCGTCGTGCTCTCTGCGCCGGTGAACGTCTGGTTGATGAAGGAGGCATTCTCGTTTTGGCGGCAGGGAAAGAAGCATGGGTCAGAGAGTAAGCAGGTGACGAAGGCGGCGCGAGGACTGTTTTGGGCAAGCGTTTGGTATTTGCCGATGGTGCTGGTGTTGGCGATGGTTACTAAGGTGGGGCTGTGGGATGGGGTGAAGGCTCGATTGGCGAGACTGTTTGGATGGAGCGACGACGATGAGTTATGGGATCTGGAAGATGATGAATAGTTAGAGTTGCCATATACTGGTTAGCGGTCAATTAACAAATTCCGCCTCAAGAAGGTGTCTCATGTGCCTGTGGCTCAAATGACTCCTCCGGGTGCTATACCGCGGGCTCCTTAACCATATTCCGGTCGAAGTAAGCCGTTGACCCAAGGGCCACTCAACGAGTGGGACCTGTATCCTTATGAAGCGGCGAGGAATATATTGATCCCCAAATGAATGAAAAGGGGGTGGGAGTACTCCTTCAGAATACCGTTAAGGGGGATGTTTGGATGGAAACACCGCATTAGCTAGAGGGTGTCAGTGGTAAGAGGATCACATTGCCCCAGCCAATGTCCTAAAGCACATGCCCATCTTCAGTGCGGTGCGTAGAGGATAAGCCAGGAGTGTGTTAGGTAGACTCAGGAGCCAGGTGCTCTGCCATCCATCAGGCACATGAAAGCAATCCACCCCCATTGAAGTGCACTACATAAACCAAACAAACCCATTCCTATTAAAGGAAGCAATCTGACTACGTGGCGTAGTGGTCCCCATAGGGAGTACGTTGGAAAACCTCAGAACCCAGGGACCTACTAGGTGATAACTAGGGCCGCGGGATTTATAGTTTTGCTATTTAGATGGAGACTTTTTGGCAACGAGGAGAAAAATAAATAAATAGGATTTTATGGGAGGGGGTTGGGAGCGATTCGAATGGGGCCACTGTGGTATTGAAGGGTGGTGCGAGAGGTGGCATTCAACGTGGAGTAGATTCTGGTTGGATGCAGACACGACCTGCAACCAACGGGCTTTTGAAAGTAGGTAGAGCTTCAAGCGCGTGAACCAATCTCATCAACAACAGTGAGAGGAGAAATTCATCATATCATTAGTCGTGGACCCGAAATGCGGGCAATGGTTCTGAGCTAGAACCAACTCTAACGCCTCTCATAGCTAGGTTCTTCGCACTGCTTCCCCTCCTAGCATCCCAATAAGCTTGAACGGCCTCGTGATGAAGGAGACAGTGTATTACCAATGCCTCGATTTTGATTCTCAGGAACCCTCAAGTCCGATTCCGGAGCTCTGGCGAACACTACAGATCGGATTCAGTCGCTGCGCAAGGGGTTTAGGGAAAGGGGTATCATACCACTCATATTTGTTAAATGGGGGCTCGACGCCTTCATGAACAAGCCGCTGGCTATGTCATTGCCCAACTAGGAGCAATAGTAGCATCATCACGCTCTTCCTCCTTCGTCTGCGTAGCCAGAGTCAGGATACTGTTGCCGCAGCTCCTGGATCACATTCTGCCGCCAGTCAACCCATATGAACCTTGAACTCTACTGGGGCCATTTAACATACTGCAAGTGCTTCCGGATTGACGCCATTCTCAATCAACGACACGCAGTATGACAGTTGTTGGCGCGTCAGTTTCGTGTTCTGCGAGGTTAGCGACTGGGCTTAGTTTATGTCGTTGCGTCGGATTACCAGGAGACCTGAAATCTCGTCGAGGATGTCGATGACCTCGCGGGCCGCTTGGCGTTTGTCAGCTTCTTGAGGAGGCATTTTATGGGAATTCTCCAAGCCCTTGGAGTCGGAGATATTGTTATACTCTGGCGTTCGTGAGACAACTGAAGTCAAACACCTTGTTGACCTGGCACCTGGCTAGGACTATTGCTGCCTTAATGCCTGAGGCTTTAATAAATCACGTGCCCACCAGAGTAGCTGGACCCTGACAATTCGATGGAAATAGTCAGCCTCTTAAACAATACTTGCATCATAAAGTGTCATATTATCCAGTCTAGTTCTGGGATTAAATCCTCAGACTCACCTGCAGTCCCTTGATCTCAGGTGTCCTTGGGGAAAGGGAAAGGCGAGTCTGACTCTCAATGACGTCTGAACGCCTGGAATCATGAATACCATATTAGTCCTCTCATATCTACTGCTAACTTCGTCTACTCACACAACACTTACACTCTAGATTTCTTCTTCTCACAGCAAACCGAATCGAGTTCTCACTGATCACAACGCCCTTCTCATCATGTCAGCCCGAAACGCATACAGAGGGGGCCGCCTCGAAGACATGGCCCCAACCGGCACCACCATCCCCGACGATGCCAGCGTACCACGCACCATTTCCTCCGTTCCCCGTCCCGATCAAGATCCCAATCACCGAGCCTACCACGGCGACGGGGCCGACAACCCGGAGGACATCCCGCGACGAAACAGAGACCTCGGAACGACGGGAGAAGTAGTCACAGGCACGGGAGACCGTCTCCCCGTACAGGTGGAGAGCAAGAGGATGCACTTTGATCCGAACAACCCGGCGGCAAAGGGTCATGATCGAGCGGAGAAGCATAGAACGGATCACCATGCTGATGATATTGGGAGGTATGGGGGGAAGGGAGCGGAGGTTGATGTGCCGCCAGGAGAGGAAGGGTTGGATCAGGATACGATTCGACCGCCGAAGACCGCTTAGGTTGAGTTTCCCAATGTCGGGATAGCTAAGTTGGGAATGAGTATTACGGAGCTATCCCACAACAAATTGAATGCCTCGTGATTACGGTAGCCGGTATGTCCATATCATTTCTAGAACAAAAACCAAGAACATGCCTTCATCAATCATGACCTCCGTCGGAACTTCTGGGGGATATTCTCCTCCATGATCCCCAACCGCTCCCGCTTCTCCCACGCCGCGTTCTCCGCATCCAGCTTATCATGCTCCTTGAAATGTTCGATATCCTCCGGATGAACCAAATCCTCCTCCTTCGCGTCGTCGCCGTGATATTTCTCGAAATGGTGGATCTCGTACTCGTACTCCGAGTCACCGTGATGGCCTGGCCCTGTCCCAAAGTCCGGCAGCGTCACGCCGTTGCCCGTGGCGGCGAGGTACTCCGCTTTGGAGATCAGGCCGTCGTGGTTGAAATCGTACAGCTCGAGGACTTTCTGTGCGATCTGCGCCTTGCGTGTCTCGGGGATGTTGCGGGTCGATTGGTCAAAGAGGCCGTAGGTGCGGCGGATATCGTCCGGGGACCAGGAGCCGGTGTTGTCGTAGTCGTGAAGGTGGAAGAAGACGGCGGCGTCGAAGCCGTTCATGTGATGCTCCTCTTTAGTAGGTGACGATTCATTAGTGGTGGATCCTCACAGCGCTATATTTCGAAGGTTACGACGTACCAGACATATGCCGTGTTGCCCAATCCGTACCTGGGGGAAGAGGAGCTTGATCATGACCTCCGTGTGCTGCTGCGCAACAAGAGAGCGCGGCCCATGATAGGAGGGATATTGCAACGGTTCGTAATATCATGGCTTATATTCTGCTAAAGGTGCAATTGGAAAGTAGCACAGAGGTTGAGTTGCTTGTTGATATTCGAAGCATTCTGGCGGCAGGGGCATAGACTGTATGAACATGGCGCTTTACCACCAGCAGTTAGCGCGGAGGATAAGGGGAGACTTCGGGGTCGACATCATAATATCAACCGCTATTTTCCACTTCGAATATCTCGATTAGAATAAATTCCTTTGGATTTTTAAGGTAACAACTTTTTTTGAACACCAAAAATTGATGCCCACTCACTGGATCTTGCTTTTTGTCGATCTCTTGAGAGAAACAGACTCCCGTGGACCTGCTTCAACCAGACACGTTAGTTGGTATGGCCCAGCGTTCTATGGTTGTAGTGACCATGAAGCAGCATTCCCCATGTATTTAGACCAGTAGCGTAACAACGGAAACCATTTCCATATCGTACCGTTCTCTTATCCCATCAACACACTTCCCTTCTTCCTACAGTTGCAAACCCACTGTCATCCTCCAGTATTCCCCTGATCACTTCCTCATCCCGACAGTGCCGACAAAGACTCCGAAGCGATGGGTTTTCGATGCGGGTACAATGCAGCACGGAATGTCTGCGCCGAAATCGAATTGGAAACACGGGGAGTCTGCTCGCGTCGGTCATGGCCTGGATTGCACGAGATGCGGTTTCCTGCGCAGCGGTGGTCAAAGGATGTTGAAGCACAGCACGGCCGGCTGAAAAGAGTCGTTGTCGATGGGTGGGATTTCGTGCATTGGAAACCATGAGTCGACCGAAGGATTTGATTTGCTAACACTGACTGTTAGCATGGAGGTTCAGGTGATGATCCTACCACGTACAACCAGGTGTCTCGAGCCGAAAGGTTGTTCTCTGACTGTCGGAAGATATCCGCCACTGGGGATGCATTCCCATTCTTCGATATCGGCATCCGCATTTGCCCACTGGTTCGCGCCTGGCCCACCATAGCTACCTTCGCTTTGACGGTGGTAACACTCAGCACCCTCTATCCCTCCACCAGTGCCACGTCCCGCAATGACAGCCGACTCCCAGGGGTTACTATTCAACTCTAACATTTCCGAAACCATGGCTGCTGAGCGCAGCGGTGGCACTGGCCTGCCATCACTTGCGAGATCGAAAGAGTAAGATCTACTCAGGCATCCACTGCTGCCCGAGAGGCTCTCGATGCACCCTTCGGAGAGTCCAGCAGACATCCAGTCGGGGACTGATCGGAAAGAGCTAGTAGAGTCGCAGGCGGAGGAGATGGACGATCGAGGCGAGGAAGACATGATAGGATGGTCGTCGGTCGAGCGGCGGCGATTATCGGTTTTCTGAGTTGGTTTTGTGAGCGTGTGTATTAGAGACTGCTATGTTGCCGTCTGCGTATCTCGGTAGAAATGAGAAGAGGAGGAAATTGGCTAGCGAAAGTTTTAAGAGTAGGCATCATGTCGCAGTGTCGGTTACGCCGAGAGTCATGATGGTTCAGGTACCGAATCTTTCAAACATTTTTGCGTTGTTAGACTGAAATCCCACACGAATATGCACTGATAGCACATGCGTGAAATGGGTGAATGCAATACCCACACTCTCTCGGAAAATGATGAAAGTCAGTTGATGCCATCCATATTCACTATTATTTACAAAGTATTTAGTGAAAGCCTATCTGTTCCCATTAATCTTTCATCTTTCATAACCGCTTCATCTTCGTCAGCCGACAGACGGTCGAGCAACCTAGCATCTCTCAAAGACACGATACAACCCTTTCAGATTAGCGATCTCGACGACCCCTTTGAGCAGTCCCTTCGTCGCAACGATCCGACCACGGAACGCCGGAAACAGAACATGTTCCACTGCCTTCGCCAACTCATTCCTTCTCCCTACAATTTCCGCATCCTCCATCTGAACTTGAGCGCTGTCCACTGGATCAGGAGCTGAAGGGAGTGCCTCTGGTGTATAGAAACTAGCAAGCTCGGTTAGGAAAGTCTGGAAACACTGCTTTTCATCCGTCCAGTCGACGTGAGGACCTAAGCGAAGGAGGAATGTCGGTAACTTGGCCATGGAGGGAGTGTATCCTTTAACAAGGAGAGGCAAACTTCCGAGTTCCCCATCTTCCGAGATGTCAATCATGAGATACTCCGTGAGCATCTCTCGACGCGCGATGAGTTGCTGCATCACTGTTTCGACGACCTCATCCCAGTCAATTTCCTCGCCTTGATCCATGCTGTCTTCATCTTGGATGGTCTGCGACTGCTCTCGTTCATACGCCGCCCCGATCTCCAACAGCTCTCGAAGATTCAGTGGCGGATCCAAACGAAGACGGCCGAAATTCATGAAATCGGTGAGTCCGACTTGGTAGAAGTACTCGTTCGACACCATGCCGTAGTCGACAAGGAACAACTTGACCCCGGATTGGATCGCAGCAATCCGTCGTCGGATATCAACCACACCAATGAAGATAAGCTCACTGAACACGTCGGTGAGCTCATTGTGCATCGCCTCTCGGACCTCTTGTCGGAGGTCTCGGATGGAAACCAGCTTGCAAGAAGTATACTCCCTATCAGTACGCTCGTATTCCATTTCGTCTGGCGGTGCCCTGGACGCTTGATGACTGCTCCCGGCCTCTCCAATATGCGTAGGAGTGAACATCGTGGTAATCTTCCGGCTTTTTGCATCCGTGCGAACGAGGTTGTTCTCATACGGGCGCTGAGCGGGCGTTTTGGGAGTGAATTTTGGCGCGCCGCCGATGGAGGGGATATCTGGAGACGGCTGGCCGGATTTTTTCGCGGACCGTGCTGGGGTATCGAGACGCGAGCCGGGTAGTAATGTCTGGGTAAGGAACGTTCGACTGGTATCGACTTTCGCCAATTCCGACCTGATTTCATCGCAGATCGCTTCGATGATCTCATCTTCGTTCAAGAAATTGACTTCGCGTTTCGTCGGATGAACATTGACGTCGACGCGATTCGGCTCGATTTCCAAGCTCAAATACACGAATGGATGGCCGCCTTTGGGAAGGAATGTCGCATACGTTGCATCGATGGCTTTCTTGATCGCGGAACTCTCCACCGCTCGATGGTTGATGAAGAGTAATAGTATGGTCTTCTTGACGCTGTAGTTCGCATTGCTCACCCAGGCGTCGGCTTTGAAGCCCCAGCGTTCATTCGATGTCGTCCAGTGCACCACTTCGTTCGCAATTTGCGTTCCATGAACCGCCCGTATGCGATCAACCGTACTAGCGTTGACCGGAATCTGCAGACTCCGTGCGCTCTCTCCGTGCTTCTTACAGGAAAATCCCACATGAGCACAGTGAATGGCATGACGGCCCACCATATCGATGATCTTCGCATATTCTTCGCTGTGAGAACGGAACGCCCTCCGGCGGGTGGGGATGCTGTAAAACAGATCTTCTACCGTGATCTGGGTGCCTTGCCGTCCTGCTTGGGACTTGGGTTCTGCACTTTGGCCGGGCTTGGGAGGAACCAGTTTACCGTCGGCATATTGGGCTCGCCAAGCACAACTCGATTCGGCAGTTCGGGTAACAACGGTCAAATGAGCAATATGGCTGATGCTCGCGAGAGCCTCACCGCGGAAGCCATAAGTCTCGATTGACTGGAGGTCTTCAAACGCTTTGAGCTTGGACGTGGTGAATCGCTCGCATAACAATGATAGATCGTCTTTCTGCCGAGATCACTGAGAAAGCTGCATCAACTGTAAGGGGGCTTATATACATACATCTATACCATGTCCATTGTCAGTGATCTGCAGCAGCTTCAGCCCGCCGTCTTTCACAACCACTTCCAGCTGAGTCGCTCCCGCATCAACGGAGTTCTCGATCAATTCTTTGAGCGCGTGGACAGGGGCGACGATGATCTCCCCCGCGGCAATCTTGTTTATTACGTCTTGAGCTAGCGGCTGGATCTTTCGGGAGCCACGCGGAAGGTCGTCTGAAGCCTTTCGTTTCGTGCCTCGTGGAGACGCAGCGGGCTCACCCTGACTCTCCATATTCGCGGAGGATCTCGAGACCGAACCTTGTGGATATTATGGAATGTTCTTATCAAAATCTTAAAGTCATCGCATTGTTTCAAGTTAGATGGATTTATTACCTCGTCCTAAGAGAACGTCATGAAGTCGACGAGTCGCGCCAAGATTTCAAACCAACGCGTGAGCACGTGACCGCAGATGTCCAAATTGAATAATGAATAGACGACCAAATGCAGCCGGAATTAGAAGGAAAATAGCATTAGTTAGAAATCTATGGTTCAGAACTATCTCTAGACATAAGCTCATGCTCGGTTTCGGATACCAATTCACTTCCTTCGTGAGACGGACGTTCAACTAATGGATCATAATGAGCACCCCTGTTACTGCCGAACGGACGTATCCGTCCACCCAGTCCACCAAATCTGCTAGAGACCCACGATCCAACTTTCTGGAAGACCAACCATATCCTCTCTTGGGTTTCTGCAACCGAAGAGTCGTCTCGTGGGTTCTCCTGGGCCTCGACCTTGAACTGATATTTCAGACAGTCTTTCACCGTCACCAACCCCATCAATCGCCCACGATGCTCGACCAGAATGACTCGGGGGCCCATCTTCTTGAAGAGCTCCATGACTGTCTCGAGGGATAGTCGAGGGTGTGCGGTGAGGGGGGTAGGGTCGATGAAGCGGCTGAAGTCGACCGCCATTTGGCTAGCGGTCGCTTGCAGGTTATCGAAGGTTATGGCAGGGGTGGAGGACGATGGAGTTGTTGGGTTTCGGACGGCAGAAGGGGTGAAATAACACTTCGCACGTGGAGAGATTGTTTGATCCCGTCTCGCTCGTTCCATGGCATAACGGAGCTCGGTACGGCCGATGTAGCCAATTAGCACTTTGTGATTGAGATCTTCGACGATAGGAAACCCCTGATATTGGTTCGCCGTCATGATGGATTCCAACTCTTTGAATTCGACGCCGGTAGCCGGGAGCACGGTAAGGTCTGTGGTCATCACTTTGGTGACCGGCACTCCGAATGTATGTTCTTCCTTGTTGTCCAGGTACGGCATACCGCTGAACCAGATCATTCGGTCCGCGATCCCTCCATGCCCGAATCGCTCGCCGACGGCTTTCGTGATACCAACTACAATCTACCAAAGATTAGCACCCAAGTCATCGTAGTGGTCAGGAATTACCAACCATGGTCGGAAGAATGTAAGTTAAAGCGCCGGTCAGTTCGAACATAATCACGACAACCGACACTGTGATGTGCATGATGCCACTTAGCGCTGCTCCGGCACCGAGAAACGCATATGTGCCCGGGGTGATGCAAGGCACATCTGGCTGGCAGGCAGCAAAGAGTCTTGCGTCTGGGAAAGCTTCGTGAAGCGCCTGGACCATGATGCCGATCATTCGGCCAAATGACGCACCAATTGCCATCGACGGAACAAAGATGCCAGCAGGAACTTTGCAGCCGTACGAGATGATGACAAGGCATGTTCGCAGTGCAGTTGAAATGGCAAGGGAAAGTATCATTCGCCATCGGTTACTCGCCCTGGATTGGTCAGTTCAACTCTTCTCATGCATCAGGGCACATACTCGCAAAGCCCCTCGTAATCGTGCCCTTCACACTCCCGAAAGAGTATCTCCATGCTCTCGGTCATGTCGATTCGAAGGAACATGTTTGGATAGCACACCAGTGCCGTAAACGCGGCCAATATGGTGGCTTCCAGGATAGGATAGTTGACCAAGTACTTCTTACGAAATGCTTGAACTCGGAGATTCCACTTGATCACGAAAGCGCCGTATAGACCACCAAAGATACCGATGATAATGTAGAAGAACACCTCGAAAAAGTGCCAATCGCGGTCGTACTTGACCGTGAACATGACCAGTTGACCGGTTCGGAAAGGGTTCATTGCCTGAGATGGATTAGCATTAGCCACTATTGTGCCTTCATTGCGCTTACAGCCAAGACAGCGGTTGCTACTAAAGCACAGAAATAACTCCGCCACATTGTCTTCAGAGGGAAGTAACTGGACATTTCCTTCGTCATGGTCAGCAATGGAATTGATAAGAGCTAAGAGTCACTCACCTCGAGAGAGAAAAGCACGCCGCCTATGGGGCTGCCAAAGGCCACTCCTACGCCAGCAGCAGCAGAAGCGCTGAGGATCTCACGCGTCTTCGACGCATTTTGCTTGTACTTGTTGAAGAACCTCGATATCACATTCCCCGTACAGACGGCAAAATGAACGCTCGGTCCTTCTTTTCCAACCGAGAGGCCCGCAGCGATAGCCAAAGGAAGGCTGATTGACTTAATCAGAAGAGTCCAAAATCCCAGGAAACCTTTCATAACGAATCCGGCAATAATGCACTTGATCTCGGATATACCCGAACCAGCAGCATAGGGGGCGAACGACTTAACAAGCCGTGCAGAGGTAAAAGCAAATAGCGTCGCAAATACAATGTAAAGCAGGTAGTCGGTCGGCCATATTCCTGTCCATCGATGCCATTCATCGCAACCGTTCTCCGCCCCCCAACAGCAGAAGTTCTCATTGAGGTAGAAAGCCGTCGTGCAGTATCCGAGTTTGATATCGGACAGCCACTCTGTGACGATGTTGAGAAACGCCGCATTCAGGCCGATGGCCGCTCCGATCAGACTGACCACCAGCCACGCCTGACCCGCATTGTACGACTCCTGCAGCTGACCTTTCAACCGCACTCCAAAGCTCCGTCCGTATGTGCCCGGCCGTCCCTGCTTCCTTGCTCTCCGCCGCAGCGTTTCGCGCGCCGCATCCTGGACCCAGTCGATGGTACTGAAGTCCTCGTAGCGCTTGATCTCCGCGATCTCCTCCTGGATGGTATGGGCGGCGCGAGCTTCATCAGCATTCTGGCCAAGCTCGGAGGTAGATATGCCGGACCATCGGCGGGTCAGAGACGGTAAGGAGCCGGAAGAGGGAGTTCGCGCAAGGTTCGGTGCGCGCTGTCTGGAGCTCATCTCATTCTGGGGATTGCGGAGAGCGTGGTTGACACCAACTGATAACGGCTTGTTCGGGGTTCTCTGATGCTGTGGGTGTAATACGCCAGCTGTCAGCTTCGGGGAGGGAGAGACACATTTGCCAAAGTAACAGGACGCTAGAAACAGCAAAGACGTTTATGGGTGATGTAGTTCTCCCAGCGCAACCAGGCAGTAGTTATAACTATACGGTCGATCGTGAATTCGTGATACGTCAAGTCCAAGCTACCTCCTAACTAGGTTTAGCCGCAGTTTTGCCAGCTGCGTCTGAGGAGTGATGTCCCCGCGACCTGTATGTGAGGATTGAAACATGCAAAACACAACTCTTGTTCTCCTTGATTCCTCAGTTTGACGCGAGTTACGTGTCGTACCGCGTGCCATACATCAAGGAACCCATTTCAAACTATATATTCGACTTCGCCGTTGTACATGACCATCCGTGTGCGTACAATTTCAAGGCTCGACTCTCCGATATCAACATACCCTACCTCTCCGGGAGACAATACCACAGCGAGATTATTGTCCACGGTGAAATCCCCAGGGCACAATGCCTTACAACAATACCCCCATAGCTCCTCCTAAGGAGTGTACCGGGACCGTGAACATGCCATGTAAGTCGCAGGACAGTAACGAGTTAGCGCATACAGCGGAGAAACTGACCTTGCATAGTAACGCGAGTGAAGAAGATCATCCACGCGGACGAGGACACCCAAAAATGCTCGAATAATGCCGCCTTCGGCATCGCCGTTGCGACCGAGATGTTTGTCCAATACCTTTCCGAGAAAGCATACGACTTCGCCAAAGCGGAGAAGAAACCGAGAAGGCACATCCAATACCGTGATGTTGGTAGGTTATCGTCCGGCCTGTACCGAGCGGCCGATGCTGACTTCACTGCATAGCCAACGCGATTGCGCGAATAGACAACCTGGAGTTCTTGGTGGACGTGGCCCCTCGAACTGTGACATACAAGCAATTCAAGACCGTCGAAGCGCCGAAGCTATCAGAAACGTGGCCCAAATCAGCAATGGCAGCACAGAATGGAGATGCTCAACCGACCACATCAAAGGAGAACGGTTCTAAGAGCACCTCTTATGATGTCCATGATGATGAGACGGAGCCGGCGGATGACCAGATGGACGTGGACGAGCCTACGCAGCAATTACAAGACGAGGCTAATACCACGGATGCGGTTAACGGAGATCGGAGACCGTTGAGCTGGGTCTTTGAGAATGGTCAAGCGCCGTATCCTGGGACGGAGGGCAAAGGATAGGATTGGAAATACTGGTGGATGGCTAGGGCTTGCTTTTCCCCCTAGTGCTCATACCGAGATCATGATGTTTGAATGATACCCAACGATTTTATACTGCAGCAACCATTTCTCCGTGAAGTTAGCATGTGAGACACTAAATATCACTGTTCCGAGATCCAAGTAACCTTGAACATGTTGGTACGCGTCTGATATTGTTTCGCAGACTATTAATACCATTCAGTGTGCTTCGACGGTCACGGCAAGGCGTGAATTTGCTGAACCACGAAGCTAATGTGTTCGGATGGCCAAAACCATACCTGATGCAACGCCACCGAACCATTATGCGTGCTATCCGAGTTTCGATACCCACAAACTCCCCAACAGTTGTTCTGTTTCCTTAGACCCCCTTTCACTTTCCCTTTTCTGTCGGCAGGCTCCATAGTTCGATTGCGGTATGTTGCCAGTCATCCTCACATTCCAATGCCTGGAGCACAGCAAACGTGTCGTCCCAAGGCACAGTAAACAATCCAGAATTGATACGACAGACCCTGATGCCGCTAATTTGCTTCTCCTGATTGATTTGTCTCAATAGGTCTATCATCGCAGTCCCCGTAGCTTGGAGAACAACTTCGGGCGGGCTCTTACGGGTGCCAGTACGGACGCTGGTGTACAAGCAGGCAACGTAATGCCTAGGGGTGCCATCCATGGGTGGAATGAGCTGAGCAGTCCCGAGAAGTCCTTTCTTGTCCTTTAAAGAATAGCAATGTTGTTGATGGGATAAATTGGCCTGCGGGTATCGACCCGCAAAATCTGATGCAATTCCTCTGCCCCAATAGCCTTGGCAGTTGCAAGCGTGCACGAGCACTGTATTGTCGGGAGCTTCGTGGAAAATATCGCCTTCGTGCTCCGTGATGGTAAGTCGTTTCGGATTTTTCCTCGCTGTACCTTGGTTGCCGTCATCGTTGTCGCCATCATTGTCTCCGATTTGATGGTCAAGTTCCATATCATCATTCCCCTTTGTCTCTCGGACAACGGAGGTATTCTCCTTCCCCTCATACTTGGACGTGTCGACATCCCCCCTAATTATCACAACAGCTTCCACAGTCCTGGGTTCACCACGGATAGTAGTTTGGTGCTAAAAGGAGTTAGATAAAGGAGGATACTAGGAAAAGTTCTACTCACCTCCGTAGCAAGAGCCAGCTGGATCTCCCCGGCAGGTTCCTCGTCAGCCATAGTGTCCGTTTGGACCTAGGTACGAATGACAGTGATATCACGAAACAGCCACGTCGTCTTCACTGCAACAAGTAACGGAAACAAATTGAGTGGCATAGAAAAGAGTGCCTTTGGTCGGAATACATGAGTCTGGGCTTGCGAAGGAAAGGGGAGAAAGATGATTGGGATGATTGAGAGCACGGAATAAACGATGGATCTTGACAGACAGGTTCATACAAAGAAAATCGCAAGACAACTCTCACATTCCAAGCCGCGGAAAATCCTGGGCCGTCCGGGACACCGAGGAACGGACTGGGCCAGCCGACTCCTCTTGAACCACATCTGTCGTCGTTGAATTTGACAATGAAGCGGAGTATTTATGAATATATTGCAGTTTCAGACGAGTAGAGACCGACGGCGTCATGATCATCAAAACATCCAGCTGCCAGCATACAGAATCCAGCATCCATTTGAAGCAGCGACCATCACTAATTGTGCTGAGCCACTACCTATACTCGTAGTATACTATTGCCTATATCTCCGATAAGTCAGTCATAAGGAATCGGCAGTGGAATTGTTTTCGTTCAACAAACGGATGCATGTGTTAAGACTTAAGACAATGGACAATTGAATGACCAAGTTGGAAGATCGGGTTGAGATCACCAACACGTGACTCTAATATCTCTAGCCATAATTGGCCAATCAGCATCGTGCCGATTCTTTACGTCTTGGCAAAGTCTAGCTTCAAAGTCCACGACTTGCTCTCTTGATCGTGAGTGTTTCCATTGCATCCAACCTGCACGACTTGCGATCCATTGCCTATCTCCATCAGGGTGGTTTCACACCTCTCACCAAGATGCCGGCACTCACCAAGACCACATCGACACTGGCTCGCGCCTGCGCGGCTCGTCAATTGACCATCTCGCGAGCCGGCTGCACCGCCCTTCAAAAGCGAAACGTCTCCCAGGCATCGGGAACCTCATCCTTCGACAGCCCTTTCCGCGGCGTCGGGAACCAGCATGATCATACGACGAAGATCCCTGATTTCTCGAAGTACCGGAGTAAATCGAGCGAGGGCGGGAACAAGGTGTTCTCGTACTTCATGGTCGGATCGATGGGCGCGCTCACGGCGATGGGAGCAAAGTCTACCGTGAATGGTACGATGGATTGGAACGGATGATTAGAGACCATTTACTGACGGCCACGCAACAGATTTCCTAGTCAACATGTCCGCATCCGCCGACGTTCTGGCTATGGCCAAGGTCGAGGTGGATCTTGCCGCATTACCCGAGGGCAAAAACGTTGGTTCCAACGACTCGCTATTATAATATGCGTACATCGCTAAACACATGGCACAGGTCATCATCAAATGGCGAGGCAAGCCGGTGTTCATCCGCCACCGAACAGCAGACGAAATCAAAGAGGCCGAGGGCGTGGCATGGGAGTCGTTGCGTGACCCCCAACCCGATTCAGACCGTGTACAGAAGCCTGAATGGTTGGTTATGGTCGGTATGTTAAGATGTCGAGTCACGGTGTGAAGAACGAGACTTACATTTCCTACAGGTGTATGCACACATTTGGGATGTGTCCCAATCGGTGAGGCTGGAGACTTCGGTGGCTGGTTCTGCCCATGCCACGGATCGCATTATGACATCTCCGGTCGTGCTCGCAAAGGACCCGCCCCTCTCAACCTTGAGATCCCCGAATACAGCTTCCCGGAAGAAGACAAGCTCAGCATTGGTTGAAGCCGATCAAAATTGGGAGAACGATCGACTCCACGTCGGAGATGGTCTCGGTACGATTAAACTTGATAGAACAGCGGCTTTGGCATTTGGGCTGTCGGTAGACTCCAGTGTAACTCTAGCGTTTCTTCATGCCCCGTGTAGCACGGAGAGAGTTGTACAAAATATACACTTTTCCACTGACATCTCGCGCGGTCGTGACTACTATTATTCTTATCCATTCTCGAAGATATCAATACAGTAGTTTCCAATGGCCCATGTATGAATAGATGGATGGATTGCCTAACTACCCTCGGCCATCGCCTCAGCCCACCACTCAACTTCTATATACATGGTCTGTGCGCAAATTTTCAAAGATGAAAGAGCTTCAATTCGAATTAGGTCCTCAAGTCCAAGTACTTCGACAAGACGATTGAAATTCCACCGCCTAATTTCACCACACCACCCAAGATGTCGAAACGAAAAGATATATCGAAACATTCAGACCGAGCCGGAAATGGCGACGCATCTGGAGACAGCGACGAAGTGAGCATTTGCCCACCATGATTTTTGGAGGGGTCCTGACCATCATTCAACAGGATTTCGACATGTTAGATGTGGATTTCGAGTGGTTTGATCCGCAGCCTGCAGTTGATTTCCACGGCCTCAAATCGCTCCTCCGACAACTATTCGACGCCGACAGTCAGCTCTTCGAGCTGTCCGCTTTGGTCGACCTGATCCTCAGCCAGCCGACGTTAGGGTCAACCGTGAAGGTGGATGGGAATGAATCAGACCCATTCGCTTTTCTGAGCGTCATAAATCTTCGCCAGCATGCGGTATGGTCCCGTTAATTCCCTGTATCTGGGAAAATGTAGCACCAGCAAGTCGGCATGGACTGACCAAAGACGACAGTCGAATCCCGCTGTGCAAACCCTCATCCAATATATACTCACAAAAGCGGCATCGCAACCCTCACTATCGGCCTTGAAGAGCTTACTCGACCCCTCCTCATCCGCCGAAGTCGGTCTGATACTTACGGAGCGATTCATCAACATGCCCCACGAAATCGTCCCACCGATGTACACCATGCTCCAAGAAGAGATCACCTGGGCTATCGAAGACAAGGAGCCATACCGATTTACCCACTACCTCGTTTTCTCCAAGACATACATTGAGGTCGCGTCCAAACTCGACGCGGACGACTCTCGACCCGCCAAGAAAAAGAAGGGGCCAAAGGGCGCAAACAGCTCCGGCGGCGGGGTGTTCTACTTCCATCCAGAAGATGAGGTGTTGCAGAAGCACGCGATTGGGTCCGGGTGGTTTGACTATTCGAAGGCTGATGACGAGGGCGCGTCGGATTCGAAACGCGCGTTTCAGGAGATGGGCGTGAAGCCCAGCGGGCATTTGATACTCCTTGAAGCGGACAAGTTTGAACCCGCGGTGAAGGCGATGGGCGAGTATCTAAGTCCACAGGCCTAATAGATGGCGGTAAAGCTTGGTTTGGTACGGCATTTGGCGCTTGCTTGCCGCCTGTATATAAGGTATGATGGCGTTGCAACCTTTTGCAATCGCCGACTTGGGAGAGCCGCGGCAGATATCTCGTGTTACCCACACGCGACCAATGCAGTTGTTGGTCAATACGGATATCGAGGAATACCTCAAGAATTATTATGACCGTACAGGTATCGTCTGGTGTATTACTGTCACGATTCGATCGTCTAATATGGCTACCTAATAGTGAATCATAGCTACGTCATAGCAGAATTCCATATAGGATGTTCAAAGAACTCATATTAATACTATCCCCTCTGCTATCCCATTCCATTCTTCAAATTTTTACACGTCAACTAGCAGGTTAAAAGTCTGGTCAAATTACAAAAAATCGGAATACTCAAATACATCCTACCCAATATGAGCGGCAACTCCAAAGTTGGGGACAGGACCGTGTATGAAGCTGGCGATCAGGTCCGTCTCCCTTATAGCCATCTGTTGACAGCTCAATTGAGGTATCTAACCTTGGACATAGCGAAACTACAAAAACAGTGAGATTCGGGACGCCGCCCGCTACCATGAATGGAAGCCAAACAGCAACCTCAAAAATGATTCAAGTGAGCTTGTACCACGGACGCCAACCGAGGACTCACCGCTCACATAACGCCAGATGCCGAACGATCAATTTCCAATCGCATGGCCCGCGAAGATGCGGTATGATCAAATCGATCCAACCTGGTACAACCAGCATGCTAAGTTATGGACAGCGTAAGGGTGAGAAAGCTCCCAAGGACCTAGACTCCGAGCGGACACAGATGAATTCGACGCTTCCGGTACGTCCCGCCCCTGAGTTCATGGATATTTCCGCTGATAAACCGTTGTAGGCTCGGGCCCATGGGAACGAACCGAGCCGAGGTGCCCAAATCGATCAATCGCTTCGCGAGGAGGAGGAAGACGAATTGCGGAGGAAAGGCTAGAAATAAGCGATGACGTCAGGTTGTACGATATAACGACAGAAAAACAGAACAGGGCTCGGCTCATACATGGAACAGCAGAGATGAGGAAGTAGATTATTGAGATCATCATGGCACGATTCGCAACTGAATATTTACATCTTGGTTCGGGCGTCTCCTTGTGCAACAGCGGGTATTCTAAGTGTAGTTCTATCCTTACGTGGGCTTTTTATACATCGCTCCTCCGGCGCCAGCCTGTGATTTACATTAGCACATCATGCCTTGCGGTGCATCACGCTTGCCGCCGCCTTCCACTCGGTCAGCCCCCTTGAGAGTTCCTGCAATCCGCCTCTAGATGAAATGGACTTACTTGGTGTTGTGGGAAGATCAAAGTGTCTGCAATCACGACGTTCTCCCTCCGCCCAGCGGTAAAAACGATGACTTCTGCAATGTCATCCGGGGTAAGTGGATCGCAACCACTTGGAGATGTCAGTTGAAGCCTCTTGTGATTGATCAATTCGGATGACTTACGCGTAAACGGCATCGGCCTTTTCTTTATCCCCATAGAATCGAACCACCGAGAATTCCTGCGGCGAAAGTCAGTAACAGACTGCCATCGCGATCCGGAAGACCCACTGTCTCAACCTGGCCTGGATCCACCTCGATCACTCGCACCCGCGTGGAAATCATCTCTCTCCGGAGGGAATCCGTAAAGCTCCGCACAGCGGCCTTCGTCGCGCAGTAGATGCTGCCGCCCTGATACGGTTCTCGGCCGGCGATGCTGCCCACGTTGATAATATCGCCCGCGCCACCGTTCGGACGCTTCAGGAAGATGGGGAGAACGGCTTGGGTCATCGCGATCAATCCTGTGACATTGGTCGATATCATGGTATTGATGTCCAAAGGGTTGATCTCTGGCGCCTTCGCCACGCCTTTGACTAAGCCACTACATGAGAAATATCAGCGATGATCGTTGTTACTACCCGCAATAGGAACGTACGCATTGTTCACCAAGACATCGATCTCCTTGAATTCCTGAGGCAACTTCTCCACGAAGCCCTGGATCTCCTGGACGTTGCTGACATCGAGCTTAAGCGGGTAAACCTTGACGCCTTTCCCGATGTTCTTCTCAATGTCTGCAGCTATTTCCTGCAGTGTCTCAAGTCGCCTCGCAGTGAGAATCAATTTCAGGTCCGACGCCGCCGTCCGAGCAAACTCGTATGCCGTGCTCCGACCGATACCCGATGAGGCCCCCGTTATCAAAACCGTCTTCCCCTTGAGACGGTTTGCCATTGAAGATGACATCCTTGCTCTTTGTGAGAGAAACAGCGACGATAACGCTTGGTGGACTCCTGATGGACCTCTATTTATAGCTCCGGTTCGGAGGAGACGCTGGAAGACTGTTGACGAAAGGGAAGGGAGCGTGGGAATGAAAGCGGTCATACGAATTGGAGGAACGTTTCGATATTTATGTCAAACTTGTCAAAGCGGTCCGAGATAAGGAAACCAGTGGAATATCTAATTGCTCGTCATGCACTGTTCAGGTCAAGCGGGGGATGTTGGTGGGAGATTGCGTGATGATTCACGATACACCAACCGCGGCCAGGGTCGGAGGGGCAGAGCCACTCCACTTTTATCTCTCGTGAGCTTAAATAAACCTCCTTCGATAATGACTAGGAAGATGTTCTGCCCGATATCGCTATTTCTAAAATGTGAAATAACCGAAGATATGATTCCAGATATTTAGAGGCTTAGGCTGTAAAAATTGACAACTGTCATAATGCCATCTCGACTCTCTTTGCGCTGGTGCAATCCAAAGCTGCGATACGAGCTTGTCGTTCAGTTCATATCCTATTCCGAACTAGCTTTGAGGCACAGTTCAGCATATCATTCAAATGACTCAGTTCCTTGATTGCCTATGATACCAGCCGCTGTGAATTTTGTCTCTTCTTTGCTCCTGGAAGACGCTAACCCTAAACCTTCTACCCGAAGTGCCATGGAACCTCCATAATCGAGAACCCCAGGAGCAAACACCCAGCAGAGGGGGTCACCCATAGTGAGTCCGAGGCAACTAGCATCGTTGACTCAGTTCCGTTGTTATCCTTGCGATGAATATCTCCTGTGGCGGCCAGGATATGGCATCGATAGTAACAGCCTATCTTGAAGAATGATTTCGAACGGGATGGTCGTATGCTGATGACACAGGCTTCAAGTGCCATAAGCGATTTGGTAGACTGACATGGCTGCCATGCGGCTATATTTTGACCGAGAGGTTGTGAGGTTCCCTGAAAGTTCCTGGTGAAGAACCTGACTGCAATTTGCGTTGCGCTTGATTGATTTCATAATCAGGGGTTAATTGCTAGACCTGGGTATCATAAGTAGGTCGGTGCAATTCCTCCGTGGGCTGGATGTGAATTCCCTATTAATGACTCTTTAATCAGACTGCAGAAAAGTTCTTCATGGGTGCATTATCAAACCTTTGCCATATTTTCGTCTTATTTTTGCTTTAAGCATGTTCAATTGGACTATAACTCACAATGCTTCTGATATACACCCCAATTTCCTTTTGACGAATATTGTGAGCTAGACTCCTGTATATGAAAAGATGTTCGAAGATTACTATATCACTGTTTTTCGGAGTTGATTTATTGTACCTAACTCTATTTGAAGCCGCGTTTCTGGGTGTATAATGCTCTGTTTTAGTCTTAGTATTGTTTGTTCCGAGTCCTCATCGCCTTGCGTTTTCGAAGAGACCATTTATATTGAAGTTTATATATAGTCTTTCGGGGCAGTTTTTGCATCCATTCAAGGAGTCCCTTGCATTTGTTCGTCTCTGCAGCCATAAATTCATGGGCTTATAGTTTTAACAACTCCCCGGTCTCCATAAGACGCCAGTGTTTCAACACTTTCGGTTGTAGCAGTGGTACCACCCTCGGCCGAACCCGAAGACTAGCTATCAGTCACTGTCAGTGGTTATATTGGTTAGAAGGTCGTCTTATATACCTAATAGGTGCATTCTCCAGGTTCCGGATCGCCGAGAGATTCGGGATTCCCAGGCTTCGGAATGCAACATATCAATGTATCATCGATTATCTCGAATCCGAACCAATTCGCATCCCAGTGTACGCTTGTAGGGGTCGCTTGGGATGGCTGGCTGGCCAATCGATTTCTTGGGTGAGGGTATCCGATGAATCAATATCGCTTCAACCGGACAAATCTTAGATCGCTGCTGGGCAAGTCAGTGTCCCAACTGGCCACGAGTTTTAGGTTCAATATGCCACCAATTGCACTGGTTGAATGTCCTGAAATAGTAGGGCAAACAGGAGCCTTGAACAGTGGCACCAATTGGTCTCTGGTCACTTGCAAAACTAAGATGCTCTGGCGCGTTCGTTAGCAACCTTGGGCCCTAGTATCTGCTGTATATGATCATGATTCACCATTCAGTTGCTAGCAGGGGCACTGAAGAACACCTGAAAAGAGGAATGCGACGAACGCCACAATGGAGTCGAGAAATTGCGGAAACTTCACCTTACTCCCATTGCGAAGAAATAGGCACGTGACTATGGTAATCGACACTCGCGTGGATATAGAGGGGGAAATGATGTAGGTTGTCAACGAGCTAGTGAGCATTGCTAGTGTTGCGTTATAATTTGGTCAGGTAAACACATTGATGGAGCCTTCGATAGAGGATCGGGTTGTTTTGTTTTCATCATGGTTCGAAGTCTGCTCCTGTGGTGTGGACATGTGAAGGAATCGGGCCTCTACACTTCCTGATGGCTCCTCTCATCCACCTCTTATTCTGTGTTTACATCTCTCATGTCCATTAAATATTTCCTTAATAAAAGTATAGCCCACATTGTCAACGCTTGGCAATACTCGTTTTGCTCTCACTGAACACAGACTTTACACAACAGCTACCACTGAAATCATCCATTATGTCCTCATTATTTTCGTCTACAGCTGCGGCATCCCATGAGGATTGGACAGAGAAAGCAAAGCGCTTATCTTCAATGCATACGGAGACGAAGAGGACGAACTCGAGCTTCTAATTCCAGAAGAAGCAGAGCGAGAAGGCAAGTAGCATGCTAAATGACTTGATACTGGCACTCGCTAACGAGCAAATAGAGAACCATGATGGGCTATATCTCCAAGATGCTGATGTGGTCTCGATGAATGAGATAGTGAGTTAGGGGGATCTCCCTTCTATACCCAGGTTACAACCGTCGCAGCAGATGGTTCCATCACTGATAAAGCTACGATCCCTATTGAGATGACTCTCCAAAATGTGGGCTCTATTGCTTCTGAGCCTAAGACCTATTTTCCAGCTGAGGACACCAAGGCGGAGTTAGAACGTCCTGATGTCACTAACATCCAGGTCTCTATTGCTTCTGAGCTTGAGGTTTCTTCTCTAGCTGATAATACCGAGGCAGGGCTAGAGGATCCTGATGCCACTGACCTCCAAGATATGTCGACACCTCAGAGGGAAGTAAGTTCCTTCCAAATATTCGTGGCTGCTCTGACTTTCTTCGTGGGGATAGTTCACCAAACCCAGATGATTACAACGTCTGGGTGGATGGAGACGCCTACACTGCTACCTGGTCAACCTATAAACTCAAAGAACTTGAGGGTGCCTTCTGCAGCGGCAATATTGCTCGCACTGTAGCAATTGAACGTGCATTGCGGATACACTGCTACAGAAACGGCTATGAGTTATATCTCTCCTACTCCCTCCCAGAAGATACTCCCAGATATCCATGTTTCTCCGCCGTAGACAATCTCTGCCCAAGTCCATCGAAGTCCCATGAGGACTTGCGGCCAGTGTTCCAACTCTCATCACATATCACGGGACATCCCTCTGGACTCTGTTCCACGAGTGGCCTCGACGATAATGATTCGACTTACAAGTTCGAAGACATTTCCTCTGATGATGAGCCTGCGCTCACCGCTCAGTCTCTATATATTTACAAAGCTGTACGTAACGGATATATCCAATTAGCATAACTCGTCAATTATTCGTGTATTCCTATAATTCTTTTATGTTACATTGCATGAGCCGTTCAACAGAGCCACGGTGGTTGACGTCCGATTAAACAGTTCAAGGCACTTGGAACACACCGAGTGGAGGTGCACAGCCACCGCCACCCCCTTGCAGTCGTAGACATCAGCAGTCCACCGCTGAGATTTGCTCTCCAGCCCGGTCTGGCGAACAATTACGATACAATGACACCACCGATAGACCGGATTACTGTAATTTTAATATTCGAGTTTATAAATTTGAGGGGGTGCCTTAGACGACCAGTTGTCAGTAGAATCGGCGTCTAAGGCGCCTCATATCCCCCATATAACGCAACACTCTCCGGAACGGTGGTCGTAAACAGAAAACTGAGCAACTTTGGTTTCTAGATTTCATCACTCTTACTACGTACTCAAATCGAGCATTATATATTGATGTACCTAGCCACCGCCAGTTGGTAGATACTAAGTGCTATAGCGGAGGTATACAAATATGCGCAAATGAATAGATTCTCGTCGAATTAATTTTTTCAGTACTCCATAGCGACAACAATTCTAGCAAAACAATGAATAAGCTTCGTAGGCGTATATTTGTAATTGTATGCGCAGCTCTTCTTTGCAAATGGTTAAAACATGTCTTGCCCATGGTGTTAGGAACGGGGTAGGGGGTGAATATGAAGCGGGTCTCACTGAACATGTTGACATTTCCTCACCTATTATCAACTTCTCTCCTCTATCAACTTACAGGAACATCGATGTACGCTCTGAACACACTGAAAACTGGTTTCAAGCTACTTGCATCAAAGCCTACTCTACTCGTTTCCTCCATACCGAAAATGACATCTCTATCATTGGGCATGTGGACTGTGTCAGAGCCCCCTGAGAACCAGTGGCTCATCCAGACGGGAGAACCCGGCATCACTGATCTGATCGGAATCGAAGAAGAAAAGTCAACATCCCCCATACAGGAGGAAGAGGGACAATAACGAAGAACGAATTAAACAGTATGATGGTGGCGCCAATCTCCTTTACAATGACTGATAAATAGCTAACATAGTATTAGAGACCACCAATAGCACTTAATGAGGCGACATCCACCGTAGATAGTCCCTCCACTATAGTCAACATTGAGGCCACTGGCCAAGAAATCAACACCACAGTTGAGACCGAGCAAGAACATCTCATCGCAAATGAAACCGCAAGGGGCACACTGGGAGAAGAAGAATCTTCCTCATGTTCTCTTTTCCCTGACGAATACGCACCCGTCGTCTCCCACTTCAACTCGACGATCTCGCCACCCAGTTCTACAACAGCAGCATCACTCACCCGTGAGGATCCAGGCAGCCTTGAACACCTACGAGTGCAATGACGAAGATATTCACTTGGAATACTTCCTGCCGCCGGATAAACCCATTTATCCCCGTTGCTTGGCCATGGACAATAGACCATATCCGAGCCCGAGTATCGCGCACCAGAGATTGTTCGAGGAGATTCTTCTGCTTTCTCTTGATTATAATGACGCTGGTGCAGCTGCTGTGGCTCCCGATGGCGCCCACGATTTCTCTCAGACAAGTTCTGGATTCGACTTCGGGGATGATCAGATGGAGATTTCACTGCGGGGGTCGGGGGTTGGAATACGATAGGTCATAGGGTCACGAGATTCATTTCGTTCGTGGGAATCGAAGGTTGGAAGAGATGGGACTGCTTTGAATGTTGGAAATAGGATGGACGAAGATTGAGTTTGGAGTTGTTCTCGTAAAGACTGGATGCTGATGGCAGCAAGGAGTTAGCACATGGCTGCATTGATAGCATCTCGGTCTTGGTTTTCGTTGCGGTCAGGTATCATCATAGTACGTACTTACATTGCTTCGCTCACAATAGCTTTGTCTGATAGCATAGACTAGGTAGTATATCTATAGAATATCTGTATCATACCCGGATAGCCCGAATTGGCATGTCGTCTACGTATTCACATAGCTAGTCTTAATTAGACATGATGGCTGACACAAATTCTCATGATTGGGATCGTAAACTTCATCGTTTTCGCATGGCAGCGAATCTCTCATGCCACTTCCGCTTGCCGGGTTTCCCTTCAGCCGCTTCCGCTGCCGGGGTATTTGGATCTTTGAACGAGATGGTCGATGGTGTCGGGCTTGTCGAGATATCCTACGATTCACGTTAGCGCTGCAATAGTTCGTAAAACCATGGGAAGGATTACCTTCAGCAACTCAATATCAACCGACTTCGTCCATTTCTCCGGCAACTTTTCCTTCCACTGCTCCAGGAACTTCATCCTATCCACCCTCTGATCCCTCGCCAGCGTCTCCAACAACGCCGCACCCACCCACCTTACCGCCCGCCGCTCATCCACCACCCCCCACTCATCCATCCCCTCCTCCCCCATCGGCGCCAGCTGCCCTATCAACCCCTCCAGCATCCCCCTCGGCACCCCCACCTCCTCCACCAACGCCCACAGCTCCCCCACCTGAAACATCTCCCCCAACACAAACCCCTCAATCACACACGCATCTACCACCGCGCCCCACAACCGCACCCGATCCTCCATCGACGCGCGAAACACCCCGCCCCGCCACTCGAACGCCCCGAGCTCCCTCCACGCATCTAGGCACTCTCCCTGCGAGAACGGTACGCGGGCGAAGACATGCGCTTGGTCGGGCAGGGTGGCGCGTAAATCGTCGGCGAGGGGCGCATCGGAGGGGAGGAGGGCGGACCAGATGGGAAGGAGGGCGCAGAGGGCGGGGAGGGCGGCGGAGGGGGCAGGGAGGAGTTCGACGGTGGAGGAGCAGGTGGCGAGGGCGAGGAGTTCGGTGGTGGGAGCGGCGTGTTTATCGGTAGTGGGGTGAGGGAGAGTGAGGTGGATGGAGTTGGAGGTTTGGAGTTGGCGGACGTGGTAGGTTTGGGAGGGGGTGCAGAGGACAGCGGGGGGACCGTTGATGGTGGAGGTTTTTTGGGAGGGGTTGGGGGCAGCGGATTTGAGTTGGAGGCTTGGAGGGGTTAGTACTGTTTGTTTGTATGATGGAGAAGAGAAGGGGTTCTAAGGGTGATTACATTGGGGGGTTCGGCTTCTTGAGCAGGTCGACGAGTTCGTCTGGGAGCTCGAGAAGCCGGAAGCCTTGTTGTTCATGGGCTAGTGAAAGCGGGATGCTCTTGGATGTGGCACTCATGTTGAGATTCGAACTTCGAAGGTATGTATTCCGAGTTGCAACGGTTGATTCTGTCTACAGTGAAGGTCGTGATACAGATGTTGGCTAGTCAGGGCCGGTGGTCGGTTTGATCATCGGTGGTGATACTATTTTTGACGCGTCAACACGCGAAACAGCGACGAATTGGTTCCACGACAGCTGTCAGGGTTTAAGCTTGCTTAACTTGCGCGACATAGTATAAGAAAGCCAATCATTGAAGAAATCGAATAATGATTTAGCTTAGCTCCGATTCAATGGACTTTTGGACTTTAGCAGCATTCATCGGATTGGTGGTTGGAGGTTTTAGCTTCTCGCCTACTATTATTATTATCCCGACAACGCTAATTGCCGCATTGTTTACACTTCTCCACTAGGTGTTTTCAATCTCTTCCTTCTGTGATCACTAACTACAGCATCAGCCTGAAACCGCGTTTATTAACCACTCCTGCAGTCTCCCGTTACACCATTCCACTGCAGCGCGCCTGTTCCGCTTCGCCGCCGTCGAACAGGCCAACTTCTCCTGCCGTGGTTCCATTATATCCTCAACAGTTCCCGGGCTTTGTTTACATTTACCGCCTCACAGCAACCGCCATCACGAGTCGTTCCTTTCATTCAAGATCTCGTTCGTTACGGTAGACACGCTCGTTCCGTTCGGTTGACGCCGTCGAAAATGCAATTGAAGGTTGACTGGAGTTGAATCTTCTTGCTTTCCCTTCTCACTCATTTGGAACCACACTGAGACGTGATCCACCGAACACCATCACGATGGTGGTCATCACGCCTCCACCACCAACTCTCTCGTCAGAGAACCTCGCTGTGTTCTACGTGGTCGACGAGCTGCTCTCGAGATCTCCCATCATCATCTTCTACGGCACCTCCGCAACCACCACCGCCAACGCCGCCGCATCACGAATCCAAAGCCATGTTTTCACGCCTGCTGGCCTGGTTTCCTACCCCCGACTCGCCATCTCTCCCAGTAGCCCGTTCTACGCTGCTGTCCACTGTCTTCCTCGCGAGGAACAGGGCGACGAGATATGTCGCGGCTTGGCCTTCTCGCTCTTTAAATACTTCGCCGAACTGCCCGATGGTGTAAAGCACGCATGGCAATCCCTCCCCAATCCGATCGGTCGACTCCCGTCCGCGCCCCGACTCTTCAGCGAGAATCATGCCGCGATTCTAGCGGCGAGGATGATCAAGGTGGATAATGTAGAGGACGTGATCAAGGATGTGAGACAAGCGCTCGCCGAGCAGACCTTAAGTTGGATCGATATGGATGTCGTGATGCCTCCGGACTCCATGAAGGAAGTGGGTATGAATACAAGAGAATCCCTCGACCTCACCGATGAAGATATTCTCAATGAGCGCTTCGGCCAATATGCGCAGCTCGTCCCCCTGTTCGGCGAAGCGGCATTTCTTCCCACCTCCAAGCTGCGACGCGCGCCGTCGAAACCCGGCCTCGATCGCAGCCTCGCCTTCTCGCGCAGACAGAAGGAGAATCTTCGCAGAGAAATGTGCGAATTGCTCGACACCGAAGAAAGCTACGTGAGCAAGACGTGGGACCTTCTCCACAGCGTGGCTGAGGACTTCCGTCAGCGGGCACGAGGAAAGTCTCCGGAGAGCACCTCTCCTGGCGAACAGGCGTTGGAAGGACTCTTCCCCCCGAGTCTTGACAAGATCGTCGAAATGAATTCCGGCTACTTGAACGCGATGCGGAAACTCTTGGAGGATACAGAGAACGACGCGATCCAGGACATTCAGGAGACGCTCGATGACCTAGCCCCATACTGTTCTGGTACCACCCAGCCGAAAGAGAGGGATGTCACCGGAGCCCTTGATGTCGCGAAGTGCATGGTCGAGTGGTTCCCGAAATTCTCCGAATGTTACCCTAACTACATTGCGGCGCACGCCAACTTCACTCAACATCTAAAAGTCTTCATGAAGGCGACGGGGTCAAGCTTCTCGAAGCGCATCCATGACCACGGCGAACAGCGGATGATGTCGATGCTCATCGAGCCGGTCCAGCGGCTTCCTCGCTACACGTTGTACATCGACAACATCATCAAGCAACTCCCCGTCAAGCATTCTGCCGTCCGCCACTTTCTGAAAGCACGAGACATCATTTCTGAAATCTGCTCGAGAGAGAGCGCGTCGATCGGACTCAACCAAACGCTAGAAGAGCTACGGAAGTCGGCCAACCATGTCCCCCTGGATCTGCCGATCAAGGGCCGGTTCATTACAGCGGTGGATGTCATAAGCCTGGCACCACCCTACAGATCCGAACTGGGACTGAAGGCTCACCCGGGAATTCTACTTCTCTTTACGGACTGCATTGTCGCACTTCGAAAACGCTCAAGAGGGGTGATGACGGCGAATAGCTTGAAGACGAAACTCGACAATCCAGGAGTCATGATCCCCGAACCACCGGAAGCCTCTGGCCTGCAATTAGACTTCTTGCGGCTCTACCCACTCCACTCTATCGACATCACCGAGATGAACGACGGCAAGCGGATCCACATCTTGAATTCCTCCCACCCTCCCTCCTCCAAACCCAGCACCCCGAATCTCCCCGGCTCATCGGACCGCTATTCTCACCACAGCTCCAACGTCCTCATCTACCAACTCACCGGAAGCTACGAAGGCAAAGCTACCCGGCTGCTCGAGGAGATCACCCGAGCCCGGGTCGAATCCCGATTTACCGAGAAAGAGCGAGAGTCCCAGCAATGGGAAGTGCGGTCGACATCCACCGCCGACCTCCAGGTATTCTCTGCGGTCTTCGAAGACTCCAATGTGGAGTTTCAGAACGGTCGAGGGCCGCCTGCGACGGTGAAGGTGGTGATAGATCCTAGCAAGCATGGGACGTTGAAGGTGCATCCTGGTGACGAAGGGGTGGATGTGCTTGTGTCTTTGACGGTGATGGGAGAAGGGGAAGAGGGGTTCTATCGCTTGGAGGTGCAGGGCGCGGGAAGGAGCGAAGGGAGTCGAGATCATTTGAAGGCAGGTGAATTGATGCCTGTTTTGGTTAAAAGAGGTAAGTGCTCTCTTCTATGTCACTCATCTCCCTTTCACTTCCCACTCATCCCATCTACGACAACAACTCTCATATTTCTATCACGTACATTATCCACTCCCCACAACTTCGGCTTCACAATGCCGGGCAGCGAGCTCTTCACCTATTACATCGTCTTTTGGCAAGCCGCGCTTCTCGGCTTCCTTATCGTTGCCAGCCTTATGTTCATGCAGACAGTAATTGACCATGGGTCCATCAGTGTCCAACCTGCATCAGTTCCGAGCCCAGATCCGCAATCCGGCGCTGACTCTCCCGCTGTTACTCCGGAATCAACACATCCTACAGTCGCTCAAAATCCGCAGCGCCGATCTCGACGACGATGCGGCTAAAGACAAGCCTCGCGCCCCGTCGCCGGTGAAGGCACTCTCTGCCCTTTTCGGTGGTGCCATCAGTAGAGAGACCAGCCCCAAAAAGCATCGGCCGACGCCGTCGCTGAATATGAGCGACATTCCGAAAATGCCATTGCCTCCCGGTTCTTCCTCTTCAAATATGTCGTCCCGCCCTGGATCGAAGGATATGGCGCCAACAGATGCCTCGTCCAAGGCGACGGTGGGGATCAAGTTCCCTGCTGGTCCAGAAGACTCGCTGTCAAGGCTGGAGGAGACTCTCTCCAGCTACATCCTTGCGATTCACTCGAGGAAAGGTAACGTTGTCGGTCGCGTTCTGCAGAATCGAGCCGTTGCATCGGAGCTCGCCGTCAATGAACTCTACAACGCACTTCTCGACGATCCTGCGAACCATCAGCTTGCCGCTCAAGTCTCCGTCGACGTGCTCTTCGCCGCGTTCGAGAAGTTTGTGAAGATGGCATGGCGCGATGCGATGGGTCCTGTTGTTCCTCAGCAAAACTGGGTGGAGATCCAGATCGGGATGGAGCGACCTGGGACGTATGCAGGGAATTTCGAGACTTTATTCAAGAAACTCTTCAATGACATGGCGCCGCAGAACCAGCGAGCGTTCAGGGCCATGATAAAACTCCTTGCCGAGCTGCTGGATGGGACTGGTAACGACTCGGATCGGGGAATCCTCACGGCTGCTTTTACCGATGTGCTTGTGTCTCATGGGAATCCGCATGATTACATGCATATCATTGACCGCTTGATCGAAGATATGGAGGCACTCTTTGGAGATGCGCGTCCCGTCTCGTCCGGTGGTGCGCACCCGTCACTGACTAGCTCCGTGTCATCGGAGACGAGAAATATGGCGAAGAACACTGGAAGCCTCACGAGCAATACCAGCCTCAGGAAACGGTTTGGATTCGGCTTGACGAGGGAGAACAGCAAATCCAAAGACGATCATCACGAGTCATCTGGATTTGGGTCTGTCTGGAGATCCTTGAGCAAGACGAAGGGATCGTCTCATGATCATCCTACGGGGCCCCAGCATGGCCACACATCAAGCCAACCTTCATCATTGTCCAAGGCTCACACCAACTTTGGTCTCAGTCGGTCCAAATCCACCGACGTAGCCGCTTCTCTCACACTTGACCTAGCCACAAGACGTCCTGTCTCTAGAGATCGACCCACGGTGCTTGGTGCATTCCCCTTCGAAGGCACTGGAAGCTCCACTCCGCTCAGCACCATTGGGGAAAATGTTTCGACCACACCTACCGTACCACCTCCGCGTAAGAAGCGCCGCAGCAGTCTTAGCGATCTCCGCGCTCTACACGTGGAAACTGGCCACCACACTCCATCATGGGATGACGATCTCCTATCCTCACCTCCTCGCGTACCTGCGCCTCTCAAAACCAGCGCCATTCCTTTGGTCAGTTCACGTGGCGGTTCGCCCCTTCGAGCCGGGAGCCCACTTCGGGCAGTGAGTCCACTTCGTGCAGGCTCTCCCAGTCGGTCGGCCAGCCCAAAGAAGGAGAACAACCCGTTGTCTCCCACTGGACTGCCCCGTCCATCCAAAGGCCCTCGTCCACTCAGCGCGAAGAGCGAGGACTCCAACAACAGCCCTGCCAAACGCCGCACGGACAGCATCTCCAACATCCCACGATACGGATTGAGCAGTAGTTCTCATTCCCGTGGCCACAGCGTTCCGAACGGTGGATTGGTCGAACGGCCCACCTCCGGCAACATCGCCAAACACCCACCTATTTCCGAGAAAGATCACAATGTCGGCACCGCTAATTCGTCTTTCGTATCTACCACGTCTTCCTCGCCCCGCAAGTCCGAAGGCGTTGCCCCTGTGACACCTTCGTCCACGGGCAGCCCGACCAAGAGACTCAAGATGCAGAGCCCCAGCAAACTGCGGGAACGGCTTCAGAGCGAGCAGAAATCGCTGCGTGACACCGAGTCCGCGTTGCAAACGGAGCTGGATAAGATTTCGCAGGAGATGCAGTCGCTCGGGCCCACCGGCGGAAGCGTGCGAGTCAAGCGAAACGCGGCACCTGGCGCCTCCAATGGACAGTCCATACCGTCCAACAGCATCCCAAATGCGAGCGGTCCAATCAACCCCGCCCTCAAGCAACTCGAAACCCGCATCGCCACCCTCGAGTCCCGCATCCGCGCCGTCACCACCCCCATCCAACAAGCCCTCGCGACCCTTTCCAACGACTACCACTCCAGCCTCCAAGTCTCGGAAGCGCGAGTCAAGCACCTCGACCAGCTCTACCGCGACGCGACGGCGGAGAACGAGGCGCTGTACGGCAAGTTCAACGAGGAGTTGGAGCGGGTGCTGAAGGAGTGTCAGAAGGGGAGCGGGAACGCGGCGAAGGAGGCGGGAAGACGGAGGGAGGAGTTGGCGGAGGATGCGGGGCGGTTGAAGCGGGAGAATGCGAGGTTGAAGAGGGAGGTGGGGGGGTTGAGGGCGCAGTTGAGGGGGTGATGGTGGGTTGGGTCTTGTCGCATTAGGTTGGGCTGGAGGCTTTTCTTTGCACTGTTTGATCTGGGGAACGGTTATGAGGGCTCAAGCGATTCTCGGGGCTACAGGCTCTCATGGAAGGGACACGAGACACGACACGAGGATATGTCTTATGCAACGCCTTCGCTGGAAAACGTCTTGATCCACGACAGGATTTCAATTCTTGTATGATATCCGACTATCCTTAATTAGCGCAAGCACGATTCCATGCTTTTGATCCGTCTCACTTTCGCCTCGTGGCGGGAGACTATCAACTCGCCCATTCGTCGATGCCAAGGAAGCGAGCCGTGCCGTCGCGATCGATTGGTATCTATCTACAGATGCTCATCCCATCCCTCTGAAAAACGCCAATTCCCGCATCCTTTTTTCCGTTTAATGCCCATGTCCATCGTCCTCCTCGCCGCGCTGCTCCGGATCCAACTTAATCAACGTATCGATCCGCATGATGGCCACGCACGCCTCCACGGCGCTCTTCAACTGCTTCACCTTACTCATGCTCGGCTCCATCACCCCCAACTTCACCATATCGGCGACCCGGCCCGTGCTCAGATCGAGGCCGTAGTACTTGTAGTTCTTCTTCTTCGCGAGGAGTTTTTCCTCGGCGGTGGCGGCGGCGCCGGCGTCGCGGGCGGCTTGTTGGGCGGCGGCGGGGACGGGGGCGGCGTCGGCGGTGCGTTGAGAGAGGGCGTGGCGCGAGCGGAGCTGGGAGACGAGCTCGGAGGAGTCGAGGGCGGCGTTGATGGCGAGGGTGTGGGGAACGGCGAGGAGGGCGGTGGCGAAGGTGGCGATGGGGAGTTGTTCGCGGGAGCCCTGGGAGGTGTAGGTTAGCGTTGATAAGGACACGATGTTGATGTGGGGTGTTTATATAGTGTTTATGTAGTGTTTATGCGGTAGGGGGGACTTACGACGGAGCGGGCCCATTCTTCGAGGTAGATGTGGAGGGCCGTCTCGGTGGCGCCGCCGCCGGGGACGATGCGGCCGCTTTCTAGGGTGCGCTTGACGGCGGACAGGGCGTCGTGCACGGAGCGCTCCATCTCGTCGAGGGCGTACTCGTTGGGTCCGCGCAGGATGATGGAGGCGGAGGGATGGGTCTTGGTGCCCTTGACCAGGATGCACTCGTCGTCGGAGATGCGCTCCTGCACGACTTCCTCGGCCATGCCCAGGGCGCTGGCGTCGAACTTCTCGTCGCCGTTCAGGTCGGACAGCGAGCTCACCAGGGTGGCGCCGGTGGCCTTCGCGATTCTCCGTAGGTCCTCCTTCTTGCATCGGCGGACGGCCATGGCGCCGCGCTCGATGAACAGCTTCATGCACATGTCGTCGATGCCCTTAGTGGTCATGACCACGTTGGCGCCGGACTTGAGGATCATCTCGACGCGCTCCAGCACGATGCCAGACTCGCGCTCACGGATCTTCTCGAGCTGCTGCGGGTCGTCGACGGTGATCTGCACGCCGAGCTTCATGCGCTCCTTCTGCAAGTTCATGTCGAGACAGGCGATGCGGGCGTCGGGGATGCGGGTCTTCATGGCCTGCGAGGCGACGGTGCAGTTGAGAGCGTAGCCCTTGACGAGGAGGGATTCGGTGGCGGACTGGCCGTGGGATTTGAGGATGTTGACGGCCTTGACGGGGTATTTGACCTCGTTCTTGGCGGCGTTGGTCCGCACGGCTTGCATGGCGTCGACCACCATGTTGGCGAAGAAATCGGAGTCGGAGCCGATGATTTTGCTGGACATGGAGGTTTTGGCAATGTTAACGAGCGAGTCACGGCCTAGGTTCTCGACCTTGATGCTGATGTTCTCCGACATGAATCGTACCGCTTCCCTCAATGCCAGCCGGTATCCGGTGATGATGGTTGTAGGATGTATTCGGTTCTTCATGAGCTCGTTCGCCCGTTTCAACAGCTCCGCCGCAATCAGCACGACGGAGGTGGTCCCATCTCCGACTTCCCGGTCTTGCTGGTGGGCCAGCTCGACTAATATCTTGCCGGCAGGGTGTTCGATGTCGAGGAGGCTGAGGATGGTAGCCCCGTCGTTGGTCACGGTCACCTCTCCAATATCATCCACCATCATCTTATCCAACCCGGACGGGCCGAATGACGATTTGACCACATTTGCAATGGCTTGCGTCGCTTGGACGTTCTGGTCTCGGATGTCCTGTCCACTGATCTTGGTACCACCCAGGACTAGCCCCCAAGGTCAGTATACGCCATACAAAACCGTCGCTTTTTTTTGATGACTTACATAGTGTTCCGGCATTCCGGGGAGCCTCGAATATGGCGGACATGTTTGGTTGGATTAAAGAAAGAGCTTGATACGCGGTGAATGGAGCTTAACGCGAAGCTGCACTGCACTGTACTGTGCTAATCGGTGATGCCTTAACCCTGGACGAGAAATTCTTGTCGGCGTTCGGAAAAACCCCGTGACCGGACTGGAGGTCTGGCCAGCGCCCCACCACCATTTGCCGTGTTGGCGTCTTGGCGACGAATTGGTCGAAGGGATTTGGTCAGGTGCGACCCTCTTGATAACAGATTAAATGGAAGCTGCAGGCGACTCGGACTTCTTCACAACTCACAACAAGATTTCGCACTGTGAGTTGAGAGTGACTCAGAGGTCTGGACACGGTTCCTAGGCATTGCACTCTGTGTCCTGGTCTCTCGCTCATCCCATTCATTCACTCTCCAGTCTTCTTATCTCCAAGTCCAGGTGAGTGTTCAGAATTATCTTTGCCCCACCAGGGATCGCCACGGAATTTCTCTAATATCGCAAAGGAAGCCTTCTCTCTCTCGATATCTCGCTGGATATCCCGAAGACAAAGAACCACTAGTTAGGTATGGCAGACGCGATCTCCAAGGAAATCTCCAAGGAAAACACCAAGGATGTCGCCGACCGCACCAAACCCAACAAAAAGGGCCCAAAGCCGCCCAAGGACCTGTCTGCCAAACCCAAGCAGAAGCCCAAGCAGCAGTCCAAGAAGATGGAGGGCGCTGCGCTCATCGGGATCGATACCGCGAAGGAGGTCGATCTTGGCGAGTGGTATTCGCAAGTCCTCACGAAAGGCAACATGATCTCCTACTACGACGTGTCCGGCTGCTACATCCTCGAACCCGCCTCATACGCCGTCTGGGAGTCGATACAGGCATGGTTCAACCTGAAGATCAAGGCGATGGGCGTGCGCAATTGCTACTTCCCCTTGTTCATCTCTGAAGACAACCTGCAGCGAGAGAAGGACCACGTGGAAGGGTTTGCGGCTGAGGTCGCTTGGGTCACGGAAGGGTGAGTCACCCATCGCGAAAATCCCATCGGTTGCTAACAGGTTGAGCAGTGGGAAAAGCAAGCTCGATAAAAAAGTCGCCGTGCGCCCGACATCCGAAACGGCCATGTACGGCTACTTCGCGAAGAAAATCCAGTCTCATCGCGACCTCCCACTGAAGCTGAACCAGTGGAACAGCGTGGTCCGGTGGGAGTTCAAACATCCCATGCCTTTCATCCGATCGCGAGAGTTCCTGTGGCAGGAAGGACACACGGCACACTTGACCGAGGAGGCGGCGGACCGCGAGGTGCTGGAGATCCTCGACCACTACGCCGGCATCTACGAGGAACTGCTCGCCGTCCCCGTCATCAAGGGCCGGAAAACCTTGGCCGAGCAATTCCCCGGCGCGCATTACACGACCACCATCGAAGGCTATATCCCCGCGACCGGACGCGGGATTCAAGCCGGCACATCTCACTGCCTCGGCCAGCACTTCAGCAAGATGTTCAACATCACCGTCGAGGATCCCTCCGCGAAGGGCGCCGATGGCGAGAGGAAGCCGCCCATCCACGTCTGGCAGAACTCCTGGGGCCTGAGCACCCGGTCCATCGGCGTCATGGTCTTGGTCCACAGCGACAACAAGGGCCTCGTCATCCCCCCCCGTGTCGCCGAAATCCAGGTCGTCATCGTCCCCGTCGGAATCACCGCGAAGACCTCGGACGAGGACCGCGCTACCATGTACGGCGAGACGCGCAAGGTCGCCGCGTCGCTGCGATCCGCCGGCGTGCGCGTCGAGTTGGACCTGCGCGAGGGTTACTCCCCCGGCTACAAATTCAACGACTGGGAACTCAAGGGCGTCCCGCTGCGGCTCGAGATCGGCCCCAAAGACCTCGCTAAGGGCGTCGCCACCACCTCGCGCCGCGACCAAGAAAAAGACGGCAAAGGCGAGCTCCCCCTCGCCGACCTCGCCACCTCCGTCCCGGCCCTCCTCGAGACCATCCAAAAAGACATGTACAACTGCATCGACGCGCAGTACAAAGCGCACCGCAAGCAGTTGACTAATTGGGACGACTTCGTCCCCAGTCTGAACAACAAAAACGTCAACATCGTCCCGCACTGCCTGCAGCCCGATTGCGAGGACACGATCAAAGACCTTAGCACGCGCAAGGAGATGGACGGCGCGCCCGAGGACTCCAAGGCGCCGAGCATGGGCGCGAAGAGCCTGTGCATCCCGTTCGAGCAGCCCGCGGGCATCATCGAGGGGGAGACGCGCTGTATCAACCCCGAGTGCGGGCGGTTCGCGAAGAAGTGGGTGAACTTCGGACGGAGCTATTAAGGAAGGAAGGATGGAAGGAAGGAAGCGGTGGTGATTGCATTTGGGATCATGGCGTTATGATTCTCATGATTACTACTGGTTTGCAGCGGGCGTGTTCCTAGATATGGGGGTGCGGAAAGCGGGTTTGACACCTGCTGCGTAACTCATGCTTCCGCATTCGTGATTGGGAGACTTGTCCTTAAAATCATACACTGTATCTTTGTACTTTTCCACTGATGGTGTGTTCACTCTTGATCTGGATATACGGTGATCATGGACCGATGGATCAATGATAGGAGCATAAAACGCCCTATTCAAGTTGAGATTGACTCTCAACTCACGCTCTCTAATCTCGCGTCTCATTTGGCGGATGTATGCTGGACGTAACGGTTTATTCGACATCACAAACTGCATCCACTCCTCGATTTTCAAATGCCGTTGCGCCAGTTCAAAGAGCTCTCCCGTGACCGCCGCGTCATGGACGGCGCGCACTCCTACCTTGAGGAAAAGCTCTCGGTAGGTGACTTTGATAGCCTCAAATTTATTCGGAGGCAACATGAATCGTTTTTCTCGTGTCAGACGGAGACCGTACTGCCGGTAAACGAGACGCGTATACCAATCCACCTCATCGTTTACAAACAGGGCCAGCCATAGGCGGTAAGGTTTTCCAGCGCATACAATTCCTCTTTTGGGATGATGCTCAGCCAAGAAAACCAAACCTGGTCGCGGTTCGGACCATATCCACTGTGGATGGAATCCAAGTGTGCAGTGTAAGACTCGGATATCTGGGGGATTCTTACCATACCCAATGCATGAAGCCTTTTATGATCCCAGATCCCGAAGCCCAAGCGTCGATAAGGGCCAAAGGTAGTCTTCTGTAGTGGTGAATCAGGTGACATCGACATATCATTGAACGTATATTGTCCGCCGCAGAACGCCACTCGAGGATAATTGTATGACCAGTGTCCGTCCTTCTCAGGCTGGGGAAGGTCTTGAACCGCTTTTTCAGGCATGGGCCGCACGAATGGCAAGTGGTTGAATTGATCTTGTCGGTGATCTCCCGCCGAGTTGGATGCCGACCGTTCGTAAAGGTCCGCGAGGCAATCCTGAACTGCAGAGAGGAACTCGTCCGAGTGGATTGGTTTAGATTTGCCCGAAGAGAGCTGTTGTAAAGACAACGGATCACCCGGATCTTCTCGCCCGATGGAGAGCAACTGCCATCGCCAGAGCGCCCATGTCAGGCGTTCCAGTTCCACCCACGATGGCGGACCAACATCGACGGGCTCGTACCTCTCGGCTTGATGCCATGCCTCGTCCGCTTGGCGCAGACACTCATTCCCGGTTCGGCTTAATGTCACTGGTTTCAGTAATGTATACGGCTTCAGCTGTCGCGTCCGTCGAAGAAACTCATCCAGGCATTTACAAGCAAGACAGTGGATATCGGTTGCCAAAACCAGGACCTCGCGCAGCACATTCAAGGAGATTGAAGCGGGGAGAATATGATCGAACGGGTAGAAGGCCTCGCCGTTATCGTGCCGTTGGAAATAGAGGTCGGGGCGGTTATATCGTGTCGAAGAAATGGTGATTGTTCCATCTCAACATTAATTCAATAGCTCTTTCAGCTGAGCCACATTAGATGACGCACAGAGAGTACCTACTAACACGCTAGATTTGCTAATAACTCCGCGGCAACCGCAACACCTTCTCACTGATATAGTTGAGGATCATCTCGCGGCTCACCGGCGCGATTCGCGGAACGAGGCTCTCCCTGAACCACCGTTCGACATCATATTCTGCTGCATATCCCATTCCCCCATGCGTGAGAACTGCGTTCTCGCAGGCATTGAATGCGGCTTCAGCCGCCATATATTTGGCGGAATTGCACGCCACGCCCACCGACTCTTGAGTTATGCCGCTGCCATGGCCATCCAACTGCTTCCCGCTCTCGTCGTAGAGTCTGGCGGCGTGGTAAGTCGCGTGCTTGGCGGCCTCGAGTTTCATGTATGCGTCGGCCAACGGGTGTGCAATGCCCTGGTTCTGCCCGATGGGGCGTCGGAAGACGACGCGTTCGCGAGCATATTGAGCAGCTTTGTTGATCGCTGCGTAGCCAAGACCAAGCGCCTCGCCAGCGAGAAGGCATCGTTCTGCATTCATCCCGTGTAGAATAACTTTGAAACCCTGCCCCTCTTGCCCGATCAGCGCATTCTCGGGAACAACGTAGTTCTCGAAGAACACCTCGTTCGCATCGACGGCTCTTCCCCCAAGCTTCTTAATCTTGCGCATGTCTAGGCCCGGCTGATCGCGGTCCAGATCGATACAGAACAGAGATAGTCCCTCACTGGGTTTCTTGACCTCGTTTAGTGGGGTGGTTCTTGCCAAAAGAATCATTTTCGAAGCCACCTGAGCACATGTGATCCAGATCTTTTGCCCGTCGATGCGATAGGAGCCATCGGTCAGTTTGGTTGCCGTGGTGGATAACCGCAACGTGTCCAGGCCGGCATTCGGTTCCGTCACTCCAAAACAAACGCGCCATTCACCCGATATGATGTTGGGTATTGTACCCTCCACTTGACTCTTGGTACCAAACTTCGCCAACGGCTGCGTTGCGTAGACATTGGCGTGAATGGCTTGTGCGCCGGCCATGCCTGCACCACTCTCGGCGATGGTTTGCATCATGAGCGTCGCCTCCGAGATCCCCAATCCTGATCCGCCAAGCGCCTCCGGGAGTGCTACGCCAAGCCACCCGTCCTGTGCTAGGGCAGCATGGAATTCTTTAGGATCTTGCTCCGTTTGGTCACGTTCCTGCCAGTAGGTGTTGGGGAACTGAGAGCAAACTTGTGAAACGGCTTCCCGGACCGTCAATTGGGTTTCAGTGAAGCCTGTGGTCTCCATGAGGTGCCTGTGAGATGTCAGAATTGAAAACATGCGGCAAGCACCGGCCGGAAGGGACTGGAGAGATCGCCATGAGGAGAGTTGGGAGTGGCCTAGCCGCAAAAGACTTCTCGCCGTCGGTGAAAACATAATAACTTGGTGAGATTGAAAAAGTCGATCCTTTGTTGAAAGGCGAAACATGGACAATTATAAACGATAAGTCGTACAGTGTAATGTCCTTCGGTACGTACAGCCGGATATATGCATCAGAGCCTTGGGCTTATAGCCGACTCGACTCGGCCTCTTGGCACATGCTGGTGATCGAGCCGGACCTTGCACCAGTGCCCGGAGGTCGAATTCCACCACCAAAACCAGAACGAGTAGCCAATTTGACTCGGTTTCTTGGCACGTGACGGCGGTACTTGGTAATCCAACTGAAGTTGTAAGCATTTCAATGCTTCGCAATGAACGGTAGAAACCCAATGCTCGCTTCTATCCTACTCGAGTTCGGGCGCAAGGCTGCGGCAGTAATGGTGGCTCCAGTTGCTTCCAAGGTTGACCACACCATTGCCGCTCCATGCAAAATTCCATTCCAGTGTGTCGAGTACTGCCAGTCGTCTCAAAGACAGCGCTGAAGAAACTGCAAGCCCTGCATATCGAGTCCATCATTTATGGGTGTTTGCGAATCCATTAAAAACGCATACGGATCTGCCGTGCTATTTTGATACAGGTTTTGTGGCATATCGAGGAATAGTGTATCCTCACTGAATGCAGGATGCGTGCCTAGTGATAACTCTTGGTTATGAGGTAGGCCAGCATGGTCAAGTGGCGATACGGCTACTTCGTCGAGTGACGAGTTCGGTCCTAAGGATTGCTGACTTGGAACTGGTTGGAGTGCGGGATTATTTTCCGGCACGGCTTCGGATACGGGTTCTAATTCCGATGCACGAAGCCTCTTCGCCGTTGATTCATCCAAGTACTGGAAGAATAATTCGAGGACGAGGTTGTTGACCTCCCAGTACTTCTGGATCTCTTTTAGACCGAGCAGGCACATTTGAGCTCGGTGCTCTGCCAGCCTCCGCGTGGTGTCCTTGGATCGCTGGAGACTGATGGTGTGGATGCAAAGGGAGGCGAATAGACTTGTGATTCTAGTCAGATGGTTAGATTCTCCTCATAATATCTCGGGATACTCCGCTACTTACACGTGCAGTTGACCAAACCTCACCAAGTCTTGCGACAACATGTCTTCGACGATTCTAGTAATCCGGCGCGCCGCTTGAAGAGCGACTTGACCAGCCTGCGTGTCACCCTCGTTGAGAGGTCTGACATATGCTCGTCGGTGAAGGTAGATATGTAGGTTACTTCATGTCGTCATTAGCATGGCTGTTTTGGGGAGGGGGAACTAACTTGTATGCTAGATGGAGCAAGTAGGTCCAGATCATGCCAGGTCTACTTTCGGAGTTGCATTCACGCATGTTTTCTGGCAACTCGGACTTCCACAGTACCAGCGCCTCGGAAAGTCTCGATCTTTCGTCTTTATCAAGGTAGCTGTCGCCAGGGGTGAATTGGTTGGTTATGATCTTCCCGACTGTCCTCAAATGTTAAATCGTTGTGTTGGAGTCGGCAAATACCATCACACGTACGCAACTTGGCCAATTTGGCCATCTCTAGGGCATACAGAATATGGCCAGGTTCGTTATTGCCAAAGATATCCGAGGCGGATCCCTCGGGCTCCTCTTCCTCGAGATCCAAAGGACTGAGCATTTGAACATCACAGTCTTCATCTCGTATTCGGCTTGGCAAGCCTAGTGATGCTGAAGATTGGCGGTCTCGGACCTTGGGGAAGGTGTTAGCCGGAGGTGTATGCAGAGGGTTGAGAGATATACATAGATGGACCACCATATCCGTCTCCGCATTTTAGCTTGCTTTGCCCCTACTGTGGTACTTTGTGCCCTGCAGCTTATTCTTAACAGATATCCGGGAACCGGCTCCACACGAAAACTTACGCTCTATGAAACCCGCGAGTCTGAGCAAGGCCAATTGCTGCTCCAAGCCAGTATCTGGAATTCTTCTCGTTGAGGGGCCCAGCTCGCCAGAAGCTCATTAAGAACAAAGATTGGAGAACTGCCACCTTATTCGACTCCCAATCGGCATCAAACAAGAGCCTGGCCCGATTATAGAGCTTGGCTTTCGCCTCGGGGCGATCTCTAAAACCCATACGGTGAACAGTCTCCTCGTCGCAATAGCTGGTTCCAACGAACAGGATAGCCTGGTACAGCAGTGGAGATATCTCACCACTTTTGACCATCCCCGCTATCTCGGACCTGTCGAGAATTGGAAAACATGGATGAAACCAGCGGAAATATGCTCGTAGCACTTGTAAGCTATCTTGTAGCTCGGGATAAGTGAAAGCTCCCTCGCTGCGCAGATATTCGTGTCTCAAGGAGCTTATTTGGGGATTCCTGGCCGCGTACATTTTTGAAGCCTTGAGGTTGATGGCATCCGAAATCGGGTAGGAGAGTCTGTTCTTTGGTTGTGTGGACACACTGGAGGGCTGCGGCAAGCCGAATCGTTCGCCGGCAACACAGGTTAAGAAGTTTGACTCGCCAAAGAACAAGGTCCTGTCCATGGCCTGCGTTTCGGTAGTTTGCGTTTGAACGATATGCGTTTCGGCGGCTTGCGCCTGGGCGACCTCCGACGCGTTGGCTTGCGGTCCGACGTCATGTGTTTGTATTCCGCCGGCCTGTGGAGAGGCCTGTGGAGAAGGGATACCGGTGTGGGAGGCAACTGAATGCCGTTGCTCAATACTCGGAAGCCCGGCCGCGCCCACGCTAGGTGAGAACTGAGGCTGTGGGCTACTCGGTGAAAGGGCTTCAGATCGGGAAGATCGGGCGACAGATGGTGATGTATTCTGGGGTTTCTTCCGTTGGTATCTATAGGTAGGTCAAGGTGAGTCTAGATTCATATCCGCGAACTTCTCTTGCACCCACTTTCCTCTCCTGGAAGGTAGTAGCTCGCAGGCGATATCAGCTGCTGCGCAGTTGGCGCAAGGTCTCATTTCGAGGACATTGCAGCGCACCCGGCGCGAGTTGCATGTTTTACATGCCATTTTCGCGCGCCGCCGTCGCAGGGATGGCGCGGTGTCAGCACTTTCTGGAGGCATGCTGCTGAACAACGAATGATTTCGCTTTGGTTACATCTGGGTGCAGTCGGAGGCTTCTACAAGATATCCGGGTTTACTGAGCATGCAGCAAGCGCATGCTTCAATGTCGACGGTGACTAAAGGGCAAAGATACGTGTCCTAACCTTCGCAGATCTGTGAATAGTAGCAGCCGACAAGAAAGATCCAGTATTATCGCATTGTCCCGAAGAGGGGGGTGTGTATACTGTGTAGGGGAGACGGAGAATGGATGATGGCCAAACCCACTCGCGTGCGCTAGTCGGAGCATGTCCATACCGCCACATCCTGTTCATGTTAAATTGTTAACCCCTGGACTTTTCTTCCACATAACCATCAATTGATGTAGCAATCGAGCTTGAAGGCACGTAGTAAGAGCATACATGATACAAGAGCATCCAACGGTAACCTGATCATGAGTGTGTTTGGCTGGGAGACTTCCCTGCACGTGCAGACCAAGAATTTGGTTTCCTGGGAAGCTATCATTCCTTCCATCTCTCATAGAACTTATGTATAACGTATTCCACAAGCGAGCGGCGCATACAAGCGAGCGGCGCACCCCCTTTTACTAACAAATTCGGTTTCAATATCTCAACAACCACTGAATAATATAACCTGAAAACTTGGAATCATACTTTTCTAGTCATTCCTAGCTTACTATTGAATTTTCAGAGCTCTGGCACGAACATTTATAAAGATATAGAGGTTTGGCCCATAAATCTTGTCAAGAAGTAGGTATCTCGATATCTATACAAGCTAGTGCTCTGATATTTTAATATGAAGCTAGGAATGACTAGGAAAGCATAATTCCAAGTTTTCAGGTTATATTATTCAGTGGTTGTTGAGATATTGAAACCGAATTTGTTAGTAAAAGGGGGTGCGCCGCTCGCTTGTATGCGCCGCTCGCTTGTGGAATACGTTATCGATTTCACATGCCTTTGCTTGGCCCATCAAGCCCCGTACAGCCTTGATTACGGGATCGTTGATCATCTTGCCGTCTAAGTTCTAAGCGTCTCTGCCTAGTTCATTTTCCTTGATATCCCCAGGGTGAACACCCACGGCCCAGTCCAATGTGCTTTCCGAAAGCGCAAATACACGTTGCATTGTCTCAATCTATGATGGATGAATAGCCTGCTTACTAGTGAACCCGAGACTCCTGCCTTCCTTGCGTTCCTCTTCCGAAGACCGCCCCCCTAGCTCTCCGCTGACGTTGACTGACACTATATCAATAGCCGAGGGTAGCCGATATGCCTGACATGCGGTTACGATTGAGGAGCGAGCGAGAACCATATCGGAGGCTCGCTCGGCTGTATGCCTTCAATTCGGCTGCCTGCGGGATCCGGGTCGTCTATCCGAAATTGCATTTCAGAAGATTCCGAGCCTAACGATCGTAATTTACTCCACAGTCTCCATACAGCCAGAGTGCACAGTCATATATTATCCCAGTCTGGTCGAAAGCCTTATAGTATTTGGTTAGGAACCCGATGTTATGTGTCGCAGGCATCACGAAACAATACTCTGAAGTCAATACCAACCATCTTCGGCCATAGAATTATCTTCCAGTTTGAAACCATTTCCGGAATCCTTTGACCTGTTGTGCAGCCTCATCCAGTGCCGCTGGCTCCGACTCTTCAGAAGTCGAAGATATGAACGTTCCCTGGAATGTTGCCGCTATGCGCACATTTTTCGGCAAGGCAAGAGCATATCAACCCGCAATGCCTATGCTGGGCTACGCCACTCGACTTCAGCACTTTACATCTACATGCCATCCAAGAAGCAACTCATCGCAGCCGTCGAGCGCCTCTCGTCCTCTAGAGGGTGTAATAGTCGTTAGTATCGAGCAAGCAATTGCAGCACCATATTGCACTAGACAACTGGCGGACATGGGAGCACGAGTGATCAAAGTTGAGCGTCCCGGAGTGGGCGATTTCGCACGGGACTATGATACGCGAGTGGATGGGCTGGCCTCTCATTTTGTGTGGACGAATCGATCCAAGGAGAGTTTAGCGCTCGACCTGAAAAAACCTAAAGAGCTGGGAATGTTGAAGAAACTCCTGGGACAAGCGGATGTCTTGGTTCAAAATCTGGCTCCTGGTGCGACGGCGCGAATGGGACTTTCCTACGAAGCTCTACGAGCCGAAAACCCAAAGTTGATCGTATGCGACATTTCCGGGTACGGGCAGGATGGCCCGTACCGTACCAAGAAAGCTTATGACCTACTCATTCAGAGCGAGTCGGGCATGCTTTCTGTCACCGGAACGGGGAGCGAGCCAGCAAAGGTCGGCATCTCCATTGCGGATATTGCAGCTGGCATGTATGCGTACACCAACATCCTAGCCGCGATTTTGCAACGCCAGAAAACGGGTCAGGGTTGTAAGATTGATATCTCTATGCTTGAGAGCATGGTGGAATGGATGGGCTTTCCCATGTACTATACGCACAAGAAGGCTCCTGGCCCGACGCCCGCCGGCGCCTCCCACGCAGCTATATACCCATACGGTCCATTCGAAACAGGTGATGGCCAATCTGTCATGCTCGGAATCCAGAACGAACGAGAATGGACTACGTTCTGCGTCCAACTACTCGACAATGCCGACCTCGTCAAGGACCCTCGTTTCTGCAACAACTCCCAGCGCACAGAGAACCGCACCGAACTACGAGACATCATTTATGACGCATTCTCGAAGTTGACAGCCGCAGAAGCGGTCGCGCAGCTGGACAGCGCGGGCATCGCCAATGCTAACGTGAACGACATGCAAGGAGTATGGGATCATCCACAGCTTCGTGAACGAGGCCGCTGGACGGAGGTGGACACTCCGATCGGCCGTGTTCCAGCTCTAATTCCGCCGGGTGTCCCGTCACATGGAACAGAAGACAGCTTGAGAGCGCGTATGGACCCGGTGCCAGCGGTGGGCGAGCATAATGCAGCTATTTTCAAGAGTTTTGGATTGGAGGATTCTTCGTAGTAACCTGAACGCGACGAGTAAGTCTTGAAACCTTCGTGAATATCTACAGACGTCTGGCTGTTTCCCGCCATTAGATCAAAGCCAAATACTGAGGTATTTTGGTGCAAAGAATCGCATTTTTGTAATAGAAAGATAGCATCAAGCCCGACGCCGGGGAAGTCCCCCCACATGAAATGTCATTAATATCTTGTTCATTTGGAGTTTCGGTCCCTGGCTTGGACAGTAGGCCAGAAAACCCGGTCAAAAGGCTCGGTACCCTAAACTTCGGCTCTTTTCCCGAGCGTCGGGGTCTAAATTTTGGGAACACCGAGGCCGAAATGGGATTTAATGGATGGTCCTGCGCGTACACGTAGGGTATTCTACACGTACACGCACCCAGTTTCTACACGTACACGCACCCAATTACTAGACGTACACGTAGCCAAAAATGGTTAGCCTACTCATTTCTGTGACCACCAACTCGCTCAACGTGCAACTGCAGAACTCGCGGAAATGGTGATGTAGAGATAGATATATAATAGAGAAATGAACGTGTAGTATAAAAGATATATCATAAGTCGAGAGTCATAAAAACTCCACCATCTGAGGTCCTTTGGATCGCTCCGCGAGTCGCTCCCGTACCACGCCTTTGATTTGCTCCCCTCGCACGCCTTTGCCTTGGTATAGGCTGTGGGCGTGGAGCACGATTAGCCTCTCGATCTGCGGTTTCAAATCCAACCTCTTCGCGATGAGAGGACGTGCCATGCGGTGTAGTCGTAGACTGCGAGGCTGCGGCTTGGAGTTCACCAGATGGAGAGACCAAGACAACGCCCTGTAGCTCTGGCTGGCGAACGGTCCGCTGAGAGATAGGAATTGCAGGCTCTCGAAGATGGCGGAATGGATCCTGTGCAGGACCGAAGACAGGCTTCCTGAAATATAGCCAGTGCTCATCAATCAAGGAAAGGGGAATCTGCCAGTCTCTATTCCGCCGGAGGTTCTCGCTAATAGTATGGGAGCACGGTAGGCCCTTCGATTTAGCAAAAGTCCCTGTACAAGGCTGGAGAGGTATAGGGCGGGTAAGGAGAGTCGCGCGAGCTAATTGAGTCTGCTCCATCAGGTAATTCAAGGCCGGTTTGGAGACCTTGTCGAGGAGGTCGTCAGAGATGACTGAATTACATCTCCACCGCGTTAAAGTCCTAATAGAGGCCGTATCGTTGGCGGCAATAGACTCATTGGCATTCTGTACGACCGCCTGGAGTATCAGAGTAGTCACATTCATCAAATCTCCATTTGCTTCTGTAACGTGCTGCTTGATCACGCCGTGAGCGCTCTCTCCTCCCTGTGTCGACCGTATCCCCCAATTGATTCGTTGGTCGGTCCACGCCGCGGCGAATCGCTCACGTTTAGGAAGGACATATCGGTCAATATAGTCGAAAGTGGGTTGTTGGTCGTGGTGGGCGTCTTTGAGCTTATTGTACGCAGAATCGAAGTCATTAGGAGTTTTCGCGTAAGCGACCTGTGAGCGTATAGTTAGCAAAATTCCCGAACTCAAAGTATGTGTTAGGACCGCGGAGTCTCCAAAATAGCCATTTCCAGAGATATCAACGTACGTATCTCATAGCTCGATCTCACTTTGATCTCCGCGGTTTTAGAGCCACTTACCTTCTTGAAATCTTTCAGAAATTGAGCACGGAGCTTCCTCATGTCCTGTCAAATGTAACCAACTAAGCTAAATCCCCAAAAAGGGACGCCCCTACTAGGAGGCTAGTAGAAGGGCAGATATAGCTAAGGTAATTTTCCTGTGACATGTCCTCCCTTTGCGCCTTTGTCGGATATAAGATATCAAGATGTCTTGGAAGTACGAACTTTCGCGTGAGATTGGTATTAACATTCATAAAGATATGCCAATTACATAGATGGCACGGAATCCCGGCGAAAACGAGCTCGAGTGCATTGATCAAGGCGTCCTCGCTATCCGTGAGTATTAGGCGTGGAAGAAGTATACCTATAGCACTTTTGAGCTGACTTAATACCCAAATATAGTCGTCTTCGGTCTCTCCCTTCATAAAGGCGAACGCGATATCAAAGTTTGTCTTTGATGCCGTTGCTCCAACGGCATGGAAGAGAGGCATCTTGTACTTATTAGTCTTGTACGTACAATCCAAGATCAAGACATCATGTTGGTTTTGGAGTACTTCCAAGGACCGCCGGTGAGCGAAGAAAAGGTGAGTGATCCGCCTCGTTTCTGGGTCATATTGGTGGCCGGTGATTAGGTCGGTTCGCGTGCTAAGTTCCCGGAGAAGTGCTTGAATATAGGACTGTCCTTTCAAGCGGTGGAGCTTCAAAAAGTCGCGTCGATTATATATATCTCTCCTGATCAAATCTGTGCCGGATAGGATGGCGTTATAGATCTGTTTTGGCGTACATCCAGCCATTGTCATCTTGTCAATTTCCTGCTTCTGTTCCACAGTCAATTTACGGTGGCTGCGGTGAGCTGATGCCGAGGAGACAATGCTATGGTTATGCTCGAGAACCATGGTATGAATAACCCAACGCCGCGTATTACGGTCGAGTTTGGTCTTAACCACCCATCCACAGCCGGTTTTCGAACTTCCAGTCTTGCGGATTAAGGACGGGATTTTTGGAGGCTTTCCGGACCGATCGCACTCGAACCAGGTACGATCCTTCTCATCCCAGTTCTTATCCGTAAAGGTCTTACCTCTACGGATACCGAAATGCCGATCACGCGCGTATTGGAGGAGATATTGGTAGGCATCGTCGATATCTTTCCACCCTTGATCAGGCTGGACCGGTGGGGCGGAAAGATTGATATAGTCCTCCTGTATCGTATTTAGGAAGTCGTTGAAGAAGGAGTTAGGTAAGTCCTCTATATCTTGGTCGACCTCATCGCTAATCTCCTCGTCTGCAGTCGCAAAGCTCTCCTCCATATCACTATCTCCAGCCTCACTTTCCTCCTCACTTCCCTCCTCATTTCCATCAAAATCTGACGAATCGAGATACGGGACTAGGCCCAACGAATTAGTTGGGCGGAGAGCCATAGTCGGAACAAGATTGGCGTTGATGTGAGATAAATGGCGGTTTCGCTCAATCAGGTGATTAGTGCAGCGATACAGTGGGAAAACACCGTTAGATTCCAAAAGAGCGTAGATAGATTGACCTTGATCCTGATGAGCATAAAACCTGCGGGAATACGCCCATATTTAAGTTCTGTATACATTTCATGGCCCTAGAGACCTTGGCTTGCTCAAGACGAGCGAAAAAGCAAAGAGTGAGGGGCTGGTAACATCGCGGGATGCATGATGCGTTGTCATAGTTAGGAATATGGGGTCACGGGTAGGAAACTGGAGGTCCCCGAAAAACAGAGACATTCTGATCTCTGACAGTTGATATCTAGTACTTCTATATCACCATTTCCGCGAGTTCTGCAGTTGCACGTTGAGCGAGTTGGTGGTCACAGAAATTAGTAGGCTAACCATTTTTGGCTACGTGTACGTCTAGTAATTGGGTGCGTGTACGCGTAGAAACTGGGTGCGTGTACGTGTAGAATACCCTACGTGTACGCGCAGGACCATCCGGATTTAATCGATTTACCTCCTAATATCAAGAATTTTGCGTTCTGATCGGTCGGTTCAATATCACTGATCGCAAAGACACGATGCGAAGTGAAACCTCCTACTGAACTGACTGAAGGTACTCGACATGGGCCACGGGGCCGGTAGTGGCAGCACTGATCTAATTTTGGCCAGGCACACTCTGCAGCTTTCTACAGACCCCTGTCAGTCTCTTCAGGTTCACGGCTCTGACCTTCAAAGCACATACAATTCAGTATTCCAAACAATGGTGCCGTGACGTTGAAGGGTATCGAGCTATAGCTGTCCACGGTCCTCTGAATCTCGCTAATATGTTGGACTACCAACGAGATGATAGGGAAACGATGACTGAATTTTCGAAGAGCCCTCTGCATACCATATCGAAGGAAAAGATTCACGTATAACATTCCAAGTGCAATGAGAATATGGTAGAGGATGCTTAGTGTTAGCCCGAGGGATCGGTGGAGAGCCTTGGACATGCGTGGTGTGTAGGGAGTACCCAAAAGTAGAAGCTGAGATCACACTGGATACACTGGATGCACTGAAAATATTGGTCTACAGTAAGAATTCGAGTTGTTTGATACACATTTCTCACCACAGGCATTTAGAACCGTCACTCGCATTACACCAGAAAATGCTTCTTCCAGAACCCAATCTGGTAAGCGATGACCTTCTCGAATGTTTCTCCATAATAACCGTCGTAATGACCACCTGGGAAGATATAGATGTCCTTGGGCTCCCGTGCACGCGAGTAGGATTCGATGGCAATATCGGTAGGTGTGAGCTCATCCTTGTCCGCGACGCACATAAGCAATGGCGTGGGAGAGATGTGATGGATGTAGCCGGACGCATTGTATGCTCGGAAGGCTTCGATGCTGAAATACTTGCATCAGTAGAACGCTTGTGAACTCGATTTTTAGGTTACTCACCTCGAGACTGTGATTTCGTTCCTTACTGCGGGGTACTTCTTCATCCATGAAGTTACATATTCGTAGCTATCTGGAGTCGGAAGATTGCAAAGTTCCTTGTCGGGTTGGTTGGATACATTCTTGATCGTAATTGCCGGTTCACCTCTGGCGCGTCCTTGGCGATCTATTTCTTGTCAGAGATTGTCCTACTGGACCGATGATTTGAAAACGACTCACCCTTCTCAAACAGGGCCTCCATGTTCTTCACCAAATCGTTTCTGGTCATCCGATGGAAATTGGTCCATCCATCTGTGACAGGGAACTGATGCATATCAATTAGCTGTGTTCCGGACTTGGATAGAATCCTGCATACCTGGCTGATCACCGCCTTCACTCTGCGATCAACGGCTGCAACCGTGAGAACGTGAGCGGCACTGTAGCTCGTGCCCCAGACTGCGATCTTCTTCTCATCAACGTCCGGTCGCAGCTGAGCATAGGTGATTGCGTCGCTGTAGTCGGCGATTTGATGAGCAGGAATGACCTCCTGTCGAGGTTCTCCATCACTCGCACCAAGATTTCGATTGTCGTAAAGCAGCACCGTGACGGGAAGCTCAGCCGGAAACCGCTCGGCGAAAGGCAATATGCCCATCTCTTTTATCGCGCCAAAGCCATTGCTCATCACAATGCAAGGGAGCTTGGCCCCTTTGGAGGCAGTTGCTGGGGTGTAAAACAACCCTCGCAAGGTCAGACCGTCTTGCGTCTTGAACTCAACATCTTCGCACGGCATCTTGATGTTGTTGGTCAACTGGCTTCAGGTTGATGGACTGTCTTGTGGATGTTGCGGGGGATATGATGACGGCGATCGCCCACCACGACTCTACCCAACGCCATTTATAGGCAAATAGACACGTCCTTCTCTTTCTTTAGCCCCGCAACTGTGAGATTCTACTCTAGCAGCACAAGAAACAACGGCCATGTGCGTGGAGACAGGATGGGGGGTTGCGGGGCACGTTGCTGTCTTTCTGGGGGATGTGGAGACGGAGACCACGCCGGAGTTCCCTCTCGGAGCTGCAAAATCATACTGCGGGTTCTCCGGCGCTATTTCCCCCCCCCGCACATGCATACTTGGATCCAACTCTATCTCCATATCCCTGTCTAGCATACACCGTATCTTTGGGTGCGCGTCATATGTTAGAAATGAGAGCGAAAACAAACGCATGCAGCCACCAGGTTTATAGTCATCAAGTCAAGAAGCTTCGAGAGCAAAGACGACAGAGGGAGCGTATCAATAAGGCGGGCAAGACATTTGGAGGCCAGTAGCCGAAGGCCACCCGTACATTTTCATCCACTTCGTCCAGGTCGGACTTCGCACCATTGGGTCATCGACGGCTCTAACAAGATGGTGTCCAGTGACGGCATATGAGCAAAGATTTCGTATCCGAGAATACATCATTCAAAGCAGTAGTGACTAGTTATCAGTTAACTTAGCACTAACTAACTAGTTAACTTATCCAACCTAAGTTAGTTTAAATTATCTAGAGTGCTGTAGAATCTACGTGATAAATCCCACACGCTCAAGCTCTCTATAGCCTAAAGGGCAATGGTCTTGAGTTTTGCATAGCCGCCTGCTTCGTAGATGTCGTATGCATCATCAATGGAAGGATAGCCACAATTATTGCTGATCCAGATTTCAACTGCATTATTCTGCGCGGCTGTACGAGACCAAGGAATACGGTCGAGCCTGACGGAACCTTCACTTTCGCTGGCTTCATTGGCAAAAGTGCCGCTGGCCATAACGGGAGTGCTAGGATTGACAGGTGTCTTCCTCTTTCCTGAGCCGAATTTGACAAATGCAATAACATATGCATAAGCGTCAAAATCCCTCGTTATCTCGCATGGGGTGTTGACTGTGCACTCTAGAAATTGCCATGATGGATGCCGCGTGGTATACGAGTCTCGCATGGACAGGATCACTAGCGAGTACAATTTGCAGCCTGGTCTTTGCCATATTAAACTCCGTATCGTTTGCGCTAGTTCTGTTCTGGCAGATGAGCACAATCATTTTCCTCATCTCTCGTTGGCTGTACAAGTTCGCATTATGATAAACAAGGCACGTTGTGCAGATAGTGTTAGGTACCAGTCGATCTAGTCACAGTTTCAATACTTACTTGACATGAACAAGGTCCTGAGGTCGGGATGGTCTTACGGTAGAATCATGCAGCAATTTCGGACTCTGAAACAGGTACTTTCTGAGAGGTTTCTGAGAGTCAGTGAACGAATTCAGGGCGTAAAGGTTTAGGATAGAGTCGTCCATCTCCTTTAGATTCCAGAATAGTCGAGCCATGGTTTGGGCGCAACAGCGCTTCCACTATGATGGCACATTGTCCGAAATCACTTTTCCATTCAAGATTTCACGAAGAAGCGGCCGAAAACGAGCTCCCTGGAGCGAATGTTCCGTTAAGGATGCCATTGACACCCATGCCACGGCAGACTGCGCCTCCCAAAGGCCCTCATCAAAAGGCAGTCTGTCCGGAAGTTCTTGCAAGCCCACGACGCCTCGCCTCGTCGTCAGAGTCGAGAGACTGTTGTCATATTTGAAAACACTCCACGCGAGTGTCTTTGCAATCTCAGCCGCCCGCCACTGATGCCATGCAAATGCGGAAGTTTGTCGGCGCTCTCATGGAGGGACGGAACGGCGACACCCAAGTAGTACACTTGCTGATACAAGGATGCGGCTGCTAACTCCATATTCTGATAATCGGCAGGTGCGCGTGCATACTGTGAGTCCACTCCAGTCAGTAAGAGTCTAGGTAGCACGCAAAGTTGGTGGAGCATACCGCTTCGTTAAAATGCTGAAAACATATCTCGGCCAGCATGCTTGACTCCGCGTCCAGCCCCTTCTTCCTATGGCACTTTGTAGACCCAAGACGTACTAGGGCAGCTACGAGGTTTGTGGGATATTTTGCAATGTCCCATATCGGTTGAAGCATGACTGGTAACCCACGATAGAAGTCCGCAAAGTAAACTGTGACCATTTTTTTGAGATGGTGAACTGCGGCGCTATGCTCTGGTGAATCGATGTCTGACGGCAGATACGGTTGGGAGAGAACGCTGCTGATACTGCTCGCGAGTGTTGTACTTGCAATCGAAGAGCACTGACTAAGTCCTCGCCCATGAACTGTTGGGTTATTCACCATGTCATGTCTGTTCACAGGGGACGAAGGAACGGCGGAGCCTGAAAACTATGGCAACGGAGAACAGTCTGTGGAACCGAAGCGCGCAGCTTCCGCGAAAGCTGTTGCTGTTGGTATATCCATCAACTGGCCAAAAAAGGTCTGTTGAGCAAGCTTTTCGGGTGGGAACGAAAAGCACTGCTAGTCAACTCCAAGACAATCTATTCCCCGGGGAGCATAAGGGTCCCAGTCGAGGTTGGCAACAGCCAAGTCAGATATGCTTCTTGGATCGCCTAATTGGTTTATCAAGGTGCTATTGTCTAGCAAGTTGATTCGTGCTGGCTTAGGCTGATGAATGTCTCTGGGTGGTGGCAATTCAGGAGGAAGACTGAGAGCATATAAGCCTCTGTTCAGTCTCGTTAGATTTGGAGGTAGGTGCTGGATGTTATTGAGAGGGAGCTCCGGTGGTTGGGTATCGATGCTTCGATCATCTCCAGACGGTCGGGATGAAGATATGGACACTTGGGCGGAGCATTCTGGACTGTAGTGGGTCGTTGGTGAGCTGCTGGATAGAGCAGATGCAGCGTTTCGGGTCCTTTTTGAAAAATGAGCAGTCTGTCGCATTCGAATTGGCATTGCTCGATAGATCCTGGAGAATGCATTCCGTGCCTCTAGTGACGCAAGAATCGCAAGGCGGTGAACGTGAACACTTTAGCTTCTGTCAAATGCAATTCTGGCACGAAGTTTTTCGTCCATTCGGTAGGGTGATGCCGTGAACCAGTCGGCCATGATGCAAAAGTATGTCTTTTCCGTTGAAAAGCTTACCGCATGGTTTACATAGGAAGCCCTCTGTTCGACCAGCTCCACTGTCAAGAAAATCAGTAATGGATCGAGTGAAGCATAGGAGAAGTACCGTGAATGAAGTTGTCGGTGCCGCTGGAGATGCGTCTGGAGCGTCAATTTCACCCCACATATATCACAGTGGAATGCTTTGCGGGCAGGCTCTTCCTATCGCCACTTGTGATCAGTGTTGGCCTGAAGGAGCGAATGGAAAAGTCCATACCGGTGCTGCTGGCATGGAAGGAATTCTTTTAGAGTTGGAGTATACCCTTCTACGGCGAGAGTTTGTCTCTCAGTCATTCCGTGAGCTGGTATTTGTAGCACCGAGTTGTGTTGTCTATTCGATGGAGCACATTAATTACGTCTGCGGGAGAGGCAATTTCAGCAATCACCTGGATACGTAGAAGTCAATTGGCCCAAAGTAATCAAGGCTAACTACCACCCACCGTTAGTGTTTCTCCTCAAGTCAGACATTGCTAATATACAGTAGACACAGCACATGACAAAGCCGCATGCGGGTAATTAGCGGGGGATCGATTGGAATTTGGAGACTGATTAGGACATAAAACTCCAACTGAACGTTTTCCAGAGCGGTTATGGCGAACAATAGTATTCAGCTCTCAATGGCAGCCAGATCCGCCATCGATATTGAAATTATTGCCCGTCACAAAACTGCTAGCATCGCTCATCAAGTACCCGACTGCTCCGTCCAGCTCCTCTGGCACCGCCAGTCGTTTCATTGCATTGCCCTCGGAGAAATACTCCTCTAGCGCAGGGTCGCCCGCTATCACTGATCGCAACATCTTCGTTAAAAATGGCCTACTTCAGTGTTAGCGCTGAAGTTTCCCCGGAGATGGATGCAGCGTACCCAGGGCTGATACTGTTCACGCGAATGTTATGCTGTGCCAGCTCTGCAGCAGCCTGTCGAACCAAACCAAGAACCGCATGTTTGGAGCAGACGTATGCTGTCGCAGTTTGAGGAAATACCGCCTTGTGTCCTGCCGTCGAGGATATACAGATGACGGTGCCTCCAGATTTTTGCTTAATCATATGTTCGGCGCAGATTTGTACCGTCGAGAGCATTCCGTTCACCTGCCCACTAGTCAATAAGAAAGATCATCTCATTGCTGAAAGGAGGACTTACATTGACGGCGAACGAAGCGTTCATGTCGTCTACGGTGTGTTCCATGAATGGTTTGTCTGTCATAATAGCTGCTGCTGCGATGCTTTGTCACTCAGATTATGTTTGGAGACGACTATGGGGTGTGCGATATACCAGCCATTGATGGATCCGAATTTATTTGCTGCCTCTCCGATGGTCGCCTTCAGCGTTGCAGGGTCTCGAACATCGCACCTAGACATGGTAAGGACAAGTCGCGAAACACTGGTAGCAAACCGCACCGAACTCACTTGTAATATACTGTTTTCACCCCATAACTCAAGAGATCGTGGAACTCTTCATCTGGTTTATCATGAACATCAATAGCTATGATATTCGCACCGAGTTCTGCCAATGCCCTCGCGAAACTCAAGCCCAACCCTCGGCCAGCACCCGTAATGACAATAGATCTGTTATGGAGCGAGAACTTCTTGAGGACCGATGATTGTGGCTCCATGCTTGCCAACGTCAATATTTGAGTCTTCTGGCTTGTTTCTAGAACATATTCGACCAGGCCACTTATTGTTTTCCTGTCCCAGATTGAATTTAAACACGACCGAAGCATCTGCATCAAGCAGCGCTGCAAGCCCGGACATCAGGCCCAGCGACTCATCCCAGTCTCCTGCACCAGGACCCCAAGAGGGGCTCCCGTTCATACTTCAGAGGCGGGGCATCAGGGTTCAGGAGGGGCCTCCGTTCAGGCCTTCTGTTCGGGGGCAGCCCCGCATCGACCCCGCAACATACCCGCTGCTGCGCTGGACCAGCTACGTACCTCCTCAGTCCCCCCACACTTCTGCTTCCCTATTCCCCAATCATCATGTACACGTGAATCCCTTTTGGGGTAATTTTGGTCGTGTCTGGTGTACCAATGACTGGGGCATTTGCTGGGGTAGGCCGTATATTAGCGAAAAGCGGCGGAAGATGGGCTGTATATAAGCTAAGGACTTGTTGGTGGTTGCACTTGTTTTAATCTGTTTTGGGAGGTTCTTCGTGCAGTTTTCCCACACCATTTCCGGTGTCATTAAATTAGCCATCGCGGCCTTCCTCTCTCTCAAGTAGTGTCATCTCTCAAGGAAACGGGGGTCTCATCCGCAAGTCACAGGCGATCGAAATGGCGGCCAAATCTGAAACTACTGTTCCAACAAACCCAGATTCATATCTCCACAACCCTGTTTTCGACCTCTTCTCTCTGAAAGACCGTGTTGTCGTAATCACGGGCGGTGCTCGGGGAATTGGCCTAGCTCTTGGGTTTGCCGTTGCAGAAGCTGGGGGATCGGTTGCGATCCTCGATGCGGCGCCGCAACCCCACGAGCATTACAAGAAACTGCAAGAAATATGCAAGGCTGAGTTCTATCAGTACGTCTCAAAAAGGCCAGTAAGCTATGGTCCCCGAGGTCATGCTAACCTGTCTGCCTTTTTCAGAGCAGATGTGACCGATTATGAGAAACTGCAGGCAACCTTTGATAAGATTGTCAAGGATTTTGGACGAATAGACGGCCTGTATGGGATCTTAGGTCTCACGAAAACAGTAAGCTGACCATGCTTTCAGGATCACAGCGGCAGGCGTATGCCCCGACCAGGCCTTCTTGGATCGAGATCCGAGAGACGTGGAGCGCACCTTCAAGATCAATGTCTTCGGCACCTACTTTGCAACTCAGTTGGCTGTGAGGCAGATGGTGAAGCAGGGGAGGCGAAGTTCGGCTCTAACGTCAGGCGCTGGATCGGTTGTCCATATTGCCTCTGTCTCGGCACATGAAGCCCCCAAACTCCAGCTGACGAGCGATTATTCTTCGAGCAAGGGGGCTGTCCTCGGTCTGACGCATCAGCTGGGGTCTGAGCTGGCAAGTATGGGTGTAAGGGTGAATAGTATCTCCCCAGGGCAAGTCCTCTTTCCGGTATAACCGTTGACCCATAGTCGCTAATCGTCAGTAGATACATCTTGACGGATATGAGTATGGCCCTTCTTGAGCAAAGGAAGGATGTAGGCGAGGTATTTGTAAACGCACCAGCCATGAAGCGGATGGGGGACCGTACCGACTTGAAAGGGGCTGCGGTTTACCTGCTAAGCGACGCCAGTGCGTACATGACTGGTAGTGAGATGCTCATTACCGGAGGTTTGCACGTCACGTAGAAGCGTCGAGAAATTAACATCTTCTTCTCTTCGATATCCGAAACAGAAGCTTGAATCGGCATTGCGTATCTTCGTATTCTATCGTATGTGAGAGGTGATTATATGCGCCCTGCCTAGTGGGGCTTGATATCTATGGATATGAGGCGCGGCTTCAGATGCACGTTGGCGGTTTTATTCTTCTGGCGTTCCACAAGGATATGCGGTTTTTCTGCGGACCACATAATTTTAGGCGTTGTGCGAGAGGGCAGAGAGCGGAGTGGTGCTGTTGGATCGGATGTGAGAGTGACTAGGCGTGTTTGTAGGCCGGAGTAAATCTATGGGACTTCCTTCAGCGGGTGGGTCAGAAAAGTCATTGAAGAAGGCTTTGACCCTCAAACTGTCTCCGCTCTTGAAGAGATTCGCCATGTTTTTGCAGACTCTTTCCGAGGATCACAATGAATGGCCACTGAGTGTTGCCTTGAAAGAATCGAGACCAGATCATCAGGACAACAAGCCCGAGAGAGAAGGGATCAGTCGGCACTTCAAGGTCGGGTTCGTCAAAGTCGACCACGGCGTAAGCTTCTTCCACAATGCGGCGGATCCAGAGTAAAATTCGATCCTCGAATACTGCAAACCATGTTGTAGTTAGGCATTGTGCCTTTCAGATGTAGAATCGCCGACAAGGTGCCAGTGTGACTTACGGATTGCGGTGTGGTTTTGAGAGGGAGTGTGCAAGGAACAAAGCCACTTGGCGAGAAAGACTGCGCATTCAAACCCCGAGAGAGCGTGTTGCACGCTCCAGAAGAATGCCTGGCTTCGCGCTACTCGATCTATACCTAGTCTTACAGGGACACTGAGAGCGTGAGTGGAATAAAGCAGGGCGGAGAATAGGCTATCGTTGCGCTCGATGTTGGGTAGTCGAGTTAATCCCAGGGCAATTGAACTCGGATCGCGAAGTTCGAGGTGACGGAACGGCCCAATATTCAGCGCCAACCGGACGTAGGCGATTCCAAGGAGCGCACTGGATGTGAATGGCACAGGGCCGCTCTTGTTGTTTGGGTTTAATCCCGATTCTGGAGCTTGTTGCCACATTAAAGTCCAGCAGCGCAGGCCGCGTCTTAACCCATTAGCCTTCATAGGCTCATAATCTGCTGGGGGCATGTTTATTAACTCACCCAATAATCTGAAGCTCAGGAGCAGGCATGGTTGCCGCCCCACAGCTAGCGTGGAGTGACAGCTCGCGAACAATGTGGATTCGCTGCAAGAGCGCATGCAGCAAAACGTAGTTCCCAAGGGGACTTGGATTCGGCTGTATCGTAATCGCTTCATCCGTGCTGTACAACAGGAGCGATAAGGCTTCCTGAAAGAGCATCTGGTCCTTATCATCTTGACGCTCGAGATTCGCCCATTGAGAGGCACTTCGAGCTTGCCATCGGTCGGTAGAGCATGGCAGTCGCAAGTGCAGCTCGCTACACCAGAGCATTGGGTGAACATCGTAAGCTATGCTATGCACGTTTACGTAGCAGAATGCAATCAGCTTAGAGCGTCGCGCAGATTCTTTCTCTATCCACTGTTCCCATGTTAAACCGTTTGAGCCAGGGCTCGTGGGCTGGTGACTCTCCTCCGCAAGACCAATGTCGCGAAGGCAATGAACGAGCAACTGTCGAAGGGCAAATGATTGCTGGAGCAAGCCGACGACTTCCCAGGTCGCGTATCCAACCAAGATTAGTAGAGTCTTGATGGTGTCAAGCGGAGCCCACGGGTCGCCACGTCGTGCAGATGGCACATCTTCTCTTAGAGATGAATTGTGCAGGCGGATCAAGGAACGAATCTGCGGCCCAAAGCTCGTTTCTTCGTATCTCAACCTCGCAAAGACGATTGCATTTGCTGCATGAAATAGTTGTTCTGCAACTCTCCTTTCAAAGCAATACTGCGCGCCAGCTGAGCACATGGCCAGCGTGAGCTCCAGGGGCGTGCCTGATGGTTTGAAGGTAGGTTCGTGAATGAATAGGAGGTGTGAATGGAACCCTTCGAAGAATGAAATTAGGTATCGCGTAAGGGCGTGGCGAGATGGCAGCTTAAAATCCGGAATAGATGACCGAAAAGTCTCAAGAGACAAGAACAGTAAGCTCCGCTCAGCTTCGGTGACGACATACGTCCGCCCGCTCGTGTCAGAATCGACAGAATCTAGCCCGTATAGATTTCAGCATAGGTCTTGGCGCATTCCCTCTGCCGTCCAAGGTTCAGAGTCTCCTGGGCAAAAGAAGAACCTAGGGCAAAGTCGTGGGAGAAGCGGTTTCTATTAAACGTACCTCTCAACGGAATAGCGCAGCTTGCTTCATTCTCGGCAGGAGCGGAGGGCAGCCAGGTACTAAAAGGAGTACCAATGCCATTGGCATCGAGCGCATCCGGGCCTTCGGAGTCGCGAACGCTGCCAGCGGCATCCAAATCAAGGCCACGGGTAGGAGACCAATGGGCAGGAAGGCCCACGCCGTCCATAAAGTTTAGAAACTCCAAGAAGACTTCGAGACCATCATCATGATGGTCTTTTTGCCATGCCTACAGTCAGCCACGACCAGGCTGACGATGCTCGTATCAAGCTTACTATCGATGACGGCCCCAGTTGGAATATCCAGGGAATGCGCCTGCGCGAGGAACCCATCTTCTGCAGGAAGCCCGTCGTTGACGGGGGAGTCGACCGCTGGTCCACGCCGGGCGTATTCAGGTGGTGATACTTCATCGTCGCCATGTTTAGAGATTCGCCAGTGCCGAGTAAGGAGGTCACGGCGAGAGAAGGTGGCTCCACAACCGCATCTAAACGGTCGTTCCTTGGTATCTGCAGAGACACATCAGGGGGCTGGCAGAGATGGGAGAGAATAATGTTGATTGGAGTGAATGTGGCGTCTCCATGGGGTGATTTACTGACGTATTCTAAGATGCCTCGTTAGGTGTTCTGCACGCTTGAAGTGACGTTGGCAGTAGCTGCAAGTGTTTCGCATCATCGCATGTCTCGACTAGAGGTATGCATCAGGCACTTCGCTGAAGTTGGATGTGCTCGGGTTGTCAATTAAGTGCTGCAACTGGTACAGGACAGCCAAATCACCCCAAATCCTAGCAGCTCTAGTATCAAAACAATAGGTTGAACTAATAATGCATCTGACGTTCCGCGGAAAAGCCAAGGTAAGAGGTTATTTTAGAGTAACTATGGAATATGGAAACTACCTAACGAGAGGAAACATTCTAGTTAGTTAACTTAATACAATGATTACTTAACGCCTGAACGATCAAGGATGGGGGCAGAAGACGCAAACGCCACCCGCACACCCGGAGTGCCATGTGACAAACCGCTGTAAACATCTTCAATTCTTGTCACTCAATTCTTCATTCAGCCTACTGTAGCTCAACACCATCCTCCCTAAGTCTGACCCGAATTAGCAGCAATTCTGGGATAGAACACGTCTATGTTCATTAGTATTGAGTGTGCTACATAAGCGACGCGCTAACTATCAATATTCACGCGCAGTTGCAGCCTCGACAGTCGACAGTTGACAGGATGCTACCGGGCAGCAATCAAAGCCTCGTCGGTGGTCTCTGAATCGGGGCATCCTCAGCATTGAAATTCATCCAGTCAAACGTGGATTGCCATGCATGGCCGGCATCAAGAATCTTTTGCTCCTGCCACAGTCCACCCACCAATTGCATCCCAACAGGCAGCTGGATTGTATGGTCGTCCTTTGCGGGCAAGAAGCCGACGGGAATGGTCATGGCCGGATGTCCCGTAATGTTGAAGATTGCAGTGTTGATGGTAAGGCCCACGCTCGGCTTCAAAGCCTTCAGTGGCGATTCTCCTTGTCTCCAGTCCACATGCTTCGGCACGATGCAAGGCACCGTGGGCATGACAACAACATCGTACGTCTCAAAAAGTTTCTCATACGAGTCTTTCAGCTGTTGCGCTAGGTTAAGGGTCTTTGGATAGAGACCAGGGAAGTTCTTCGCAAGGTACAGTCCGTTGATCATCGTATTCTTTGTTGTAGGAAACAGCCGTTGGAAGCTGGCATTGGTCCAAGGGAGGCGCGCTTCTTCAAATTCTGTCGGATACAAACCCCTTCGGCCGTGCTGAAGCCCCAAAAGGTTCAGGGCTCCTGAGATGCGTTGCTGAATCGTCCAAACAGCCGGTCCCTCCATATGACATGGTACCGAGACCTGCTCGACGATCGCTCCGAGCGTCTCGAACCTGCGTGCAGCGCGCAAGACGAGGTCCTTGATTGCGGGATCAACCAGCTGGTGCTCAAATCCCTCTACCAGTATCCCAACCCTAAAGCCTGCAGTGCTGCTCAACGCAGGGCGCAGAGACTTGGCAAAGGAGGTCGAGCCGCGAGGGGGCGCTCCGAGGGTACGGTCATCCAGCCTGTCCTGTCCACTAAGCGCATCCAAGCATGATGCTACTTCCAACACGGTCCTCGCGATCGGTCCGACATGATCATTGATCGCATCGCCGCTAGTGACGCCGGTGTAGGGAACCAAGCCATGCGTCGGTTTTAGTCCAACACCTGGCATCGTCGTTAGCCAAAGGTCTCTACGTCAATCGACAGCCATGACGTACAACCACAGAATGCCGCTGGAATTCTGATACTCCCACCTTGGTCGGCGCCGATTGCAATGTGAACATGGCCTGCCCCGACCAAGGCTGCGCCGCCGGAGGTGCTGCCGCCAGAAGAATAGCCTTCTGCAAAGGGATTCTCTACGACGCCCTGCGCGCTTGTGAAGGACGAAGTCGAATTGCAAAAGTTCTCGCATGTAGCAGTGCCGACTACCTCTGCACCAGCGTCCAATGCCCGCGTGACAACGGCGGCGTCCCTTTTCGGAGTCCATGGAGCAAAGGCGTCGGTTCCAAAGAACTGCGGCACTCCCGCGACTGCGATGCAATCCTTCAGACAGACGGTCTTTCCCTTCAGCGGGCCACCGCTTGGGTTGCCTCTGATGTGGAACCTGTGGGCCCAGGCATGTCCGAGGACATTTTCCTCATCAGTCGGACGATGAATGTTCCCTCGAGGATATGCTGGCGAGTCGGAGGAGCATTGGTAGTCTGGCAGTCGAAGGATCTTCTCTGCACAATCATGAACGCCCGCTAACAGCTGGCGGTAGTCTCCAGACTCTTCCAGAGTTATGCCATCAGTGATGCTAATCGATTCAAGAAGCAATTTAGGCTCTTCAATCGCTATTAGACTAGGGCTACGTAGGGTAAGCATTCAAACTCTGTAGATTTTAATCTTGTCTTCACCTACTCTAAGGGAGAATCGAAGAAGACTGACATGGTCTGTCGAATGTGTGCGTGGTCAATAGGCCGACGTCTCGATTTTCCAGCCTACGAATGGTGGAGCTGGAAATAAAAGATGACCTCTATAGTCATCGGCGCTTTGCTGCTGAACGTGGTGAATGATTACTCAGGGGATCTTGCGGGAATTCGAAGAGGCTATCAACACGATGTTCGATAGGATGGTGTTATTTTAGCCTCACCGCAGTATCTCAATAGACAATAGTATCTCAAAATAATTGAGATCCTGCTGAGTGCTGACTGGGTACGTTAACGCTCTTTCTTTCCGCACCTAGCGGCCGCCTCAGATTTGGAGATCCCCACAAGATCCTCTCCAAACGACCCCAACTATTAACTTCAATTAGATAAGAAGTATTTTCAGGCTGTAGATACCTTTAGAACATTGCGCCAAGCAAATCGGCGTGCAATAATAATTCTTACATTCCTATTACCGGTACGTTTCGGGAGCAACTACCAATTATGAATTTGCATACTCTTCATCAGCTCAGGAGTCAGGACCCCCAATGCAATGAGGCCAGGAGACAGGGGACGTTCATGGTTTCGCGCCAAACTTCAGTCCCTGCCACTCCACCCAGGCACCCAATCATGCAGACAAGCGCGGCCCCTTTCGCGGACAGGGATCGATCAAACTGCCATGACAGGTGTCGGTACTCGGCAAGGGTAACGCGGGGACCTTACGAGGAGTTGGAGTCGCATTGGGGTAGGGGATAATAAGCCTAACCACGTGTAAGGCCACTGGCCTGACTAATAAGTGATAACTAACAAGTGACAGGAGATCTGATTGTCCTGCACTCATTATTCGGGCCGATGCGAATCGACCATCACCTGCTGACCTGCTAGTAGTGCCATACCAATGACGAGGTGGAGGGATCTGCTATCTCCAGCTGCTGCGGGGCCTCCGTGGAGTGTTCGGCGTCGCAAATATATCTACAGCTCCCCTGATCTGCCGTTTGGGCCGGTCTGAATACCGATTGCTTTAAGTCTTCTTCCTCAGAATTTATTGTCTCAGCTGTATTGAACCAGAAAATTGCAATGGGCAAGAAGCGAGTTCTCATTTCTTACGGTGTCGATGTTGATGCGGTGGCGGGATGGCTGGGCTCGTACGGCGGAGAGGACAGCACAAACGACATAAGTCGAGGAATCTTTGCCGGGACGGTGGGCACCGAGCGTCTGCTTAGGATGTTTGCCAAGTATAACATTCTGACTACGTGGTTCATACCTGGGCACAGTTTGGAGACTTTTCCGGAGGAGATGGCTGCGGTTCGAGACGCCGGCCATGAGATTGGACTCCATGGATATAGCCATGAGAACCCCCAGGACATGACCATCGAACAGCAGAGAACAGTGCTGGATAAGACATATCGAATGCTGACGGAGTTTGCCGGAAAGCCTCCCCGAGGAAGCGTAGCGCCGTGGTGCGTCTTGTCCCGGTCCCCTGCCGTACACGCAGCCACTGACCAGACTTCTTTAGGTGGGAAACAAGCAAAGAGGGAGCGGAGCTACTACTCTCATATGGCATCGAGTACGATCATAGCTTGAGCCATCATGACTGCCAGGCATATTATCTTCGCACTGGAGACACTTGGACTAAGATTGACTATTCCAAGAAGGCCGAGGAATGGATGAAGCCGCTGGTTAAAGGGCAGGAGACTGGCCTAGTCGAGATTCCTGGGAACTGGTACATCGATGATCTGCCCCCAATGATGTTCATCAAAGCCTCGCCCAACAGCCACGGCTTCGTCAATGCTCGAGACGTCGAAGATATTTGGCGAGATCACTTTGACTATTTCTACCGCGAGTACGATGAATTCATCTTCCCAATATCGATTCACCCCGATGTGTCAGGTCGGCCCCACGTCATCGCTATGCATGAGAGGTACGTGATTCTTTCAGTAGCAGAGAACCCAACAAAATATTCGTGCAATCTGACATCTCCATCGCAATAACAGACTCATTGAGCACTTCAAGAAACACGAGGGTGTCGAGTTTGTCACCATGGAGCAGATGTCGGACGAATTCAAGAAGCGGAATCCTCCTCCGCCGGGAGCGCTTATGCCCGCTGCTCCTGGTGCAATGCTTGCAAAGAAGTAAAGAGAGAGGCGGTTGTAAGTATGAACTTTATCACGAGATCTCGAAATAGCATTGCATAGGCATATGCATATTGTAATTTGTACATCTTGGTGCTGAACCTCTCCCGGACTCAATCTGCGTCTAGTCACATTGGTAGCGGTGCTGCAGTATGGGTGCAACAGGAGTGGAGTTTGGCATATGGTATTCTAGATGTGTTGTTCGCATACTATGGTAATTAGTGAGCGCCAGTCAGTGCTGCTAAGATAGCCCAGGCCTGACCTTGGACCCCCGTACATAGTACATCTATGTCCGCGCTTGCGTCAACAGAGTGTGGGGACCCCGAAGTTACGGGGTTCAGTACGGAGTACTCAGTTCTCACTTGTCAGTATGTCCGCGCTAAACGGTGCGCTTGCGCCGAGATTGAACATAGAGTGTGGGGACTCCGCATTTCCGCGATCACGGTGCTCGGTAATATAGAGAGCCCTCCTGCCGGTATCATACCCTTGACCTACCCCAGACCTACTCCAAACCGAGCAACCGACTCCAACATACCCCAAATTGGCCCAAGGGAGCCTCCAAGCGCCTCCAAACTCCACCCACCCTCGAATACTCTATCCTCGGAATCGGGATCGACCAGGCACAGCGCCTCCCAGCAACATGCATCTAGTCTGGTTAATTAGGCCCAGAAGTATAAAGCGCATGGGGTGGGCCCACTTGCCCTGAGCGGTTCGTTTATCAGTATTGCTACTTGTATTTCCATCTGTTTCCTACCAATATGTCAGATGAGAAGCATTCCATCGTTATGAGGCCTGATATGATGGAAAGTCGTGAGGGAGTCGACAAAGATGAGGCCTCTACAGACAATTTCGAAGTGTTCAAGAAGGTCGAGGGAGTCGTCGATTTTCGGACGGTCTCATGGATTCACACAGCAATGATATTTATAAAGCGTGAGTGATAGACGTCGAGTGGATTCCTATGCTGCCGCTACAAGGAAATAGGTGCTAACGTCTTCTCGCAGTAATCTTCGCAACTGGTGTCTTGAGCATTCCGGCTGCCCTGTACACTCTCGGTGCAGCTCCCGGTGCCATTTGTATCCTAGGATTTGTGTCATTGAATTCCTACAGTGGATTCTTGCTGGGTCGGTTTAGAAACAGTCATCCTGGATGCCACAGCGTTGCAGACATGGCTCAGCTCATCGGCGGTAAAGTTTTCAGAGAGATCATCGGGGCTATCTTCCTCCTGTCGTTCGTTATCTCCGCTTCCACCGGAGTCTTGGGTGTGTCCGTCGCACTCAACGCACTTTCGAACCATGCCATCTGTACCAACTACTTTTCAGTCGTTGCTACAATTGCTATCGCAGCCTTTGCGAGTGTGCGCAAGTTCGAGAAGTTTGCATGGCTTACCTGGGCCGGATTCATCTCTATATTCATTGCGATCTTCATCGTTGTGTAAGTGAACGGCTCAAGCAATATGGAGAGATGACCACTGGTCCTAACGAATCAATAGTGTTGGAGTGACGACTCTGGACCGCCCTGCAGCTGCACCAGAGACGGGAGACTTTGAGTTAGGGTACTACACCGTCGCACATCCTACCTTCGCTGCCGGCATCACCGCAGCGGCTACGATCTTCAGCACCAGCGCAGCGGCACCGGCTTTCCTTCCGGTCGTTTCGGAAATGAAGCGGCCTAAGGACTTCAACAAGGCTTTGGCGGTATGTATGAGCTTCATCGCATCCTCATACCTGGCTTTTAGCCTGGTCGTATATCGGTGGTGTGGCAAATGGGTCGCGTCGCCGTCTCTGGGCAGTGCCGGACCTGTTCTGAAAAAGGTGGCTTTCGGTGTCGGTTTGTTCGGACTTTTAATCAGTGCGTCGTTGTACGTCCACGTTGCTGCGAAGTACATGTTCGTTCGGTTTCTCCGAAACACAGACCATCTACAGAGGGGCACCTTCGTTCATTGGGGAGTTTGGGTGGCCTGTACATTGGGGCTCTCCATCATCAGCTTCCTAATCGCCTCGGGCATCCCAATCTTCGACTATATTGTCGGTCTTTCTGGCAGCTTGTGCCTTGCGCCCCTGACAATGGGCTTGCCGCCGCTGCTTTGGCTTTATGATCACGGCGATTATCGCAAAGGCACCATTATCCACAAGATGCAATTTGGAATGCACATTTTGATGGCGACATGTGCCCTATTCCTCACTGTCGGTGGCACATATGGAGTCGTCCAGCAGATCATACTCGCGTATCAAACTGGCAAGATCAGTTCAGCATTCTCTTGCGCTGACAACAGCAACTCTTCCTAATCCTCTTGTGCGATCCATTTTGGTCTTGGTGGCGACGATAGGTTGATTGATTTTATCAGAGAATTGATAGAAATGGTAGAACTGTTTACATCAAGCTAATCCTACCTGGGAAGCCACTTGATCTATAACCACTCCTTCAATACGCCCCCTTAATCACCATCTATTTAATATCTGAGTTCACAACGGAAATACTAAACCAGCTTATCATAATCCTCCTTTGCATCTCACCTGGCTCAAGTTAGCCAGGCTCCAAACACCACCATGACAGCCGAGAACGCAAATCCCCTGTATCCCCCCCTAGCCCCCAGCGACGCACCACCGGACTGGTTCGTCCCTGACGCCATGGTCGATTGCGAAGGGGCACCAAGTCCTCCCGTTGCCGCGCCGTCTCCGCTGGACTGGATCGCGTTCAGGACAGAGTGTGATGTGCTCGGAGTCGGCCCCGCGCCACCTGGTTGAGTGCCGCTACCGCTCACGGGACTACTTGCACCGGTTACACTCCCGCTCCCGCTTCTGCTTCCTGAATCTTCACCTAGATTCCCACAGCTGGTGCCACTATCACTGCTCGCTGGGATACCCGGTGTCTCTTGCCCAGCTCCCGGGCCTAATGCCGAGCCTGATCCCGAGCCTGATCCTGGCCCTGATCCAAGGACAGAACTAGGGACAGAGATAAGGGCAGAGCTAGGGACAGAGCACGATTCAAGGACAGGACCAGGTACTGCACAATCCGACGGGATACCAGTTGGCGCCGCTCCATCACAGATGGAACTGATAGTATACCCCACACACTCCCAAGTGGCAAGGTAGAGAGCGCTCTGTATACAGTTAGGTGTACATGATGGTTCTGGGCGAGGTGTTGTTGTCATTGATTCATTATTGAATACTAGGTAGCCTTCGTGTTAACTCGCTCTTAACTAGTAAGGTCTGCTCTAGTTACTGACATTAAGCGCTAGCAACTACAAGGAGAGATACAAGAAAGATCATAATGAAATCTATTTCTCAACAACGAAAACCGTAGGGAATGATGAGGAGAAGGAAGGTGAACAACTAACCAACTGGGTCTTGCTGACGTTAACTAATTAACTTAAAGGGTCTACGGCCTGTCTACGTCTTCATAATAGGTTGACCGTTCTAATTTCTGGAGCATAGCTACCAGCTGAGGCCATGGGGATACAACATGAATGATTGTGACCATTATCTAATAGGGGCTCAATCCTTGCGAACAAACCTGATAACGGCTGTGTTAATGCTATTCCTACCACAGCATCTTCCAAACTCTTCAGACCCCGAAAAGCTTCTCAGAGACTGAGATTGGCTTTTTTGTATCTCTACTGCCACAAAGTGACCACCTGGAGCACTGTCCTCGTATACTGTTGAGATTGGAAGATCTGAAGTTGATGATATTAGGAATCTTACGATGGAGGTCTCCTGCTTCACCAGAAGGAACATTCTCTGCCTTCTTTCCTCCATAATTTGCCTGACAGACGTTAACAGGAGAACCGAGATCGCGTAAACGAAGGCAATTGAACCTAGCGACTAGTGCCTTATTACCAAAGATACGAAGGGCGCCCCGGAATGATTCTACCTCCTCATGCGGAAGAGTAGCCTGGGTTCGTGTACTAAGGAGTGTCCAATCACCACGTGTTGCAGAGCTTATCCGGCCGTGATCAAGAGCCTGACGAACCGAATAGACTCGACATCGTTACCCTGCTACCGAAGGGCTTCGTCAAGCTTGAGGGTTAGATTGAATCCGTAGTGTGTATTTTGCCCCTGCATCTTATCCAACTTAAGATTCTTTTGGTTGTAAAGCGCAACTACGAGGACTGGCAGAAGCTGAAAGAAAATCGTCACAGAGGAGGATACTAAGACCACCAAAAGGCATCTCTAGATCAGGAAAGATCTCGCGGCAATGATGATTAATATAAGAAAGCTGACGAAGGCGGATTATAGATTTTTCGTCTATGATCAGACACCGGATTTGTTATGGTTTCGCAAGAACTGTTTGAAAATGAAGGAAGATTGATGTTATAGGCTATGTTATTACGCAGGTCGTAGGGAAGCACAGATGACTGTGGGTGTCTCGGGCACTAACCTGAAGCCTTAACTACAGTAGCATCAATCCTTGATGCATGCACTGATAACAATCATAACAACTAGTCTTAGTTTCCTTTCCCAGGTTTTTCACAGAAGTTGATCCGGCCGATGTGCCTAACGATAAACGATATTATCAAGCTCTATAAGAGAAGTGTTAACATGATCTCACCAATGCGCAGGGGGGCTACTTTAACAAGCCGTGGCAGCGCACTCAATCATCTTCTGCCTCGCGTTTCTCATCCGCACCAAGATATCTTCATCGCTCATATCCATCAGTTTGTAGACTTCCACTGGCCGTCTAACCAAGTTCTTCGCAGTGATAAACTCTCCTCTCGTCACAATCTCCTCCGGACTCTGCACCGCCCTCTTTACAAAATCTGACCAACTATCGAAACTCATTGCACCCCCTGCGTTCCCCTCAAGAAGTAGTGAGAAGCAGTGTGGCATCGCCTCGTACTGCTCCCAGACAGCCCTGACCCTCTGCTTCGCGGCCTTCTGTACGAATGCTTTGCACTCATCCGTGAGCATTTCCTCGCCGCAGACGACGAAGATCGGCGGCGAACCTTCCCAAGATTTTGCGGCGAGAGGAGAAACGAGGGGATGACAGAGCGCGCTGCCTTCGCAGAAGAGGTCGGCGCGGGGTGGGTCGGTTGGCCAAATTGTGCAGGGAGGCGATTTGGTCGGGGAAATTGAAGGCGGTGGGAGGTAGTTGTACTGTGCATTGTTCTCCGTCGATGGCATACAGCGCGTGAGATCGAGGGAGGGGGGACTCAGTGCGACTCCGGCGGGGAGGGGCAGCTCGACCACTTTGCCGTGGAATACGACCGTGGGGACATTCCCGGCGGGCGCGGCGCGATGGATTTGGAGCAGGGCTTGCAGAAGGACAAGGGAGAGGTTTCCGCCTGCGGAATCCCCAGTAATGACAATGTGCGATGCAGGAACTGGCTTGTGAAGCGCACCTGCTGGTGGATAGAGGAGGGATAGATAGGAGACGAGAGCGTCGAGTAGAGCGGCCGGGAAGGGGTTCTGTGGTGCTAGGCGATAGCGTACCGACAACACACGACCTCCGGTGAGATTGCTGTATTTTGAAGTTGCTGATCTCTGAGTGCAAGGGTCCATCAGGTAGTATGCTCCGCCGTGGAAATATAGCAAAGTTACATCACTTGTAACCTCCTTCATTAAGTTCTCGTACTTCTCCGCCTCGGAAATTGATAGCTCGGGTGCATTGTCTGCGACACCTGCCCGATAACCTGTCCACTCTGCCTCGACTGGTACGAGAGCCGGCCTGGAGTATTCCTCATTTTCCTGCTTGAGCGCGTCGATTGTTTCGAACAGCAAATCCCGTACTGCGTCTTCCGACGGAGCTGGCATTGTAACTTTACTCACCCACATCTTGCCTTTGATTCCGGGATCCCGTAACGTGTCCTTTTGCTGCTTGGATATTGTGGACGGAGGGGAGTTGGTTAGCATATCACGGACGATATTGACTATAAGCGTGGTGCGGAGATCCCATTTGGACGAAGTTGGGGACAGAGAGAGGGCATGGTACAGCACCGTTCTCAGGATAAACGGAGTTTTAAGGATAAGAAACTTGAGAACAGCAAATGGTGAGTCCATTGCGAAATGATTTGCGGTGAAAGTGAATCTTCAGGGAAGGACCTAACTACTCTCAGAGATCAGTTTTACAGGATATCTCTGTTTTACGCCGTTTGCCAGTTTCCTACACGTGACCCCCGTGTATGGCTGGTTCCGGGTGGGATAGACACCGTATTTGTCGCATTTCGCGGGGGTGATGATTAAGCACGGTGGCTGTTTAAGCTCAGTTACTATAACTAGTCATAACGCAAATTGATTTTGAATTATTGATTACTCCCATAGTCTAGAAAAGGAGATCTAGCTAGTAAGCTAGATAAAGATAACTTAAATACATAGGAGAAGGCTGAGGCGTCCTGATTAGGCCTAGCCTAGGGGTAGAGGGTAGGGAAAGGAATGTTAGGAGGCAGTAGAAACCAACAGGCATCTTGCGACAGTATTCCCGCACCACGCATCCCGCGACATAACCACCACGCATTTCTTTACTTTTTCACTTGAAACCCGAACTCACTGTCTATATTCCGTACAAAACGCTACATCCTCACGAACCATCCAGCGACTTTCACCACTCTCCCAATTCTTCAACAATCGATTACAATTATCATTGACCAACGTGCTGATCTTATGACAAAATTGCTGCGATGACGACTAAACAGCGACTTCCATTCGAGTTTTCATTTGGATACAGCTGGACCTGATTCCAGGCCAGCCCACCTACAGGAGATTCCATGGCTCTCAACAGCTCGCCTGATAGTCACCCAGGAAACAATGATACCAGAATTGGGAGATTAGCCATCCAAAGGAATCAGGAGTGGATGCGCGCATGCGTTGGTAGTAGAGATAGATGTGTGTATCCGTTGCTCGTCAGTCATGTCAGACCTGTCAAAGTGGCTCTAGGGAATACGTTATGGGAGGGCCTCCCAAACATAAAACTCCAAACAGTTCCGAATTGGAAAAGAAGATTGAACTATTGACAGATGCACTTCTTTCAAGAGCCGAACCCAGTCCTCACGTAACGGCTTCTTGGGTAAGAACACGCAAATCAGTCAAAAGCTATGACATTGATGATGTCACACGGAGGTCACCTGACTTCAGTGTGTGTTGGGTCACGTGGTTTGTGTTTGCTCGGAGTGTCACCACGTTGGATCGAAACGTGTCTTATTAAGAAACTAGTTATACAAATTTACCCGCGACATACTAAATAGTCAAATGACCGTGTTCATAGACCCTAACGGGAACCGGATAGCACGTTGAATTGAATTATTATTATTATTATATCTATTATTGCCGACCGTGGGATACTACAGCTAGACACAGCAAGCATTTATGCGTAAACAGTAGTCTGTCAGATCATTAAACAATGGGATTGCAAGTCTCTACCCTATCGAAAACCACTTTTCTTCACAAACTCCTTCCAAGTCGTTGGTTTGTCCTCCAAGGCATCCAGACTCTCCTGCAAGGACGTGCCATTGTAATATCCTGGCTCCTCGATCAGCAAGTGGTTCTCCAGCATCTCTTGCGCCATGTAGTCTGGTAGGAAGCTCTTGTACTGATCCGCGCTAATTTGATTGAAGTTGATCTTTTTCCCAGTCACCTCCTCAAACTCAGCGAGAATGCGCGCGACAGGATAGTAGTCGGTCGCTGCCAGAATCCGTTTGCCATTGAATTTTTCTGGCTTCTTCAGAGCGGGCTTCACAAATTTGCCTACGACGTGTCAGTGCTTCAGCCCTGCGGAAACGTTTATAGTAATATTCACCCATGTCCTCGGCCGCATCGAAAAGGGGGAACTTTGCCTCCTTGCTGACTGGATACGCAAGGCTGTAGGAGCCGTCATCTCCCTTCTGAAGCATCTGCAGGTAGTTGGACATATAGTAACCTGGCAGAACAAAAGTTGCCGGGATCCCTGAGGAACGGATGTATTCTTCGATTTCCGCCTTCCCATCGAAGTGTTTCACGTGTGGGAGCCGGCCGCCGGAAATTTTCGTCACATTGAGCAAAGAGGAGAAGATGATATGCTTGACTCCGGCCGCTTTGGACGCATCAGCGACGGTTTTACCTTGAGCTTTCTCAACTTCAGGATCACCAGTCTCCCAGTAGTTGGTCACAAGGAAGATGATATCAGAACCCTCGATCGCAGAGACGATCGAGTCCTTGGAGTCCATGTTCGCCTTCAGTTGCAGTCAGCCAGAGAGTCTCCAAGCCTCGGAACTTCGTCTATACCGTCACCAATTCAACACCTTTCTGAGCCAGTGCTTGAGCCTTGGGTTTGGACGTGTCGCGAGTCACGCCTCGAATGGAGTACTCTTTCGCAAGAGTTGCATCGCCCAGAATCGCTTTGATAACTGAGCCTCCTTGGATGCCAGTAGCACCGAAAACGGTGATAAATTTTACCATTGTCGGAAAATTGGAGGGGTTACACGCTTGGACTTGCTGATAGTCGTTGCGATAGTATCAATGCTCGTATTGGTATTTGAGGTCGTGAGTGAAGTAAAGGGGAACGTCAAACACAATATATAAGACCGAAAGGGACGTCGACCAAGGTTGACTAACTTCCATGACGTCATTATTTGGTGATTTCATCTGGCCCTTTCCGCTCGTTATAAATTCGTCTGGTGAGGAAATTGGTCGCCCCTAGGTTCGCCGTTCGAATCGGGTCTAAAACTCCTAGAAAAAGTGGTTGCTTTACTCATAGGTTCGCCTCGGTGTTAAAACTCACCGAGACTGTCCGAGCGCTCCGAGAGGTATTAGTATTAGTCAGAGAGCTATGTCGAGCTGAGACCGAATTTAGGTCTGTCCAAATCGGTCTGAAGTCCGACCTGCTCAGCAGCAAAACGCAAGATCGCCATCGGTTCCTAAACAGACCCAATGCTGTTACAATAATTATAGCTGTAGCAGTAAATGACTGTGGTGCACCTCTTCGTACGCAACCAAATCTGGTTAGTTCAAATTAGTAGGGTAAGCTATGCTTCTGACGAATGAAATCGTAACATGCGGCGGGACGATCACTGCGCTTAAACCTTATCCCCTTGATGGCCGTCGCTACAGTGCTCAACTTCTCATCAAAACCCAGTTTCCACTGACACGGTCTGGATGCGCAAGGTACAACTAACTAACTTAACGTAGTTAAGTTAATCCACCTGCGAGTCGCCCATCCCATTTCACACCAAAAATGGCAAAATCATACATACAATATCTTAACAACAACGGAGTAGGATGATTCAAAAAGTATGTTCTCAAGGTCTTTATCATGTACTTAAAGATATATATTAAGTCAGGCCAGTTATACCCATTATTAGTAGAGATCGTATAATATGGCTAGATTTTTGTATGAGGAGATAATTGGGACTTAAATATCTCTTCAAGGACGTTATATATCTCTCCGAAATCTATATAGAATGCATAAAATGCTTACTAGATTCTACCTATTGATTTCTAAATAATTTCATCATGTCTGGGTTGGGATATTGTATGTCTGATTTTGCCATTTTTGGTGTGAAATGGGATGGGCGAGTCGGTGGTATGGGCGACTCGCTGGTGGATTACGTTAACTAAGTTAAGTTAGTTAATACACAACGAACGGCGGTCGAAGCAGAAAGTGGTCGGCCATGGGGTTAGAACCCCTGGTAAGACACCCGGGGGTTGGTCACCGGTCTTTGAGCACTGCAGCAATCAAGGGGATAATGAGTTACTAGCCGTTCAATCTGGAATCCCGTTTTGGTGGCACATCAGCTTCACGGAAACATGAATATACTCGTTTTCCAACACCAAGGTTTTTTTCTATCACCAAGTCTAGCCTTACATTTATAACCTATTCGCTTCACACCAGTCTAGACTCTCCACCATCCAATATCGTCTCATTTAGTGAGTATACCTGAAACCATCCATTTTCTCAATTATCAATTTCCCTTGTCGTTGCCTCTTATTGGAGACGGCAAAGTATGCCGTTGTAATTAAAACGGAGAGGATCACCAGCGCTCCAGCAGTTAGGCAAGTATAAAGACCTGGACGATAAGCTGGAGCATCCTGACTGCGGAAGGTCAAAGACCCAATGATTCCACCGACGGCACCAGCACCGATAAGGGTTGCAGAGCAGAATGCTCGTTTCCATTGGCCCACAATATTGTTGGCTTGGTATGTCAGAGTCAGAGGAATATTGGCATTTGCACCTCCCACGATCAGGAAACATCCAAAGAATCGCACCCCCGTGACTTCCACGAAGCCAAGGAGAATAATACCAATTATTATCAGAGCTGCGTTAAAGATCATGAACGGGCTTCGCAGACGGAAACGATCGGAGAGGTAAGCTTCGAACTGGCCGAGAATTGCTGCAACGGCGACTGCCTGAAGAAGCGCGGAAACGAGTTAGCTAAATATTGATAGAATTCCACGAATTTCATGAAGGTTAAGTTCAAATTGTTTGGCGACGCTGATGACTTACCGGGGTCGAGAGACACTGTGTTGCGACTTCGCTGAATCCCATATCTTCACGGAGAATGATCGGCATAAAGTACGCCGTCGCATATGTAACGGTTGATGTGAGGCCAAAGTTTGCAGCAAAGAACCATATTTTCCAATCCAGGGCATTTGCAAGGTACGGCCACAATTCGAAGGGCGGTATGATTGTGTCGCCGCGGTCACGCTCAACTCGTTCTATGATAATTCTGGCCTCTTCCTCGGTGAGGAATTTCCACGAGTGAGCTGCCTGTTCAGGGAAATCAACGATAAGGATATATGCTAGGCATCCCCCGACGATGGTGATGATCCCCTCGATTATGAAAATCCCTGGATTTGATAAGTTTAGGTCAGGACATTCCACTGAAGATACTCTAGGTTCACTTACATCTCCAACCAGCATAGCCTCCCACGCCATCCATCCTCGAGAGCTGGATTACGGAATTAGTAGGTTCAAAGATTGGGAGACGGCTATATGAGCAAACTTACTCCGTACGCAAGAACACCTCCAAATCCGGCAAAGAAAACGCCCACCAAGTAAAAGGCGGCATTTCGTGTTGCCACTTCGCCTAGGATACAATCAGTTATACTTGTTTGCAATAGAAAGGAGTAGGCAATGCTTACTCCGAATGTACCAGGTACTAATGAGGTAAACACTGGTAGAAAAGAACCCAGCTTCGAAAATTCCAAGCAAGCAGCGAAGGGCGAGCATGGCACGCCAGTCGTGCACAAGGCCATGGCCAGCCATTACAAGGCCCCAAGATATAACAATGCCAGATAAGAATCGACGAGGACGGAGCTTCCGAGAAATTGGGGTCATCACTGGCTGGAAGGCGATGTAGAACGGGAAAAAGCAAAGGATCAAAAGCGACTGGTTGGAAGTTAGATCATCGAAATCCAAATTAGACTTGGGACTGACTCACGTATGCGTTTCCTTCGGCTAACTTGAGGTCCCTACCCATACCAGCCACGTAACTATTCGAATTTATGCATCAGCAGGCAGTCCCCTATCCAATCTTGGAAAAATCACTGAATGAGATTAGGTCGACGAACGCATTCTATAATCAAGTTAGCAAATTGTATCTATAGGCAACACTGGACACAGAGATGGCCTACTGGAAGATTAACACGATCTATGACAGCAATCGTGTACAGGACGCCCAGGACAATGCAGATTCTACGGTCAATCTTCCTGTTGATTCTTTTGACCGTGGCTTCATCTTCGATCGCCCCAATGTCTTCAATCGTCTCGCACTGCAAAGGGTCCTCACTAGGCGGCCTGTCCAACATCTTCTTGTCTGAGGCCATGACTGGATAGACTGAGAGTGATCTGAAAAGCTTGGGAAGTGTGATATCCGTGCTACAGAGGATCTGAGGTATGAAGAATATCTGAAATACAGAGAATATCCGGGCAAATGGAGGATATCTGGGGTAAGGTGGAGATCCTGGGTAAAGGTGGAGATCTGGGGTAAAGTGGGTATCTGAAGTACCGTATAATTACCACTGGCCTCGGGGGATCTGCATCTCAGCCGAACCCCGCCCTCATTTTCCTGATGAGCATCTCCGCAAAGAGGGATGAGAAGCGGAGGTCCTTGAATATGGTTAGGGAGATTTCCATAACCCTGAAATTTTATGGGGAGCTTAACTTCGTTGCCGTCTCTTTTGCGCTGGCGTTAGTTGGAACTATGGTCAAGCTGGCCTAAGGCTCCCAAAGCTTGGTACTTAGCATATGCCCCAGTCCATAATGGCACGCAAGTGCGACGCTTTGCACGGTGCTTGGTACCAATTCAAGATTCCTGAATCGCACAACATGGGTCCCTGTAAGTCGTGACTGATTGTTCTTTGGTTGTTGGTTTGAGAGTGTCATTCTCTTTCATAGAGCATCTACCGCTTTGGGAACGGGAGTAGCTGGATATCTCACTGCCAAGTTAGCAATTTCATAAGATCTAAGCAAGCCATATGAAGAATGGAGAGCCGCGCGACTTAACTGCCGTGAACGTAAGCATCACTTCTGGTGGTTATTGAAGATTGTGTTAATAGAACCTAAATAGATCGGACGAGGCGCGAGTCACCCTGGTCTTGCTTTGGGTGCTTGGGCTATTGGGAGTGCGCCTGGCATAATTAACTATAACTCGACAGGTGATGGCTTGGTGCATTGGTTGAAGATTAGCAGGACAAAGGTCTGTTGGATATCAACCATCCTCTAGAGGTTGGGAGTCAGGTGACATCCCAATACGGCTAGTATCATGTGTGGTTACCTCCTATTCCTCCGAGGCCTCCCATACTCCTAGATAGATCAATCAGTTACGTATCAATACTTCTACAAGGTCGTGGTTGTGGATTGGAACGATGAATGGACGTCAGTGTAAGAAGCTTGGTCAGAACTCAGAACGCACCAGCTTACCTACTCTAATCACTCGACCAAAAAGATAGGACTAGGTTGGCGCACAGCCAAACTAAGGGTTCTGCAACCTATAAACCACATTCTATTGTTCTTGCTATATGTTCCTCACAGCCAGGCGCATATCGAAGAATGAGAAATCAAATCGAGGGAGGGCTAGGAATGATGATCGTCGCGCAGTCACGAGACCTCGTCTGCTGTCCCCGTCTCAAGACCTGAGTCCCGACGCGTCAGAAAACCATAGAATACCAAATACGCCGACGGGTAATCCCTTTTGGTCTCTTAGTATTTCCGTTATGACGCTTTTGATCACTGCTATAGCTCTCCATAACATCTGGTTATTGGTCTTCGTTCAAGAGTTGTCCTAGTGTATCATGCTTAACTAATTATACTCAAAGTACATACATATCTTGGGCTTGGATGGTATTAGCCCGCAAGCCGCACCGCCCGCGCCCCGCACGCGGGACGTGCGGGCACGGACGTGCGGGCGGCGGGCCGAGCCAATAGAGAATTAAAGATGGCAAATATCCTGGTTCCTAGGCAGACACAGACGCGACATCGACTCGACCAATTCGGCGAAGGTAAGCATAAAAAATAATGAGCTCCTACTCTTTCAACCGAAGAATGTCGAATTATTTCACGCTGTGTCATACAACCAGAAACCCACTGCAAAACAAGACAGCCCGCAATCCAAGCTACGGAGCAGCTCCTCTCTGAAAAGCACAAGATGGTGGCACTCGACCTTGTTCACGCTTCCAATGCCCAGCTTCGTCAGTTGGGTCCTGGTTTGGTAGCTCTTTTCGGTCAGTACTATCACGAAAAGGTAGTTCATATTACCTCGCATGTTAACAATACCATTCTATTGAACTAACGTATACTAGTTGGTGCCACGTCGGGCATTGGGGAATACACAGCTAAAGCCTTCATCGAGAATGCTCTCTCCCCACGAGTCTATATCGTAGGCCGCAGCGAATCGGCCGCAGAGCGCATCATCAACGAATGCAAGGACCTCAACAAGGATGGGAAAATCGAGTTTCTAAAAGCAGACGTGTCGGAGCTCGGGGAGGTCGACCGAGTATGCGCAGAGATTACCAAGAAGGAGTCGCACATCAATCTCATAGTACAGAGCCAGGGGAACATGTCATTACGAGGTCGCGATGGTTAGGATACGAAAGGCTTCGCGAATCCCTCTTTACTGACTCCAACTAGAATCCCACGAAGGCATCGACCGCAAGTTCACGCTCAGTTACTACTCCCGAATGCGCTTCATCTCGAACCTCCTCCCCCTCCTCCAATCCGCCGCTACTCAGCCGCCTCATTTCTCGCGGACACTAAGTGTATTCAACGCAGGATTTGAAGGCAAGCTCAATTTCAAAGACTTGGAGCTCAAGAACACATTCTCTGCAGCGAGGTGCGCGACACATACTACGACGATGAACAGTCTCATGACCGAGGAATTCTCGAAGCGCCAGCCTGCGACGACGTTCGCACACTCGTGGCCGGCGACGGTTGTTACTACCGGCCTCGCGAGAGAACTACCTGCTTGGGCTCGTGTGGCTATGAATGTTCTCTCTCCGCTGTTGTCGCTGTCGAACCTTGCTGTCAGTAATGAGGAGACGGGTGCGAGGCAGCTGTATATTGCTACCAGTGGCGTCTACCCACCCGCAAAGCCTTCCGAGAACTCTCCGCTGGCATCTGGTGTTCCTGCTCCTAAAGGCCTGCATGCGCCTATGTTAGGTGCCAATGTGGTCGCGGGCAGCGGGGCGTATCTCGTCAATTGGAACGATGAACCAACGGGCAAACAGAAGTTGCTACAGGAGTACCGTGAGAAAAATGTCGGAGCGACGATTTGGGAGCATACGATGGGTATATTTGAGAGGGTTGCAGAAATAAATCAGGGTCAATAGTATGTACCAGTTACGGCATGAGTGAGCTTTGGGGTGTTTTTCGAGTGTCCCTCTCCAACCACCAAACGCATCCCCATCCTTATCAACAGGATGCCTCAAATCATGAATCAATCAATTCAACCGGAATCCAACCGAAAATCCGGTTGTCCGCGTGTTTCAAGTTAAGATACTGAATTGATCGGTCGCATCCGACCAAGCGGTCTTGCGCTTCCTCGGGTAGGATATAGGATGCCGGAACACCAGCTGCTGTGATGCATCTTCACGTGCTGGCGGTGCTACGTTAGGTTTCAAGCGAAGAGCTCTAGATGGAACGTTTCAATCGAATTGGCGATTCCGTTTTATATCCACCTTCTCAAAGCGAACGATCCTTGTCGCCGCGTGTTCCACCCTTAGTTAGGAACCCCTCTCGTTGTAACCCTAGAATCAGATCCATTTCCATTTTCTAACCATCACCTTAACTCTCCACGTACATGCTGTTCCTGATCAGGTCCGCACATGCAACGACCGGGACACAGCCCACATGGTTGAGGACCTGGTACTACTGTACGTACCTACTAATGTACAGATAGTGTTCTAACCGAAGATTTCATCCCCATCTAGGTAGGTCACTCGTGCTGACGGGAGTACACTAGAACTTCAAATGAGAGGAACAATGCATTATGCCGTCGACACATGGATCGAGTCCGAGGCCATGGTACCGATGCTGAAGAAATAGCCAGGATGGTTAGCAAAACCTGGGAATTTGCCATGAGACTCCACGATTGAACTGGAGCGTCCCCGGGAATGTTAAACGGTGAACCTCGTCAGCGACCAAATATGCCGCATTCCCCGGTTTCGAGACTGCCAACTGCCAACTGGAGTAGCATCCTCCGCGTTGGGTTTCATGAACAGGTCTGCGCGAACCAGGGACGAAGGCCATGCAAAGTGCAAGTTCTCATGCAAAAGAGACGGCGCAATCCTAATAGATAAAACCGAATACCATTAGAGCGGTGCTCCCGACATGACGACAGATGGGAAACCCCGTTCAGATGGGTACTCCTGCCTCCCGAGGAGCGTGGGAAATTGAAGAAAACCAGGATTCTGTTATCTGGATAGTCATGTCGCGTCAGCATTAATAGTATGATCAATGAAAATTGATAGGATTCCCATTGATCACACTGATCGTTCATACGAAGAACCGATATTCCGAATAATTATCAATTCAATAGTTTCTAACTATTAGATTTTCCAAGCGAGTCCGTCCGTCCATATCAATCAGGTTGTGTATCTCCAAATCCGTGAATTTCCTTCGCGAATCTATCACAAAACCTCGTGGGGGCCATGATGGGTCGAGCACTAGACACCCGACCTGCACTTCTGCAGAAGGAATCCCTCGCTATCAGATCGGCTTACTAGTGGAGCACATTAATGGGGCGACCGATCCGCTCGAACTCCACGCTAGTCACACGATGGAAGGGGACTAGTCAGGGGAAGCGATGAAGGGTGGCTGGTGGGCCGTGGGCCGTGGGCGGGGGGGTACTGTATGCCCGCGCCGGGCCATGACCGTTGGGCGTTGCACAACGAGATTCGTGCGCATCATATCATGGATGATGGGGAGCGCATGTCACATGTGGTATGAAGCGAATTGGGCGACATCTCCAGGAAATGATTCCTATGGAGAGGTCGCAGTCTGGTCAACAGGATTAGGGAAGCCAATAGGACGGACCAGAGCTTATTATTTCGTCTTGTTCATACTTCATCACCACCTTCTTTGTGATAAAGCAGGTCGCTGGACTTGGATGCTGAACCGTTGCGCCTCTCAAGCCTCATGGGTTGAACCGAACGAATGACGAGCCACCTGAGCCTGGATGATGTGATCAATGATGCGATGTAATAAGAGGTATGACAGGTAATTCTCTTCCCCCACAGGTCTTTTGGTGAATATGTTTTCGAACATCGTCGATATTCCTGCCTTGCTTCTTTCAATTTTTCCCGATATCTCCAATACTTCAATGGCAATCTGGACCCAGGAGAGGGACAGAAGTCCCAAATGATAGAGCGCCCAGGTCGATCTTGGGCCGGAGGCGGCGGTAGGGCTGGGTAACAAGGGGGATGCAAATAGGGAAGCGTAAGGAGATAATCTCCACCGGCCAAAAAGAAAGCCGCCACAGATAAGCGTCATATGCCGGCTGTGAGTTGACGAAAAACTGCAAGCCACCGACTGATCAGTCATTTCTTGGAACTTTGAACGGAGGGGCAATATAGTGCTCCTTTATCTCGTCTGGATGCTCAACATCAGATGCGATTGATATCGACAAAAGACCGAAGGCGGAAGCAGTGCTATAGATGCACGATGGGGATACGTATGCGGAACGTTCTTGTCCTTGCAGTAGCGCCTCACTGGATCGATATCTGTTTGATGCGCGTTTCCCGTACTATACTTCAAAGCATTTTCTGATAACTATAACTTTCGAGTGGTGATAGATGCCCCGAAGGAAGAGGGCCAATCTTACGGTAGTTCCAAGATCAACGACAGCCAGGCTGACAATGGCGTTATGTACTCTGTACTATGCTGATTATGAGACCGTGGCTGGCATTCAAGAGCCTTTGACAGGATGAGATTGGGCAGTGATGAAAATCCATCGTCCATGACACCCTGCCGCAGAGGAACCAAGTGCGCAAGGGCAGGCATCCAACGGGATTCATTTCTCGTCCACTCGTCCCTACGGCCTACACCCTAGCGAGTTAGCCACTCCTGGAGCTGATAAGGGAGGATGATCGGATCTAAGACGGATTTGCCCCTCTTCCAGGAATTGTTCGTTTCATAGACTGATCTACTGTGTGAGCCAGGGACTGGGATTCTGCGAGTCTTGGACCCTCCATGGCCAAGCAACGTCTCCCAAAATCGCATCCCACGCTCCCACCCAAACGGATCAGATCATGTACGATGCATCGATATGCTTCCGCTCGTTCTATTCCGTACTAACATAACAACTATCCCAAACATCGATGGTACCTGCCTTCGCATCTCCCTCGGTCAGAACCTGGACTTTACAATCCTTTGTTAAGACTCACCTGTGGTTTGGTTCTATCTGCCTGATGGACATAGACCGAATATCGTCCCATTGAACCACTAATACCCAATTCCTGGGCATTTTTCTCCCTTCCTCCCCAACTCGCGCATTCGAGGACGACTGGGAAATCGCTATAGGATTGTCAGTATTCGCATGGGCATGGCCTGGGTCGTTTCGACAGGTTATTTCCTATCATGGCTTTTGGGTACGTCAAATCGCAAACAATGGTTTGAAATGCGCAAGCCAACTATTGTCGCAACACCGGTACAACCTCAGCTAACAGACTTGGTTAGAACCTTAAAAGATGTTGTCCGTACCTTGGACGCCTGTTTCTCGTCCCCTTCGATCTTCCCCCCACTTCCCGACGAACTCCAAGAGACTATCAACGCCTTTCTTGACGCAAATGACTCTATCGAGCCGGCCGACTCCCAGCGGCTGGCGGAGGAGTTACACACCGTTTTCCAGAAATACGTCCAACCGAACCCTGACAAACATGCGGCCTTTATCTCGCTTATCCGCACTCTTCGCCCCGCCTATACCCCGTCCGATTCTCAACTCTACGAGTGGTGGAACAAGGTCATCCGCCCCACCATCGGCTCAATCGGACACAAGCGCACAACGATTGACAACGCGCGGGAGTTCATGCTGAGTGTGTTGGTGTACGACGAAGACTCGGATGAAGATGGACAACACGCTAGATTAAGTCGTGATTTCACGGCGTGGCTGTTAGATGCGTACATGGCGCGGTCAAATGTGCAAAGCAGAAATTCCATGGAGATGCAGAACCCCGGGGACGAACTTAAGGCGCATGAGTTGGAGAAGGTCTTGCTTGCATTCGGGAGGAAGAGGCCGAAGGTTTGTCGTCCCTTGGAGTCTACCGGACTCGATACTAACAAGTTTGCAGGAACTACTCCTAGCCGTTGACGACTTGTTCATCAAGAACGAGCATCGTGCGCAAGCACTTGGTCTGCTCAGTGCCTTCGTACATGTCCAACCTCCCCATCTGTATCTGGTCCTTGAGACGTCCCTCGTCGATCACCTACTCACATGTTTGCTGGTTGACACATCGGGTACGATCGTCGACCTAGCACTAACTGTGCTCATCATGTTCATCCCTCACATCACGAGCTCTCTCGTTTCCTACCTCCCACGTCTCTTCCTTATCTTCAACAGAATCGTCTGCTGGGACCTCAATCCCGAACAAATACGGAGCCGAAGTCAGGATGACCATGATTTAGGCATGCATGAGTCGCCTATCCATGAGCAATTCGAATTCGTGGCTGATCCATCATGGGAGAAATTAACGCTGGCATATGACAACGACGAGACAATCATCCCCAAGGTGGATTACTTCTTCACCTTCCTATATGGACTTTTCCCGCTAAACTTCACGTCCTACCTCCGCAAACCTCGTCGTTACTTCAAGAATATCAACTTCCCTGGCGCGCAGGAGATCGACTTCCGCCAAAGCATTGTTGCGTCGAGAACGGAAACCTACCGTCGGTCCCATATTCTGCACAAGGCGTTCTATTCATCCGTCCCTGAAGATGAATTGTCAGACACTCGGTTTATCAAATCTGACCCAGCGGAGCTGGTGACTCAGTGCCTAGACCTATACAACTCCGGGCCGATTCTACACCATCTGAAACCGCCTCCTGCATCCCCTTTACCTGAACTACCCAGGAACGCTCCTCGACCAGCAGACTTTCAAGAGCCGCCGTACGATGATGATTCAACCACATTCGCGGGCGACTCATGGACCGAATCTCGCCGGAACACCCGCAGCACCACCCTAACCGCTCCACCGGATCGAAAACTGTCTCATTCGGCCAGCGGATCCTCTCTACCCGATTCCCATCGCAACTCAGAGAATGCCTCTCCTTCGACAGAAATGCGTCCACGACATCCTCTCCTTGATTCACCAACTATTCCACCCCACGGCAGCGTTCCTATCCAGAAGAAACCGAGCGCCGAAACCATGCGGAAACGCGGCCGCCGTGCTCCACGCTCCGGTACCACCACACCCGGCGAACCCGCATCCGCAACCGAACCCCTTCCTCCACCACTCTTCTCCTGCAGCACCCAAATTCCGCCCTCATCCACCGACCCCATCGCCTCTCTACAACTCGAAAACCTTCGCCTCCGGAACGAGCTTCACTTTCAACAATACCTCAAATCCGAAACCGCCACGTTCCTCGGTGCCGCCAAACGCCGCGACCTAACTCAAGAATCCGCCGCTGCCGATACCCAGAAGTTATTATCGACCAACCGCACGCTGCAATCCCGCCTCAAACGCCAAGAAGAGCGCTACGAGCAACTCCGCAAAGAAGTCGCCCTCCGTCGCGAAGGATCCCGTGCCTGGGATAAAGAAGTTGAAGGCAAAGTCCGCCTCGTGCGTGCCAAACGCGACGAAGACCGCCGCGATGCCGCCGCCCTTGAGGACCTCCGCGTCACTTGCCAACAAGCCCAGGGCGAGTGCGACCATCTCCGGAACCGCCTCGAAGAATCCGAGGCGCGCAGCACGCTCGCCAACGAGTCTGTCCGCGCCCTGCAATCCGAAGTCGACCAACTCCACACTCTCGAGCAAGAGCTCGAGAAGCTCCGCGAGCGCGTCTCCTCCTATGAAGACCGTGAGCTCGACTTCGAGCGCATGCGCTCCGAGCGTGACTTCCTCCGCGGCGAGCTCGAATCCGCCGCCCGCCGCGCCCTCGCCCGCGACCGCGAAATCGAGCAGATCCGCAACGCCGCCGAACGGGCTGTCGCGGACCTCGAAATGCGGCTCGCCGAAACGCAGAACGCGAGCCTGCACGTCAACGCGCACGGCGCGGGGCAAGGCGCGGTGCAACAGATCGTGGAAAGCGCGCTGGCGGCGAAGCAGGCGAACATGGCGCAGTTGCAGAAAGCGTACCGGAAGCTGCACGACCGGTGCGTGGATCTGGAACTGCGGAACCAAGAGCTTGAGGCTGGGTATTCTCCCGTCGGTCTCGGGAAGAGCCCCGCGTTCGCGGAGTTCCATTTTGGCGACGCGGAGGAGCCGTCGGTGAGCCCTGGGCATTATTCACCGGTCATGGCAAACATGACGGCCGCGCTGCCGCCTATGCATGGGGGTGGCCAGGGGGTGAGCCGGGTGGTAAGCGGCGTGGGTACGGCGTATAGCACCTCATCGACACGTGCGATGCCGAACCGCACATATGCGCCGGCTGCGCCAAGGGGGAGCAGGCATCATGCGTTCAACACGCCCGATGCGGCGTACGAGGAGGGGAGAACCCGGTTGGGCAATGATGGCGTGGATTCAATTCGGTCGAGCAGGTTGGAGGGCCTTGGAAAAGAAAGGGTTCGGCCTGGTTCGGAGTACCGAGGAAGTATGGCCAGTCCCGATCGATCGCATATCCCGATGTATCCTGGAGAAGGAGCATTTATGTTTTCAGGCGGGATGGGTTCGCCGATACGGGAGAGAGGTGGGATGGGTCGGGAGAACGAGTCGGGAGTTTTGGCGAGCGGCAATAGCGCGATCAGCGTTGAGAGCGGTGGGAGTAAGAAGAGTGGAGGCGATGGAGGGGAGAAGCCGAAGGTGACGACGGGCAGTAAGGCGAGGATATACGGCAGAGGTGAGTGATTCGCTTTCTAGCGCCATTAGGATCGACTCTGACTTGCAACTAGGCGGTGCGCAAAATGTGGGCAAGAAGGGTAAGGACAAGGACAAGGACAAGGACAAAACAACCAGTGCGAGTGCCAAGTCAGCCGGATTTAAAGGGATGATGAGTATCCTATAAGTCTCCTTCACAGTCGACCTACTCGAGTATTGGAGCGCTTCTTCTGTCTTTCTCTCTTCAGGGCATCGACAATCTTGATCAGAGGGTTCTTCTTGTCTAGCACAGTATGCTTTCATGATATCCGTTTCTATCCTCTCCTTTACGGTGTTAGAGGCGCATTGATATGGAGCTTTCGCACTATTCCATGGGATTGAATGAAGGGATGCACGAAACGACTCGCCGTTCCAGATGTACATTGTTTGATAGACTCGATGGGCTACGAGGAAACTTGGATATATAACGGGTATTGCAATCCATACCCCTCAAGCCGCTTGCGATGTCAAGCCCGCATCCAACGGCAACAAATGCCCATTCACCGCACTCATTGCACTGCTCGACAAAAGCACCGTCGCTTCCCCAATCTCCTCCGGTAAAATCTCCCTCCCCTGCTTCTCGAGCAACTTAGTTAATCCCTGGTTCGTCGGTCCCGCTACTTGCTCCCCCCCAATGATCGCCGTCTCACTGAACTGCGTATGCACCACCCCGGGCCCAATCGCATTGACCCGGATCCCATGTTTCCGCCCCTCTCCCGCCGCGACCCTCGTGATCCCTAACACCGCATGCTTCGCCACCGTATACGTCCCCGCCCTCGCCCCCCCAAGAATTGAATTAATCGACCCGCAATTCACAATACTCCCCACCTGCCGCCCGGGCACCTTCCCCTCCACTTGTTCCGCCTCCACCTGCTTCATCAGTTGCGCCAACTCATGCTTCACGCACAGCATCAGCCCCGTCGAATTCACCCGCATGACCCGCTCCCAATGCTCCAACTTCAACCCTCCAATCCCATCGACAGGCCCCATTATCGCCGCGAAGTTCGCCGCGTAGTCGATGCGTCCATACGTTGCGACCGTCGTGGCGATCGCGGCCGCCACCTCGCTTTCTTGGCTGACGTCGCAGCGGAGGGGGAGGCAGGCCGCGCCGAGGGAGGTGACGGCTTGTGCGGCGGCGGTCATAGTGGCGTCGTCGTGGATGTCGGCGAGGACGATGGCGCGGGCGCCGTGTTGGGCGAAGGCGAGGGCGGTGGCGTGGCCGAGGCCGCGAGCGCCGCCGGTGATGAAGGCGACGCCGGGGGTGAGAGGTGCAGCGGAAGAAGACATTGATATGCTACTCTCAAAACTTGTGGATATGAAGGAAATGGTGACTTGGAAATGCGAAACTTGCTGGACTTGGGACGTTATGATTTGAGATTTCGGCTGGCCTCACCCCTCTTTATCTGTCAATTTATGTCAATCATTTAGAACTTAAGGTACCTAGGCAAGGTTCTCCGCATCTACGGCATCGAACTCCACTTGCAGGAGCTGAAAGCTCCGAAATAGGACCTAACATTGAGATTCGAGAGCACTGGTGCTCCTGAATAGGACCGGTTAATCATGAAACGACTCCCGGAGTTCGTATCGTGCGAGTCAAAAGGAAAGGAATACGATAGGATGCCCAGAAGTCGCCATCGAGTTCTGGTGATCGATTTGCGGATGAAAGGGAATTCAACAATCAACGGAAACGACAACATATCGGACTTCCAGAAAGACAATACTGTAACGTGCCTCTTAATATCGGCATAATTAACATAGCGTGCGAATAGGTAGCTGTTGGTATTGAACGGCTATAGCTCTAGTGAAGGTTCTAGTCAAGGACGGATATTATGGAATTGACCAATGAAATTGCGGGTCAACAGCCAGCTTAACATGCTCCATACACTGCCAAGCACACAAGACTAAGAAGGAAGAATTGAAGGCACCATTACCGTACCGGATATGAACTGGGAGGGTGGATAGAACCTGAAAATAATGCCGTGAGTCCTGATCATGTACGACGCTAGAATTGAGTTTTAAAATAGGATTAAATATTCAGAAGTTGAATTCCCTCATATCAACTAGCAGCCTTAATAGCTCAGTTGGCTAGAGCGTCGGTATGTCACACAACTCATTAGCCAATCAAATCACCCTCTAACAATCATAACAGCACTAGTACGACTAGACATGCGGAGGTCCACGGTTCAACTCCGTGTTGAGGCATTATATTTTTGCGTTTTTTATCGAAGGCATATATCTTCTTTTCCTTCTGTGGATCGCTCCAAGCCCCTTCTCCGATTACCCTGAGCCGATCTGATCCTATGAACCATGGGACAAGGGGCTCCTTGGGAGCTTCATCTTTTTCCCATCGTGTCTAGTGGTGTCCACGCGGCCACGCCCACATCAGTAAGCATTGCGCCCTTGTTCGCATTTTGCTCATCAATTTTCTTTTCGGCATTAACTTTACTACATAATAAGGCGGATTTTGGCCTCAATTTCGATGGGGGAGCATCACTAGGGCATTAGTATGCCTGTCGTGGACGTCAGTTGGCGACAACGCCGAGTCGCTTCAACGAGGCTCCAGGTCAGATTCGATGACTACATCTGACCGTGGTCGTCGTAGAACGAGGTGATCCTAACCCTCCAGCCACCTGGCTTCTGATCCACCCATTCTATTGTCATCAAGTACTGACTTGTGAGGCCTACTTCACCACTGAATATGATCAGTGAAGTAACGGTTTTTTTAAGCACTGGCTAATGGGTCCCCCAACGTCCTGTGCTTCCTCAAAGTCTTTCGTTCCGTACTGCTGGTTCAAGTCTACTATGCACGGGGATTATTCCGTACGGGTCTCCCCTACGAAATGGCACCCTTGGGCGCAAGCCATTGGTGCTGCGATGCCGAATGATCAAGAACTGCACATGAGCCCAACAGCATCTGTTCCAACATCTCTCAGCTACGTCTATGTACTTGTTCGCTGACTCAAGACCCTATTTTGGCGTTTTAAAGCAGTCTAGGCCAATAATTGTGAACAGCGTGTGACGATTGACAGATCTGAGCAAAATCCACAGCCTTACGTATCAGGACGACCAATAGATGCCATGTGGCGTCAATATTTTCATGCATAGTGCTGCATCGTGATGAACGCCACATTGAATCCAGACTCCGGATTCGGACGATATTTCGTGAAGCCACGAGCTATGTATGTACTTATAACTGTCCCACAATCCCAGCTTGGCAAAGTGTGCTTTTGCCCCTTCGTCACTTCAGAGCGGAGCAAATATACATTGTCAGTATGGCCCTGGCTGCAACACCGACTCTTGGGTATGGCCTAACGATCAATATGAAATCCAGCTTTGGCTAATGGCATCCTAGGGCCATAGAGGCGGATATATCAAGCCTCGAGTCCTCCGTGCTCGCCCTTGTTGGAGGTATATTGAGTACAGGAACGCTGTCGAATCCTGCCCCAACCGACCTTGGAGCCGGACTCATCTCCGAGCTGCTTTCCGGATTGCCGACAAATGTGCCAACGAACCTCGTAGGGAGTGGGATACCAATTATCCCATCCAGATTAACAAGAAGTGAGAAAATATAACCCCGGCCCTTCCTCCTGTCCCTACTCTACTGCAACTTCGTCAGCTCGAACCGCACTGCAAATTTAACCAGGCACTAACCTGACCACCTCCGCAGTCTCAACCAGTACACACCACACTACCCGAACCGGTATTGACGAAAATTCTATGAGCCTGTCTACCGCTACCACTGGAGCCAACCAGCTAGCCCAAACGAAAGGCGGCCTCACAACGGAACAGAAAGTCGGTATCGGAGTAGGTGTGGGCCTTGGGGTAATATTCCTCGCCACTATCGTCCTCTCTGCGTTCGTCTTTGGACGTCTCAGTGCACGACGAGCAAAGAAGATGCAACCAACGATCCCTGCTGGCACGGATATGCAAAAGAAGGCGCAGCCTAGATTTCATGCACAGACGGCCGAACTTCCTATAACCACGTATAATTCTCCATATGCGGCAGAGTTGCCTGCGAAGAGATATTAGGTCGACCGGTATGCATCGACTAGACATGGACCCGTGCTACTACCCGAACGACTAAGTGGTTCTTAATGGTCAAGAGCGATATCCACTAGGATCCCGTCCTTCCAGAACTCGATCCGCTAGCAGAAATCGTTTGGTTGGCCTCACCAGTGGAGAAGATACCCAATCGGAACCTGTGTGATGAAGGAGACTCTGGATCTCTGCCTTCGTAGCTTCGAATATAGTTGCCTCGCATTATATATTGATGGACGGTCTGCACTATCCAAGCCACAAGACGATGTCATTAGAGCAGCGAATTCGAAGGATCAAAAGACAGCGCAGTCGGAAGGGCTGGACTGGAAGAGGGCGTCTGATGCAGGACTAAGGGGGACGGAGGAGCTATGATTCTTCTGTCGAGAAGCTGCACATTGTGTGAAAGAGGACCGGGGCTTGTATTAGACTGCGTTTTGAGCAGGGAGCATCAATGCCCACAAACAGCTATGTCCATGAAATTGATCGACACCGTCAGTCCAACCATAAGATCTTTCCAGTACTTTCATCAATGCCCAATTGGCTCCGTCATTTTCTCATATCCAAATTGCGTCCCCTGATCTCTAAGGTTTCCAGTCATAATGCTAACCAATCCATCCATCCATCCACCTCTACTCAAGAGGCCCCATTGATGAACCGTAATTGCTCGCCATATATCACATCTACAACTCATCCCTGACTTCCTGCCTGCCCAATTTCTCATTGAACATGAAATAGCCTCCACAGAGTCCACCTTTCGTAAACACACCCTCCGGGTCGTACTTCCTCTGAATCCCCCGCAGCTTCTTGAGATTCGTCTCGCCAAACCCTGCTAGGACATCGGCCTCTTGCCACTTCTCGGCGTAGTTGATGTACTTGAAAGGATGCCAGAGGCCGGCGTCTTTGGCCGCTTGCTCGCTCTTCCTGACGAATGACTGCACCTGTGATTGCATGAGCTCGTCGAATTCGGCGCTGGCCCACATCCAAGAAATGCTGTTGATTGCAAGCGGGCCATCTGATTCCCGAAGCCCCAAACTGTTGCCTCCGCGCCTTTTTGTGTGCGATAGAGCATCCTTGGAAAGCGCCTGCATGATAAACGTGGCCACGACCCCAGGGATATGCTTGATTTCCTCGGCCACCTCGTCCAAATAACCCATGATCTTTTCGTCGAGCGCCATGTCTGGCTTCCGCGTGAAAGTGGAGTACGAGTAGCGCATGTTGTAAGGGCTCATGTCGGAAACCTCCTTTGTGATGTTGGACATTGGCATCACTCGCGTGATATCAACCTCTTGCAAAGCTTCGATCGGATCATAGGCGTTGAATAGCGGCGGAGACGTTGTCGGATCAGCGTGATCAAGATGAATGTGCTGCGAAGCCATGAGGCTCATGCCGTGCATGCCACTGTAGGCGTACACGTCGTAGCCTCCAACCCTTTGATCCTCCCCAAGGCCTTCCATCCACTGATGACGAGCGGCGGTGAGGTCGGGTAGCTTGTCAGGAGTGTGCATGCGGTTTGAGTACCATAAGCCATTCGGATTTAGTAGCTCCTTGGTCTCTAGGACAAAAGATGTCACAACGCCGAAGTTTGACGATCCGCCGCCTCGAAGCGCCCAAAACAGGTCGGAATTTTCGTTTTCGCTAACTTTGACAATCTTGCCTGTCGGAAGCACGATCTCATAAGAGATGACATTGTCGCAAGCCAGGCCATGGACGCCGGAGAAGAACGATATCCCACCTGAAGCTGATTAGAAACCATTCAGGTGATGATTTGACAATTTCTCACCTCCAAGAACCAGGCCGCCAATTCCAACATCTGCCACCCGTCCTCCGATGACAGTGAGCGATTCTTTTTCAAGAGTCGTATATATCTCACCCCATCGAGCTCCCGCGCCAATGGTCACGCTCTTCTGATCTTTAGCAAGCTCGATGCTGGTCAGCTTTTCTAAATCAATAGTGATGCCACCCTCCGCATTACTTGCACCGGCCATGCGGCTGTGCCCACCACTCTTGATGGCAAAGTGACATTGATTGCTCTTCGCAGCCTCGATGATTGCGACGATGTCTTCGGCCGAGGTTGGTACGACCCGACATGCGGGTACGAGTTCATGTTGCTTCGCATCCCACATAGCAAAGCCTCCGTCATGGCCCAAAAAGACCTTTTGAGGAAGGTCAAGGGTCAAGCTTGAACACTTAATTTGATGTTAGCAATAATCGAAGCATGATATGGAGTTCCATGAACGTACAGCATGAGCACAAGGCGCGGCTCCATCCTGTTGTAGCACCTTCTGAGCTTCGGATTCCACAGCCTCTGGAGGGGTCGATACCGATTGGATCTCGGCAGAAGAACCGATCGCTAGGGCGCACCAAACCAGCAAAGGCTGTACTTTCACCATTGTGGACTCAGATGAACCAGGTGAAAAGGTGGCGAAAAATGCGACCTGCAGAAGGGGACATGCTGACCATTTAAATAAATTGGATCCTGCAGATGTGGATTTGCCATATGTATGGGGAATTCGAGATGTTCCCCACTAGTCTGCTCCCTGGTCCGAGTTGTTCGAAGGACCTTCCCATCCTTGTTTGCTGGAATTGCCAAATGAAACATCGTAGATATCATGGTGTGAGGGCGGACGAATGATAGGTATCGAAGCTCTGTACGGAGTAACATGGAAGGTATTGCAGCTGTCAGCTGTAAGCCGGTTAAATGGGGGCCAAAAGGTGATCTAGAATGCCTGGTCTGTTTGCAGCTTTGCGGATGAGACGGGGAATCGCTTAATGCCGATTCTCTCAATGATATTGAGCGGCAATGCTCACTAGTGCCAGACATCTACCCAGGCCTCAAACAGTCACAGGCATCCAAACAAGGCAAGAATCGCGATGAATTCGCGATCATGATAAATCCGGGAGTAAGGCCACATTCCACAAAGTTGGTGTTCTTGTTCTCATGCATGAATTCTAGGCATAAGCTGGACATAGCTACCCTATCAGGGAGCACTCAGGCTGTAGTCGGGGTAATGTTAGGAGAATGTTCGGTCTGCCGGTCTCGAAGGCGGTCAGCGCAGCACAACAAGCCCGTCGATCCGATTCGTACAAATATGTGGCCCTGTCACTCACCGGAATCGACGCACTAATGCTTATTTTTCAATTTTCCGCTGGAGTGACCGAGATTTTCAATGGCCTAATCATTCATATTCTCATATCTAGCTCCAGTAATTGATCGTGTAGAGCGTAGTGCTCCAGGAAGGCTGGGGATTGCTGGTGATGTTCAAGTGTTGGCGCCTGAGGCTGCAAGGAAAACATGGGGACAACCCCTGAGCCAAGGCCAATCCCTGTCAAACCTCATTTCAACCTCATCCAAATGCACCGATGGGTGATGCTGTCTGTCGAAAGGTAATTTGCAAAGGCGGGTGGTGCCAACAAAGGCAGTTTTGAAAAGGTGTTGTCAACGAACTTTGGGAGTGCTCTGAAGCCAGTGATGGGTGTCGTTCCAATGCAAGACTCGAGGGTTTGGTTTCGAATATCTAGCTTCATCTTAAATCCAGAGATATTAGCTCCGCTGTCCAGGAGACACAAACTCCTTTGTCCAGGAGACACGCCTTTTCCCGCCGTCCACCAGTATCATCTCAGCGACGACGCGCGGGGGGATCCCACTCCTCTCCTACTAGACTCCCACAGCGGCATGAATTGCAAGTTTCGCCCGCCCTGAATGAACCTGCCCATTCCCTAGAGCGGTGCTGAGGTCACAGATCCTCCGGATTGAAGCTAGCTTGCGAAGACCAATGCTGCCTGTGATCCTCGCCACGGTTTGATGCATCGTGTTCCTTCTCCTTCTCTGCTCCTTCTCCTTCTCTGCTCCTTCTCCTTCTCTGCTCCTTCTCCTTCTCTGCTCCTTCTCCTTCTCTGCTCCTTCTCCT